AAAACTCCTGAAACTTCTACTTGCCCATTGAATACCAATAACATTAGACTAACTGTGGCCAATGATAGACATGGCCGCCGGACTGTTAGTCCCAGACTAATGAAAATCAAGAGGGACCAGTTGTTTTTGTCATAAACTGCTTTTCCAAAACTACAGACTATTTGGATTTGGCCAATGGTGTTAAATACTGCTGGCTAATTAATGGATTTAGATTCCTGATGACATTCATTTCCTATTAGTAGAAATCTTTATCAAAAGTACAGGAGTTGCTGTCTGTGGTGCATATTTCAAACTAGACAAGACAATTGATGCACAAAGTTCAGCTCTGTCCAGGGATGGAATTAACCCATTGCCCGACGTCCGAGTCCAGTGTTTTTTTTCTGTCGGGCAAACAAATTTATATATCACACTTTACCGGTGTCCAGTTGAGTTTCCAATGTTAATTATGTTGTTTATCTAAAAATCAGCAAGAAAACGGTTGGTAAAGTGGGAAAATTATCAGGCACATTGACTTTACATGTGCCACTGTACCGAGTACACTATCAATTTTAAAGTTATTTCCACCCTGTTCCAATGTTAATTATGTTGTGTATCTAAAAATCAGCAAGAAAGCGGTTGGTAAAGTGGAAAAATTATCAGGGCGCGGACTTTACATGTGCCACTGTACCGAGTACACTATCAATTTTAAAGTTATTTCCACCCCTGTTCCAATGTTAATTATGTTGTGTATCTAAAAATCAGCAAAAAAACGGTTGGTAAAGTGGTAAAATTATCAGGGCATTGACTTTACATGTGCCACTGTACCGAGTACACTATCAATTTTAAAGTTATTTCCACCCTGTTCCAATGTTAATTATGTTGTTTATCTAAAAAATCAGCAAGAAAACGGTTGGTAAAGTGGAAAAATTATCAGGGCACGTGACTTTACATGTGCCACTGTATCGGAGTACACTATCAATTTTAAAGTTATTTCCACCCCTGTTCCAATGTTAATTATGTTGTTTATCTAAAAAATCAGCAAGAAAACGGTTGGTAAAGTGGAAAAATTATCAGGGCACGCGTGACTTTACATGTGCCACTGTGGAGTACACTATTAATTTTAAAGTTATTTCCACCCCTGTTCCAATGTTAATTATGTTGTTTATCTAAAAAATCAGCAAGAAAACGGTTGGTAAAGTGGAAAAATTATCAGGGCACGTGACTTTACATGTGCCACTGTACCGGAGTACACTATCAATTTTAAAGTTATGTCCACCCCTGTCTGTACACAGGCTTTTTCAGCGTGTGTGCTTAGATATAGGTTGTCGTTCAATGTCACAACATACGCATGTCTTGCCTAATATTTATACAGTATTGACAGTGTTTTTTTCAAATTTGTTATTAAAGAAAGAATATCAATTCTATATCACTGAGCTCACGTAACAAGTCAAGGAAATAGCTGCTATGCACAGTTACACACATATGCACTCAATACTAAATTAAAATAAAAAGTATTTTTTAGAAAAATAACCACTCTAGATAGATGAGCAGATAAGTTGGCTCTGTGAAACCCTTGTGAGAAACAAGGTCTCAGTAACTTCTTTGAGTGGCAGTTTAGAAGCTGGGACGTACAAAATTGACAAACTTTATGGTTGTAACGTTTCAATACAGATTCTGGTACCATTGTCAAGCAGGAATGACAACGGTACAAGAATCTGTATCTAAAAGTCGCACTCTCGTAATAAAGAAGTTGTTCTCCATAAAGTTTGTCAATTTTAAGCTCTAAGTAGCTGAGATTATCCACGAGTTGAGGTCATTTTTCAAATGTCTCGGCAGGTTTAGTTTAAAATGTTATAGTTCCATGTTATATAGTCATAGTTAAATGAGAATAAGCTGTGAATTAGGGTTGATGATATTCATTTACACAATCCATATTTACTCCAATATTTGAAATGACAGTTCTAAGCTATGTCATTTGTAAGATGTACATTCATAATTAAGTTACTAAGCCTTGACCTTGACCTGTGGAGCACAATAGTGCAGTGGTAAGGCGTCTGCCTATCATGCTGAAGGCTCGGGTTCGATCCCCGGTGGAGGCACCTAGGTTTGGGTCCCGAGGTAGGCACATTTGCGTAGTATCCTTGGACAAGATACTTAGATCCACATTGTCTCAGTTGACCCAACTGTAAAATCGGTACCTGTGAGGATGTCCTGGCAATGTGAGTGATTAGTTCATTGCATTTAACAGGCAGCATGGCTGTATGATCCCCATGGAGTTGAAAGATAATCGGATAGTAGGATGGTGTCCCATGACCGGGGATAGTAATGTACGTAGCGCCATGAGCAGGTAATGTGCCTGGATATGAGCACCATATAAGCGGACTATTACTATTACTATTTAAACAAACATGGCACCATAGACAGCCTGTATTCTGAGATCCCGGTGTGGACATTACTGTGTTTAGAGTGGGATAGGTCACCCATCCCTCTAATTGTTGGGGGCGGTGGGGTAGCCTAGTGGATAAAGCGTTGGCTCATCACGCCGAAGACCCGGGTTCGATTCCCCACATTGGCACAATGTGTTAAGCCCATTTCTGGTGTCCCCAGCCGTGATATTGCTGGAATATTGCTAAAAGCGGCGTAAAACTAAACTTAGTCAGTCTGTCTAATTGTTGGAAGATTTGTCTTAGTTGGTGGTCATGCTTGACCTGCTGATTGCATGTCAGGTTGTGAAGATCTGAGTTCTAGCTATCAACCCACTGGTTTGTCTATTGCTGTGAAAACAGTTGTCAAATTATTGATGGTTTTATAGAACAACCTTAACTTTCTTGACTTATTTGATAGGCATTGACAGACGAAAGCAGACAAAAGAATTGTGAATAACAGCTTCTTTATTATACTGCAGTGGTGACTAGGGATGTCACGATACGTAAGTTTCATGAATTGATACGTATCACGATACCCATGTCACGATTCAATATGTATCACGATAAATATCTTTGCGGCATTATTGCGTAAATTTAGTTTCATTTTGAACAAATATATTTCATATTTTATAATTGTCCATGAAAAGATCAACATTTTTTATTCTCAGAGATTAAAAAAGTTCTAATTTCCCATCTTTGTGCATGGAAAATAATCATTTATAACTCTCATAACATCAAAAAACATGATACCATTGCAAAATGTAAACGATACATAAACATATTTAAACCAATACTTTCAAAACTAGATATCGATACAGTGTTGAATGTATCGATTATTGTCTCATCTTAGAAAAGGTATCGCTGCATCAATGTATCGATATATCGTGGCATCCCTAGTAGTACTAGTAGTGACTTCTGATATATATTAAACATCCATTGACCATATTCAGCAATGTGTTCCAGTAAGCTCCCCCAAACCAAACTCTAGGCCAATTTGTTTCCATTTCCAGGTCCACCATCTAAGACTGAAAATGTGCCTGATAGTGTATATTCTTGTGTATATCATGATATATTAGACATTTTGTTTACAGTATAGAATACCCTGCCTTAATTGGTAAATTATTATTGTCGAAAATGTCTTTGCATGAATTGTAATCACTACCCTTATTACATTGAATATGGTACCATATACTGACAAAAAAAACATATGACTTGTACAATGTTATCTCACATACGTACTGGAACTGGGACAAGTCAGTACAGTGTTGCATCCAGGCTGCATGTTGTGGGATTCACCCCTGTTAATGTTCATCTCCCGCAAAAAGGAAAACCGATGCGCGACCTGTCACGCAATATAAATGACCACGTACCTATCACATGGTGTCAACTCACACACCAGCATAACATGTGTGGTTCTTATGGACATGATGGATGCATTAACAAATCACAAATCAAAATCAAACAATCCACCAAAGTGCTGTCACATAACCTTAGTTATGATGATAAATATATTACATTGATAGCGCAAAACCTGCAATTAGAATTATATTTCTCTTGATAAAATAAGTTTCAGATACTATATTTTTCCGATCACTGCATTAAGATTCATCTTGAAAATCACTGGTAAATCGCGGGGGACGTGTGCACAGCTGATTGCTATTTCCGGCTCTGTATACGAGACAAATACACACGGTAATCTTAATCCCTGCATATAATACAATACAAATCAAAAGCAAATTAGAACTGAAATGGTAAACAATCTTGTCTACTGATGTTTAATTGCAAGTTTACTATCTTTACTGACAAAGTCGTCTTCTTTTGTTCGTTCACTCAAAGCGATATGTAATGTCGTTTTCTTACCCCCTGAAAAAAAGTTTCACAAAAGTGTAACCTGTAGATAAGCCGACCCCCCTTCTACAATCCAAATGGAGGGGCCCAGATCTAAGGAATTTCCCTATGATGCTGCTGTTGCAGCATGGAAATCTAAGAAAGAGAGACGTTTATTTCACAAGTGTTGAGCCAAAGGTCAGATATGAAAACTCATGTGAATAGTTAAGCATTGTCGTGACAGCATCAGCATTACAGTAAATACCAATCTTTAGTCAATATGTGAACCCCCATGCTTGGTGGCAGGTCCCCCTCTTTTGTAACAGTTAAGGGGGATGTCCCCTTAATCCCAAATTCCTGGATGCAACACTGTCAGTATGGTGACAATGGTTTGTTTGATCATGTTAACTTGTCCATTGGTAGTAAAACATGGTGTTCAGTATTGAGTAAAGGGACTGAGTTGTTACAGTATACAGGGATGAGACTGTTCCGCGGATCTGCGGAATTCCGAGGATATGATCGAGCTGGGGTCATTCTTGTGAACTGCCCCAAGATCCCCGGCTCATTTTCCTCTTCTTTCACTCATACCCAATCTTATCCCTGAGTATAGTAATCTGCAGACCCCCTAAATCTTTCCACATTAGGGCTATGACAAGGACCACAAGATCGTGATGTTATATTTCCTACACTGCTGTTATATGGCCAGAACCTTGAAGGCTGGTGGATTTCTGTTGAATGTATTAACATGTGTTTCTGTCACTCCCTCAGACACACTATTTTGGGCTGCGGTTCATCACCAAGAAACTCCAGTTCCAATGGGTAGAACTCAGCAAGCCCCTGAAGAAGCAGTTGGACAAGATGGCCGAGGCTTCCCATCAGCCACCTTGCCTCTACTTTGGTATCATGTTCTACGTGTCCGGCGCACACAAGATCCCCGACGACACAGCCAGGTTCCACTACTACCTGCAGCTCAAGAATGACGTCATCGATGGCCGTGTGCCGACTAGCTATGAACAAGAGCTGCGTCTGGCAACCTTCAGTCTACAGGGTATGTACACTTTTGTTTCAACCTGGATTTGTGGTTTTGTAGAGGATGTTTTAGAAGAGTGAAAGCTAAATGCAAGATTTAGAAAATAGAGGAGGAGGAGGAGAAAAGTGCCCAGTCATTAAATGAACAACAATACTTTCTTGGTCAACATAGTACAGGTCCGTCATACTAAAGTACTGTCGGAAATGCTAGAAAAATGCTTTTTGACTTATATTTAAAATTCAGAGGTATTACAGTTACTTAAATAACAAATATCACTTCAAGAAACATCTACCTAATGTAGACAGAGGGAATAAATTTTGAGACATGCTCTAAAATGTGTTTTTACTAATGAAAATACCAAAAACTTAGAAAAATAAGGGGTAGTTGGACGTTATTTGAAACAAACATTAACTGCCTGTGTTACGTCATCAGCATGCACGGTATCGACAGGTGAAATTGACACCTGAGCACACGCTCGGGCGAGGGGTCATCTCAATAGATGTTTTCTGCAAAATGTTGAATATGTGTGCATTATAGTATATGTATCAGTTATGTAAGGGATCATTTGTGTATGTGTGTTTGTTTTGAAATAAACATCACAATTACTGTACATTGGAAAGAATCCTATCACTTGTGTTATCTTATCGATTGATTGTAGAAATGTGCAAGCGTTTTAATAAATGTTTTGCATGTCAACAGTATATTTCAATGAAAAAATATGGATGTAATTTGGTCAGTTTAATCTAGTTGTGAACATTGGCCAAAGATTTAACGAAGTCACTGGTGTAGCTTCTTTAGAATATATATATTTTTCTTCTCATAAAGTTTGTAAACTGCCCGTCTAAGCACTCCCTTGTCAAAGTTGTCAAGGATGGTTTTACGTCCCGGTTTTGCATTTGAGACGGTCCCTGTCTTGTCTGATTTGTTTACAATATTGTAAACTTGTTGGTAAGACATGCCAACAGCTCTACAAGTTCTGTAATAAACCCTTTCTAAACTAATGAAAGGTTTACCTCTGTCTTTTTTAAGCAGAAAAAACCTATAAACCTTTGCAACAATCGACTGCAAATCGTTGGCCATAGTGGGCTGTGATAAAGATGTGCATGCATGACGGGAAACTTATTTATCAAGACTTAACATTTATATTAATATTTCTTCAATAAAGAAAACGATAATTAAGTAAAGTAACACAAACATTCAACATTTACTTGTTTAGGAAAAACTTTAATTCATATTTTTACACCACCTGTATTATTAGCATAAATGTAAAGACTATTTCAGATTTCTGTTGTTGAACTCTGAAAAAATATTAAGTTGCTGTTTTGGTACCAAATTCCCTCCTGTAAACTGCCCTTTAAATGCATGGGAATGTTAAATCGATTGAAATAAAAATTAGGTAGACAATAGGCGGGTTGATATATTGACAACATAGTACATTTATCACCTTTATAAAGATATTTAGGCTAAAAAGCATTTTTCTAGCATTTCCGACAGTACTTTAGGCTGACATTGTAGTGTTAGGAAGTAATGCCACATAGCCAGCCTTTGTCAGTGCGCTTATATAAGCAGAGCTCTGTTTGATTATTGGTGTACATGGACCAGATCAAAGAAGGTAGTAGATTGATTGCTGTCACTATATCTGGATTAAGTGCAGTCGCAGTGGTAAGCCCTTATAATGTAATAAATTCTATTCTGAGTGAAATTTTTGGTATACTTGAAGTTTGTTTGATCCAGGGTTAAACAGTCTGGCAGGAGGCTTAATTTAATCAGTGTGAATAATTTACTGTATTAAATAAGTTAAGATCACTGGTTGTTTCATTTGACTGTAATTAATCTGTCGTCGCCATGAGGGATTAACTATTGTATAGTTTTGTTGCCCCTGGACATGATAGTGCTGGAATATTGCTAAAACAATATGAAACTGAACTCACTCATTCTTAAGGATTGGTGTTAATTTTTATCAAAAGCCTGATTAGCAGGTTTAGTATTTATACAAATAGTTTGTACTGAGATGTGATGAACATGATTTAAAGATAAACATGTGCTGTCAGTAGTATACAATAAGTTTTACTTGGGGTGTGTTCGATTTCAGCGGAATATGGAGACTTTGATTATGAACGTCATACAGTGGACTTCTTCAAGGACAACAAAATTCAGCTGTTTCCCAAGGTATGCTCTTCCATCACTGTGGCACCTCAGCTCAGAAGCATGTCAGTCATGTGTAGTTGAGGTAGTATAATATGGATATATGTAAATTTGAGCCAACATTCATCCTGTCTTTGCCTACTTTACACATGCTTGTAGGGCTTGAGTTAATTCCTCACAATGAGCACAGTGTGTGAAACCCATTCTTGGTGCATTAAACCCGACTCATACAACAACAGTATCTGAACCTGCTAAACTCTCAGGAATTGTTTTGGACATTTTCTGCTTAAACTAGGTAATGGTGGATGAACATGATAGCCTTATGTTTTTCCTTTTAGACAGTTTGTATTAAATGTGGTTGTTTTTTATTGACAAATTTATGTTAAGCACCGGTATCTTCAGATGTTGTTTTCTGCCACAGACGATGACAAAGAATGAGCAGACCCTGCTTGAGCTGCTGATGGAGGCCCTGAACATGCATTCCAGTCTCCAGGGCTACCACCCTCTGAAGGCTGAGATACAGTACATCAAGGAGGTACAGCTCATGGATGGATATGGCATGGAATACTACACGGCTAAAGTAAGTCAGGGCGATACGAGTCTTATATCCTGATATCACTGACATAATGTGTTGGTTTTATAATGACTGCTCTATTGAGGAAGGAAATCATTATGCACCATTATTGGAGAGGGTTGTGGTTAAGGTGTGTTTGGTTAGTGTGGTATCCTACCTAATGTGATGCGTGAAGGTCTGGGTTAGAATGAACCTTCAGTAACCCATGCTTGTCGTACGAGGCGACTAACGGGATCGGGTGGTCAGGGTAGCTGACTTGGTTGACACATGTCATCAGTTCCCAATTGCGCAGGTCGATGCTCATGCTGTTGATCACTGGATTGTCTGGTCCGGACTCGATTATTTACAGACCGCTGCCATATAGCTGGAATATTGCTGAGTGCGGCGTAAAACTAAACTCACTCACTCCTACCCAATGTAAACATACATGAGTGTATATATGTATTCACTCACATATTCTTATGAGTAGGCTCGTGGTAAATGTTCTTGCTTACTCAGTCAAAGGGTGGATTTGATTCCCCACTTTGTTACCATGTGTAAAGGCATTTCTGTCACTATATTGCCTGAAAATTGCATAAAACCATATTCACTCATATATGAATATCTGATTGGCCTGTTACCATCTTGTAAAATCCAGGCTGGTCATATGCTGTGGCATCACCTGCATGCCATGTCACGGTTAACCATGTTCACAGTATATCCAGTATGTCCACTGCTTGTAACACGATAGATGGAAATTTATTTCACCAAGGAGAAGACACTGTTGCTTGTAATATCAAAATGATGAATTTATGTATATCATCAAGGTCAGTACTGGAATGTAGGTCAGGTTAGGTATTGGGTTCTGCATTCACTTCATAAAAGCCCCCACCTGTAATTTGTTGGCAGGATGACCGAGGGAAGGAGTTGTACCTGGGTTCGTCCGTGACAGGTATCTTTGCCCGCTACCTGGATGGACAGGCTCCTATCTTCTTCAGGTGAGGCCCTCTTGGGGTGTTCCAGAGTAACAGGCTGAAACACACAATTCGCTGGACCTTCCTGAACAAACTGAATTGGGAAAGCTTTGGTCTGAGCCAGATCTTCACCCATCTTGACTAAGTTTGTTTATGCAATTCTCTGAACTACTCTATAATAGTTTCTTTGAAATGAAACTGGAAATATGATATAACTCAATTGGAGGAGGAAATTCCTTGGACTTCTCCTTCGAAGAATTCGCCAGAAGATTTAGCCTGATGCACCAGGTACAACCTATGCTGGTGGTAGGATGTCACCAAATGGTCATTGAAGGTCACGTTATTAATCACAGAATTGTCTGCTCCAGATTTGATTAATTATAGACTGTTATGATGTAGCTGAAATATTGCTGCATGCAGTATTACACTAGAAGCAGTTGTGTTTTGTCTGTGATGAATGAACTACACAATGTATGCATTACATGCTTGTTTCGTTTCTAGGGCAAAAATGCTTCTAACAAAATGCTATATGTCACCAACTTTCTAGTGACGGTAATTGTAAGTTGTTGAAAACTTGTCACACATAACTTGGTGTAATTCCCTTTGAGGGTCAGTATGGTGAAGCCCGTTCTTAATTGCCTCTACACTTATGTAACTGTATTGCTATTGATACCAATATACACCAACTATTTGTTGAGGACAACAAACTGGACCTATTGCATTGCTCAGAATTTGTCCAGTGATGATGAGTGTTAATATCTCCCAAGGTAATTGCTGTCTTATTACAGGTGGGGAGAAATAGCCAAGTTGTCACAGAACAAGAAAATGATTGGAATCGACACATCCAAAAGCTCAGGTCAATACCAGATGGTGAGTTGTGCAAAGCTGTTGTAATCACTGGCTTTAGCCAATAGTCTGTGGCAAGTTGACACTTTTTGGTCTAGTAGGACCCCATTGTACTGAGACTAACATATACCGATACTAATCCCAAAATATCATTTCTGGCTAGCAGACTTATATTTTTGGCGTGGACTGTAATCTGTAGGGGTTATGTTTAGTGGTCGGATCAATCTTCACTTTTCACTAGCCATTGATGTAAATTTAACAGATTAATGAAAATGAATGTCAATAAGATTTTAATTTGGTCGACTATCTGTCTGTGAGAGAAAATGCTGAAGTTTGTTCCAGATTTATCACTGGTTTGTTCATGGTAAATTGTGTTGAGGAGAACATACCTGCCATTTACAGACATTTTTGTGTATGTTCTCTAACTTTTACTGTCCAAACTCGCTCAAATTTCAATCCCTGCTGGCAAATACCTGACAAATACACCCGACCTGTTATAGTCTGTATGTATACTGTGATATTGCATTCTCTGTTGATCCATGTATGTCTACCTCTGTTACGAATTTATATTTACAATCCTTTGTATAAGGGTTTGTACAATTGTATGAGGTGAGAAATTAGCATTGATTTCTTCACATTTTGAGAACATGCTAATGACAGTTATTGTATTATTTTAGATCCCTGAATAATGTTTTTCTCTCATTTATTTTATCATCAAAGGGTGTTATTACTTTAAGGGGTATTTCGCTAGCTGAGTGGTTAAAGCATTCAGTCAATTATGTATAACAGGGTTTGATTCACCACATGGGTACAATGTGAAAATGGGAAAAGATCTGGTATCTCCATCATCAGCGTAATGATAGACTATGTATGCTATTGATATTGTGGCAATGCTAAACATCATACTCTTTAAGCTGTCATATTCTGCAGCCACTGATTGCTCTTCAAAATAGGTCCAAATAAATGTACTGGTAGTATGAATTGTAGGTTTTCTTGTGGCTTGCTTAAAAATGTTGGGTTTGTGTTGTGTTGCGCTGATGTTTATTGTGTGGTGTTTGCAGGAGGACTCGGACAATGCTAAGTATTTCTCCCGTATGGCACAGCTGCAGCTCAAGTTCTACAAGTCCAGCAAGAGCAACCTAAAGTAAGCGGGCAAGGGAGATAATCAATAACCAAACAAAGTAACATTCATCTTCATCATTTAAAACTGCCTTGTTACCATGGCAACTAATTTGTGAATGTGTTGCATGCTGATATTGAGAATGTTTTACTATTAATAGCAAATGACAGTTAACAAATCTTGTGTTCTGTAACAGGCATGTGTAACTGTGGTAGACGAAGCATGGCGATATGTCCCCATCTTCTTTGTGGGCTTCTTATACAATGGTTGTAGAAATATGCAGCAGAGCAAAGATGTATAATATATTCAACATATACAGATATTGAAACTTATATGAAAACATTGCATTGTTAATACATGCAAAATGTTCCTAATGTCATCTCAGGAACCAGGGCTCTGGGGTAGCCTAGTGGTTAAAGCGTTCCCTTATCACGCCGAAGACCCAGGTTCGATTCCCCACATGGGTACAATGTGTGAAGCCCATTTCTGGTGTCCCCTGCTGTGATATTGCTGGAATATTGCTAAAAGCAGCGTAAAATTAAACTCACTCACTCATCTCAGGAACCAAGAAATCTGTTTTAACAACCCAGTATATTCGTTGTATGTACAGGTCTGTATTGAGACAAAATTAACATTTGTTGAAATATCTTTGTCCAGTTATTTAAGTTACAAATACAGGTCTTGATCGTGTTTTCTGTATGCATTCTGTATTGTTGCAAGTCTTGTGCATGTACATAGTCCCAAATGCACGCTCTCTGTTGGGAACAGGATGGGATTCACATTTGATAAAGAGCCTATATTTTTGGTTCTCAGATCAAAACAGCATCTCATCCTGTCATAAACCTGAAGTAATTAACTCTCAACCTATTGGTCACCCAAGTCTATTTTTTTCTTATTTTTTTTCTTATTGTGCAATATATAGGTTCTAAGTTTGAAGGGGCGGTGGGGTAGCCTAGTGGTTAAAGCATTGGCTCGTCACGCCGAAGACCCGGGCTCGAATCCCCACATGGGTACATTGTGTGAAGCCCATTTCTGGTGTCCCCTGCCGTGATGTTGCTGGAATATTGCTAAAAGCGGCGTAAAACTAAACTCAGTCAGTCAGTCTAAGTTTGAAATAATACAAAAATGAAATTTACGTGGGGATTTTGATGATAGGGAAGACCTGAACACCTAGAATGTTATTATGGTTTACTGGCAAAACAGAAAATTGGCAATTGAAGATGCTATTTAACCCAGTTGCAGTGATTTTGTTGACTATCTATTTCTGGGAGTAATGTGTTCACTTTGGAAAATAATGTAAACATTTGAAATAGTGAATACAGTAATAGAACACGTAGGATGACTGTGTTGCCTTTGGATGTGTTGCCTTCAGTGATGATTAGGAATGAGCTGTCAGAGTTAGTTGTAGCTTGAGATAGGGCAGTGGGGTAGCCTTGTGGTTAAAGTGTTTGCTCATCACGCGAAAGACTTGGGTTCGATTCCCCTCATGGGACAATGTGTGAAGCCCATTTCTGGTGCCCCCCGACATAATATTGCTAAAAGCGGCATAAAACTAAACTCACTCACTCACTCACTCAACAAGGAGCGTGCATCCTCCATTCATCTGAGCATCTTGTTCTGCATGTTGTGTTTGTTTCAGTGGCAGCCTCACTGATCTTCATCTCGCTAGTAACGAACATGAAGCAGCGATTCAACCGTAAGCTATAGACAGATGTTGTGTCAACATGCTGTATACTAACTGTATATTATCTAGTGTACCTGCATCTTGATGATAGTGTATCAGATACGCATGACATGGAGATCTTTTAAAACAGCACATGTAATTATAGCAGTATGGTTTTGTGAACCAGCAGTTTATGAACTTTTATATCCTGGGGTATAAGATGTGTATATCATGTTTGCATGTTATGGTATCTCCTCACATCAATGCATATATATCAGTGTGTCACCTTCTTTAGACATATTCATGATTATGGTTGGGTACTGCTATAGCAAGACTGATTAGTAGAAGTTTGAATCATCTTGACTTGGCTTGAGCATGCACCTTCTGTCTGTACCTAGAGACTGACCTTCACATTAGGAGGGGTTCTCATGTCTCCACTCAGTACTGGAAGAGACAGCTTAAATTGGTGCTTCTTGCAATCATAGCTTTCATTGCATAACAATGTCCAAGTGCACTTCATTCACACACTCAATGAGACTAATAAAAGATAATCATGACTGTTGTTCATGGTAGCAAGCTGACCTGCTGTAATTCTGTCCATTCAAGTAGTCAACTGAGCATTATAGTTATATATACTAAGTAATTGTCTAACTCTGCATGCAGCAATATACTAATACCACTGTCTTGAATTTGCATGTATCCATGGTAGTCATAAGATGACTTAATACCTTTCAGTATATTATGATGGATGCCTTGACACAGCAGGCTAGCTTAGTAGTGGAAGCGTTTGTCTTCAACCTGAGTTTAATTCCCATATGAGTGTACATCTCACGATTGCTGTGCCCTTCCATGATGTTGTTGATATGTTGCTAAGAGACACTTCACTCACTCATGTTTCGATGTATTCCAGGGATGTCCAGCAGGTAATGCTGCCACAGTCCGACTCACAGGAACTGGTAGGTTGCCCCAGTCGTGTCATATGTCACATCACTATGTGTCACAGTAGCTCGCATGGTGTCCAGTGATAATAGCATTCATGCTAGTTGCCAGAAAGTCCATTTCTTTTTGTCCCTGTTGGGGTAGTCTTGGATTGATGATAAAAGTGGTGTAAATGTGTACTCACTCTGATTTAAGTAGATGTTATTTATCTTGGAAAATCTTTCTTTCACACATGGGGGAACTTGTGGCCCCATCTTCTAACTATTGGCTATGCAGAGCTGCATCCAATCCATGAAGTTTTGGGTTATAAATAACTGGTCGCAACTGATCAGCAGCAAGCCTTGCTTGTCATAAAACTCAGCTAATGTCATGTCACTCATACATGTCATCATATCTCAATTGCCAAAGTTGATGCTCATTATGTCAATTACTGGTTTGTCTTGTCCAGACTTGATTATTTACACACTAATTACACGTTGTGTAGCTAAAATATTGCTCAGTGCGTCATTAAAAAAAAAAAAGAAAGAGTTGCATCCCTTGCCCAGAACTCTGATCGCTAGATTGACACCTGTTTACCCAGTAGGGTTTCAAGGCTTGTCTGCAGCATACCGATGCTTGCTGGTTTTACTAAGAGGTAAACTTGAGAGACCTGCATATGGTCAGCATTTCCTCCCACTTTAAGTCGACAGTCCATGTTATAACTGGAATACTGTTCAGAGCAGTGTTTAACCAAACTCACTCATTCACTCCTCTCTCAGAGGCAGTGGGGTAGCCTAGTGGTTAAAGCGTTGCGCTCGTCACGCCAAAGGCCCGGGTTTGATTCCCCACATGGGCACAATGTGTGAAGCCCATTTCTGGTGTCCCCTGCCGTGATATTGCTGGAATATTGCTAAAAGCGGCATAAAACACAAGTCACTCACTCATTCCTCTCTCACTCAAAACTGTGAGAAATGTTGATGTTATTTGATATTTAAACTTGATTCAGGATTGTAAGGAAAGGTTAATTTTATGTTGCAGAATGGTTGTATTTTCAATTTGTTTCTTTTCTGTTTCTCCAGACAAACTCACAAACCTCCCTGGTATACCTACAAGAACAAAGGTATTCACAAGGTGAGATTTCATTTGTGTGTTGACCAGTCAGAGATAACCATCTGTTGGGGCTGTTGTAGAAATAGATCACTTTTATTCTTTCAAGCATGTCCAATAAAAGCTAGTTCAGAATTCTTCTGAGGTAACAGTGATGCATTCTAAAGCATTGAGATTGAATAGGTGTCAGATATACTATCCTATCTGTCCAAAACTAAACTACACACAAATTGCTTGAAAATATAGCACGCAATTAGGAAATATTTCAGTTATGTGGTATGCTTATTTATTATTTCCAGTTTTTCAATTACCCAGGTATGATCAATTTGTTCCAAAAGTGATCTTTGCACTGCAGTTTTTGTAAGTCAGTGTTTAAGAGGAGGGGTTTTGATCTTCTATTGATCGGATTTTGAATTTTGCGGAAGCTGTTGACTGATTAAGTGACTCGTTATCATCTTTTTGACAGAGTTTCAGCAACAACAGCAACATCAGCAACAACAACAACATCAGCATCAATCACAGCAACAGCTGACATCAGCTATGATGACTGAAGATTACTACAACAACTCTCAACAAAGTCTTGACAAATCTGTGCCCGATGTCCAGCAGACGCCAAGAGCTGAGAGTGACCCTGGTATCCATGGTGGCATGTATGGTGGTCAGCAGACGCCAATGCAACCAGCGGTGCAGACACCGGTGTCTCAGAATAATCCAAGATCAGCCATGTTGCCAGCCTACAGACCAGCCCCTACATACGAGGCTGTCATGAGACACCGTGTTACTCATCAACAGCAGCAACAGCAACAACAACAACAGCAGCAGCAACAACCTGATGTGAGTGGTCAGACCCTGGGGAACTCCCAAATTTACACCCATCCGGAGGGCGTGGCGTACAGTCAGCCTGAGATCAGGCAGCATGTGTCATCGTATCCCAGTGAGACACAGTATGTTAATGCTGCAGCAATCCGAAACTACAGCCATTCAATCTATGCAAACGTTTTCCATGATGGACACAATTATTACGCTTACAGATCGGCAGAGAGAGGTAACAACCTTGCTGTTCACCCAACTTACAGTTCCCCAGAACTCAACACACAAGGACTGCCTGAACAGTATTCAGACAATCTGATGAGTGAATCTCTTGCCTACCAATACCGTCCTCCTCCTCCCTACCCTCGAGCCAGCAGTAGCACTCCTGACCTGGCTGTACAGACAGGCATCACTTCAGCCAATCAGGCTCCAGACCTTTTACCCGCAGCAGAACTCTGGGAAGAGCACTCTTGCTGCTCAGTCTCGATTGGATAAAAGTGTTGACAATCTTTCTGAAGTTGTTCCTGTGGCAAAGGATGTTGGAAGAGTGATTCAGATTGAGCAAGATAAAGAGGACACTTCCAGTGAAAATTCTTATGCTACATTTCATGCCAAAGAGAGTGACAGTTCAGACAATGAGAGTATCAAGCGGGAGAGGGCAGGGTCGGAGAAGTCAAAGATTCAGGTGTGTTTAGTGGCACCAAAGGAAGCCCCTCCGCCTTCCAAATCCAAGGAGGTAGCTACTCTGAGAGAAAGTTTCCGACGGATGATGATCGCCAGATCGGGATCAATGAACAGTGGTAAGCAGAAGCCGGTGATCCATGTTACCTCTAGTGGAGGGAAAGACTCTGAGGTGAAATCCACAAACATAGAAAGCAGTCTTCCACGAGTAGAGGAGCAGACGGATAGAGGTGTTCAGCAGATGTCACTTGGAGAGAAGCAGACGACAGCTGAAGCCAAGCTTGGCCTGAGACCTCCCCCTCCATATATAGCTCCCAGAGAGACTGGCAAAGGTCAGTCTGACAACATTTCTAAGAAGAGTGACAGTGACGCTGAGAGTATTCAGTGTCTGGACATGACCAAGGTCAGTGAGGAGGCCGGCCACAAGGTCACAGGGTCCTTGGACTCCACCAACTCCCAGCAGGACAACGATGACGGGTCAGACAGCGACATCGGCTCTGTTGATGTAAGACTTGAACTTAGTTCCTTTGTTATGTGTGTCATCGTGATACTTAGCGATCATTTGCCATCAGTGTTGTGAAGGAGAGAATTTATTGATGTCAACTATATGCTTACTCAATCATTCATCTGATGAAAGAGAAGAAGCAGAATACTCCAAAACTTTGTGCACTTTATAATAAAGACGTTCAGATGAATAAATTCTGTCCTGTACATGTATCACTTCTAAATGCTATTCAGAGACTTGAAACAGGGTTTTAATATTTAAATGTTCTAGAACAGGGCCTAGATTTTCAAAGCTCTCTTAGCTCTAAGATAGTCATAAGATTAACATTAGTGCCATACATTAACATTAGCCCAGGTATCTTATCTTGGCGCTAAGAGAGCTTCAAACATTTAGGCCCAGGTATCTTACTTATGGCCTTGCTAAACAAAAAAAAAACATGCCTTGGTGAATGATCAAATATTCAGTGAACTCATCATGGTTTAAGAATAGATGTTTCAATAATGGCACTTGTTGACTTTCTCCAGGATGCGACGGTGAAGCGAGTTAACATGGGCCCTCTGAAGGTGGCAGCCATGAATGGTCTAAGTCTGTCAAGACCCATGGTGCTGGCCCTCATGAACGATGAAAGCAGAGCTCCCAAAGATGAGAGGGTATGTACAAGGGAGACAATCCAAAATCTTTTTATAAGCAGGACAATAATATGATGTCTTAAATGTGAAAAAAGGTAGTTCAGTACTGACTGACTTGTTGAATGATACTGTACAATAAATGTTTGTGATGTACTTGTGCTCCCTCCGAATATGACCACTTACATAATCTCAGCAGCAGTGTGTAACAAGTGGAACGAGATATGCGTGAATTTGTTATTGGTTTAACTTCCCAGCAACATTTCCTGAATATCCTTCCCAAGAGTATGTCCCAATTTCGAAACTATTTTACTTATGCAATGATGTAATGATAAATAGTTCATAGGCAGAAGAATATTTTATTCATTATTATTGTAGCTCCACTTTTGTCAGCTTGTTCACACTAATATACAAAATGGAACCTTTGATGGATAATGTCACTATTGCCAAAGGTTGTGTTGAGGTTTAAGATGTTGTGTTGTGTTTAGCGCAAGATTCTAGAGAGTAAGATCTCTGAGGGACAAGTGTTTGTGGAATTTGAGGAGGTCCCAAAGAAAGCCCCCAATCAGGAGTTTGCCATTGCCAAACTTGCCACCAATGAATCGAGGAACAGATTTAAAGACGTGCTTCCCTACGATGCCACAAGGGTGAAACTGACTGCCAGGAAGGACAACCAATATGGATATATTAACGCATCTCATGTGAAGGTAGATTGCATTTTTGTTTGTGGATACAGTTAAGTAAAATATATACACAGTGATTATTGGCAAAGTCTTGAGCACACTCTTATTCTGATTTCAGATCAAGGAAAATATTATCATGGTAACTATTTTAATTCAAAATGATTTTCACATTTCTTGTTAGTATGGGGATAACTTGACATTCCAGTCACCATTTGAAGTGGTAGCTGAAACATGGAACATGCATAACTTGATAAACACCAAGAAATTATAATCACAATGAATATAAATGTGACAATGTTTATGTCCAGCTTGAAGCAGAAAACAACGACTGGTGGTTCATCGCAACACAAGCCCCACTGGAGAACACTGTTGCTGACTTCTGGCAAATGGTCTGGGAGCAGGATGTGAATGTCATCGCCATGTTGACTGCACTGACGGTGAGACACATGCTTTCACAGTTAGGACATTAGAATAACCCAGTTATAAAGCATTCACTTGTCATGATTCACCAAAACATATAGTGGTAATATTTCGATAATACCACAGGATGTATTTCATTAGTTCTGTTACCATGGTTACAGGAACTTGGGAAGAACAAGTGTTTTCCTTATTGGCCCCAAGAAGCAGGAACAGAAACCAAGCAGATAGTTGGTGATGTAAGTATGATGGGATTACTAGAAACAAAACATTGTATTGCTTGATTATTTCGTCTTCATAACATCAATATGAAATTGTAAATATGTGTGTTTGTTGTGTAACATCTCACTGAGTAATAATCCAGCGATATGATGGCAGTCTATAAGTAACCAAGTCATGATGAGACAATCCAATGATCAGGGTAGGTTGGTATGCAGTTGGCCCAGTCACTGACCCTCACTGCCTGATTCATAAGTTGCTGGGTGTCTGTTTGCAATCAGAATACAAACTGCCCTATTGTATACAACATTGTACTAAAATGTTGTAAATCTGATGTCTTCAGTTCGAGGTGACGCTAGAGTTTACCGACAACTCCTTGTGCTATGTGACAAGTCGCATTGTGGTGCGCCACCTACCGAGCTCCAAGGAGAGGATGATCTGGCACCTGCAGTACACTGACTGGCCGGACCATGGTTGCCCAGAGGATGTCTATGGGTTTCTAGGTGAGAGCTAGATTGTTGACAAGTATTGTAGACAGAGTCAATCTCAGGAGCATCATGCTGCTTTCTGACACGACAGGTGCACCAGCCATGAGAAACAGCTAAAGTGTAGAAAGAATCAATCTAGGAGCATCCATACAGAAACACTTAAAGAGATAGACTATTGATAGCCGTTGATATCATGATGATATCTTCAGTAATAATTATGATAGTTTTATAATTCTAGAGAGTGGCATTTAAATGTTGAAAAGGCACCAAAAGCAATAGGAACCTGGGAGAATCATGTTTTATATACAGCCGTTACAGAAACACTTAAAGAGAAAGATTTTAACACTTGATATCATGTAGCTTTCAGTATTGATTATGATATTATTTAATTCTACAGAGTGGCATTTACAAGTTGAAAATGGCTCGAAAAGCAGTACATAAAAGGTTGAAACACCATGCAAAGGAGTGATATTTAATGATGTCATCATCTTATATTTGGTTCAGGATTTCTTGATGAGATAGAATCTGTGCGCCGCTTGGCTGAGAGTGAGGAGGGGAGTGGGAAGAAGGCTCCAGTCATCGTCCACTGCAGCGCTGGTGTAGGCAGGACTGGCGTTGTCATCCTCACCATGGTGATGAAGTGGTGCCTGGAACACAACCATGTAAGTGGGACAGTTATTCATCCTCTGTAGAGGCATCTGGGTGTATGTACTATGCCCAGTTATTCATCCTCTGTAGAGGCATCAGGGAGTATGTAGTATGCCCAGTTATTCATCCTCTGTAGAGGCATCAGGGAGTATGTAGTATGCTCAGTTGAGCATCCTCTGTAGAGGCATCAGGGAGTATGTAGTATGCCCAGTTATTCATCCTCTGTAGAGGCATCTGGGAGTATGTAGTATGCTCAGTTATTCATCCTCTGTAGAGGCATCTGGGAGTATGTAGTATGCTCAGTTATTCATCCTCTGTAGAGGCATCAGGGAGTATGTAGTATGCCCAGTTATTCATCCTCTGTAGAGGCACCTGGGAGTATGCAGTATGCCCAGTTATTCATCCTCTGTAGAGGCATCAGGGAATATGTAGTATGCTCAGTTATACATCCTCTGTAGAGGCATCAGGGAGTATGTAGTATGCCCAGTTATTCATCCTCTGTAGAGGCACCTTGGAGTATGTAGTATGCCCAGTTATTCATCCTCTGTAGAGGCATCTGGGAGTATGTAGTATGCTCAGTTATACATCCTCTGTAGAGGCATCTGGGAGTATGTAGTATGCTCAGTTATTAATCCTCTGTAGAGGCATCAGGGAATATGTATTATGCCCAGTTATTAATCCTCTGTAGAGGCATCAGGGAGTATGTAGTATGCTCAGTTGAGCATCCTCTGTAGAGGCATCTGGGAGTATGTAGTATGCCCAGTTATTCATCATCTGTAGAGGCATCTGGGAGTATGTAGTATGTCCAGTTATTCATCCTCTGTAGAGGCATCTGGGAGTATGTAGTATGCTCAGTTATCATCCTCTGTAGAGGCATCTGGGAGTATGTAGTATGCCCAGTTATTCATCCTCTGTAGAGGCATCTGGGAGTATGTAGTATGCCCAGTTATTCATCCTCTGTAGAGGCATCTGGGAGTATGTAGTATGCTCAGTTATTCATCCTCTGTAGAGGAGTCTGGGAGTATGTAGTATGCTCATCTGAGCATCCTCTGTAGAGGCATCTGGGAGTATGTAGTATGCTCAGTTATACATCCTCTGTAGAGGCATCTGGGAGTATGTAGTATGCTCAGTTATTCATCCTCTGTAGAGGCATCAGGGAATATGTATTATGCCCAGTTATTAATCCTCTGTAGAGGCATCAGGGAGTATGTAGTATGCTCAGTTGAGCATCCTCTGTAGAGGCATCTGGGAGTATGTAGTATGCCCAGTTATTCATCATCTGTAGAGGCATCTGGGAGTATGTAGTATGTCCAGTTATTCATCCTCTGTAGAGGCATCTGGGAGTATGTAGTATGCTCAGTTATCATCCTCTGTAGAGGCATCTGGGAGTATGTAGTATGCCCAGTTATTCATCCTCTGTAGAGGCATCTGGGAGTATGTAGTATGCCCAGTTATTCATCCTCTGTAGAGGCATCTGGGAGTATGTAGTATGCTCAGTTATTCATCCTCTGTAGAGGAGTCTGGGAGTATGTAGTATGCTCATCTGAGCATCCTCTGTAGAGGCATCTGGGAGTATATAGTATGCCCAGTTATTCATCCTCTGTAGAGACATCTGGGAGTATGTAGTATGCCCAGTTATTCATCCTCTGTAGAGGCATCTGGGAGGATGTAGTATGCCCAGTTTTTCATCCTCTGTAGAGACATCAGGGAATATGTAGTATGCTCAGTTATTCATCCTCTGTAGAGGCATCTGGGAGTATGTAGTATGCCCAGTTATTCATCCTCTGTAGAGGCATCAGGGAGTATGTAGTATGCCCAGTTATTCATCCTCTGTAGAGGCATCTGGGAGTATGTAGTATGTCCAGTTATTTATCCTCTGTAGAGGCATCAGGGAGTATGTAGTATGCCCAGTTATTCATCCTCTGTAGAGGCACCTTGGAGTATGTAGTATGCCCAGTTATTCATCCTCTGTAGAGGCATCAGGGAGTATGTAGTATGCTCAGTTATCATCCTCTGTAGAGGCATCTGGGAGTATGTAGTATGACCAGTTATTCATCCTCTGTAGAGGCATCTGGGAGTATGTAGTATGCTCAGTTATTCATCCTCTGTAGAGGCATCAGGGAGTATGTAGTATGCCCAGTTATTCATCCTCTGTAGAGGCATCTGGGAGTATGTAGTATGACAAGTTATTCATCCTCTGTAGAGGCATCTGGGAGTATGTAGTATGCTCAGTTATTCATCCTCTGTAGAGGCATCAGGGAGTATGTAGTATGCCCAGTTATTCATCCTCTGTAGAGGCATCAGGGAGTATGTAGTATGCTCAGTTGAGCATCCCTCTGTAGAGGCATCAGGAGTATGTAGTATGCCCAGTTATTCATCCTCTGTAGAGGCATCTGGGAGTATGTAGTATGCCCAGTTATTCATCCTCTGTAGAGGCATCTGGGAGTATGTAGTATGCCCAGTTATTCATCCTCTGTAGAGGCATCAGGGAGTATGTAGTATGCTCAGTTGAGCATCCTCTGTAGAGGCATCAGGGAGTATGTAGTATGCCCAGTTATTCATCCTCTGTAGAGGCATCTGGGAGTATGTAGTATGCCCAGTTATTCATCCTCTGTAGAGGCATCTGGGAGTATGTAGTATGCTCAGTTATTCATCCTCTGTAGAGGCATCTGGGAGTATGTAGTATGCTCAGTTATTCATCCTCTGTAGAGGCATCAGGGAGTATGTAGTATGCCCAGTTATTCATCCTCTGTAGAGGCATCTGGGAGTATGTAGTATGCTCAGTTGAGCATCCTCTGTAGAGGCATCAGGGAGTATGTAGTATGCCCAGTTATTCATCCTCTGTAGAGGCATCTGGGAGTATGTAGTATGCCCAGTTATTCATCCTCTGGAGAGGCATCTGGGAGTATGTAGTATGCCCAGTTATTCATCCTCTGTAGAGGCATCTGGGAGTATGTAGTATGCTCAGTTGAGCATCCTCTGTAGAGGCATCAGGGAGTATGTAGTATGCCCAGTTATTCATCCTCTGTAGAGGCACCTGGGAGTATGTAGTATGCTCAGTTACTCGTCCTCTGTAGAGGCACCTGGGAGTATGTAGTATGCCCAGTTATTCATCCTCTGTAGAGGCATCTGGGAGTATGTAGTATGCCCAGTTATTCATCCTCTGTAGAGGCATCAGGGAGTATGTAGTATGCCCAGTTATTCATCCTCTGTAGAGGCATCTGGGAGTATGTAGTATGCTCAGTTACTCATCCTCTGTAGAGGCATCTGGGAGTATGTAGTATGCCCAGTTATTCATCCTCTGTAGAGGCATCTGAGGGCATGAGTTTGTTGCAGTTCACTGTGAACAGTTGCATTCCCCTGGCATGACAGAAACCTGTTATGTGAGTTCAAATCCTGGTTTAAGTTTGTAGATTTGTAAGCAGCATACCCATGTTCTTTGACTCGTGAAGATCCGGGTTAGAATTGGTCTTCAGCAACCCATGTTTGTCGTAAGACCAGACTAATGGGATCTGGTGGGCAGGCTCACTGACTTGGTTGACACATGTCAGCGTATCCCAATTGCGTAGATCAATGCTAATGTATTGATCACTGGCTTGTCTGGTCCAGACTCAATTATTTACAGACCGCCGCCATATAGCTGGAATATTGCTGAGTGTGGCATTAAACAACCAACCAACCCACCCATGTTCTTGGGTTTTGCCAAAGTGTTTTACATCTGTGACCTCACTTTGGGCTGTCCCCCCAATTAAGCAGACATGCTGTGATGTAACTGGAATGCTGTTCACAGTGGCATTAAACCTACTTGCTCATTCCTCTCATGTCATGATGCTATTACAACAGCGGTACAGGATTATTTGTTACATGCCTTATATCAAATGTTAGTACATTAGACAACAAACTCCTGAAAATGTCAGATCCTGGGTGGTCAAAATGAATTTAGTGCGACAACTGTAGATACGTTTTACTAGCACGTCCTTTGTGTGGTTTCAGAGTGTGGACCTGCTGAATGTATCCTTGAGCTAGCATGTCCTTTGTATGCTTTCAGAGTGTGGACCTGCTCAATGTATCCTTGAGCTAGCATGTCCTTTGTGTGGTTTCAGAGTGTGGACCTGCTCAATGTATCCCTGAGCTAGCACGTCCTTTGTATGGTTTCAGAGTGTGGACCTGCTCAATGTATCCTTGAGCTAGCATGTCCTTTGTGTGGTTTCAGAGTGTGGACCTGCTGAATGTATCCTTGAGCTAGCACGTCCTTTGTATCGTTTCAGAGTGTGGACCTGCTCAATGTATCCTTGAGCTAGCATGTCCTTTGTGTGGTTTCAGAGTGTGGACCTGCTCAATGTATCCCTGAGCTAGCATGTCCTTTGTGTGGTTTCAGAGTGTGGACCTGCTCAATGTATCCCTGAGCTAGCACGTCCTTTGGGTGGTTTCAGAGTGTGGACCTGCTCAATGTATCCCTGAGCTAGCATGTCCTTTGTGTGGTATCAGAGTGTGGACCTGCTCAATGTATCCTTGAACTAGCACGTCTTTTGTATGGTTTCAGAGTGTGGACCTTCCCAAGGCGCTGGAGGGTATTCGCAAGCAGCGGATGTACATGGTACAGACTCTCGGGCAATACCAGTTTATCCACAAAACTCTCATCCAGTACCTTAAGAACACAAGACTCATCTAGTGCTCCCGACATGAACTGCTTCACCAAAACGAGCTTTCAAAATACTGAACACGGTTTTACCATTGAGATTGGGACTGGGAAATTTTGTCATTAACAAGCTAGTGTCATGAGACCAAGAAAGATTTTTTTGTTTATAGTGATATATACTTTATTCTTGTTGTGATCCTTCTTGTAGGTCTTAACAGCTTTAAATATTTCATTAATGATGTTTTTCATCACTTCAATGGTCCAGCATAGACAAAATTCTCATTCATTACCAATAATCCCTCCAGTAACAGGTGCCCTTATTAATCTTGATTATATTTTTGTCATCAAAGCATTTTGATCAAAATGTGCCTTCACACAAAGCTAGAAGCCTTATACTGTACAAAATAATCAGGATCTCCTTCAATACTGATTTCAAATTCCATTTTCTAATTAAAAGAGACAAAGTTGTATTGTAAGGTTGTTGATAAGGTTGCATGGATGTGATGATTTATTGGTTGGCATGGAGATTAATGGCAAACATACTTGGCCTTCCTGCTACTTATCTATTTAAGAAGCATTCCGAACATATATTATAGCTTAGGGGCAGTGAATGGTGACGTATCTTTAGGATTCAGTTGCCAGTTCTCTCCCTTTGACTGTATGCTGTGTATGAGCTTTGTCGCTGCCATGTCTTAATGCATTTAGCAACTTTTAGTGCCTGGTTGTCGTATAATCATGGAGCAAGGTTTTAACATTTTCAGGCTGTAGTATCTATTACTTATGACAAATATTGCCATGGATATTTTGTCCAAATCTAAAGCTGTTTGTCCAGTGTTCAGAATACGCACCTGCCCATAGGTCCATGGCAGGTAGATGTCAAGTTGAGCTATTGTATCTAAATTGTACGGGTACTAATTGCCCACTGAAACTTTACTTGTGGATCTATTTGCCACACTATGATGCAGGTTGTTATTTTTAATGTGGGCCTAAAGAGACTAGTCAGAGCCTGAAGCTTCTAAAGTCTGAGGCTCCTCATGACAGCCTAGCTATTATTCTTTATTTTTAGACTGAACGTTTCTATGGCAACATGCCCACCATGAACAAATGTTGGTCAAATACTGATTTTCTGTTCTCAGAAAATATGCAATAATAATGTTAGATGACACAGTTCTGTTAAAGGAATCACATTGATATTTCAAGTGCTCAATATGTCTACAGGAACATTATCGTCTTCGCGAACAAATGTTGGTCAAATACTGATTGTGTTGTTATAGATATGAAATAATAATGTTAGATGACACACTCCTGTCATATCATAGGGATCAGATCGATATGTTTGATATTACAGTCTGATGTTTTTGTAATCAATGTATGTTATAAAGAATTTGTGTTTCACCAGGAAACAAATTGTAAATAGTATGTGAACTGTATTATAAGTAGTTAATGCCTCACACACATACTCAAATGTTGTGTAAAAAGCGTATCACAGTGTTTGAAATCTGACAAGGAGCAGTAGACTGACCTTTAGCATGCAGCCATTGAACTCAAAACATTGGCACAAGTTAATGCACAAACAGCCAACGAGCATTATTATAAGGCTATAAGAACAATGTGTTAATTACATGGAATACAGTATTTGTATATTAGCATCAAGGTGTGATATATTGGTAGTGATACGGGATGATATCTCATTGTGATTTCTTCAGAATGATGCAATACAGAGCGCAGATCAAACATGTTCCATCCAATATTAACTGTAGTATAGACAGTGATAGTATAGACACTGGGGTTGAGGGACTTGCTGGCTGTAGTCCGAAGAACAAACCGAAGTAGATTTTTTTGTATTTGTAAGTTGGAATCTCAATCAGTCCCTCATAATATGGGAAATTGTGTTTTCTTTGATAAAAATGATTAATTTTGAATATGATAATTGTATATTTGCTTTCATATCTATTTATTCCTTTCATGTACTGTGTGTTAATGTGCTTTGCATTTAGTTATTTCTACCCCAGTGCTGGAGCTAGGGTGTGTTCATTGTCAGAAACAGTGCTTCCGTCCTCTGCACCATGTCTTAAGTTGACTCTGGGCAGCATGATTCCCATATACCTTGTGTAATGACAAGGTCCTACCAGATATGGATGTATATATTCAGTTTCGCAAAAACATACACTAAACATTTGTGTGAACAAATATTACATGCTATTTTTGTAATTCGGACTTGCTGTGTATAACTGCAAGATGTCTGACGGCATTAATCACCCATTTACTCACTGTAACGCGTTTAAACTATGACATAGATATGTAAAATCATTATTTTGTTTTGTGTGCAGAAAATGCCATATTGTATATCAGTGTTCACTACCAGAGTTTAGGTCCACATCATGTCATCACATCTGTTGTGGTGTATGGCTTCCATTCTGGAATTGTACCCTGAAACCACCAAAATCCTGTAAATGTATGGATCAGGACAATTTTTACTGTGTCATTTGATCACTGAAATCTGATCTCTTTGACTGTTTGTTAATTCAACTTTTATGAATTTTTAAAGGAAATTCAAACCACTTTTATGCAACAGGTATTTTCATTCAAACAGTCAGTATATTGATGATTATCATCTATTCTTTGATGTAAACAGTTTAAGAAAACTATATTCCTTCTGACGATGGGGTCGCTTACAGGAAATATCCCAACCCCAAACTTTTGATAAGTGAGTCCAATATGGACCTACACCTAACACTATGGTACTGCATTCAACCAAATAAATACCCTAGACACTCTCACTACACTCAGGTCAAGTGAAGTGCAGGTTGCTTATGAGGTTGAATATGGTAATTATTAAAGATGCTGATGTTATATAAAAGTTGACACTGCCATATTAGTTTTTTCAAACTGCATATTTCCATATAATGGGATGGGCCTAGTCAGTGCTTTGGCAGTGTTTATAGAGTTTTGTACATAGTAGAGACATCATTTCATTTTACATTTGTCATTCAGCAACTTTGTGGTACTGTATTTTTCGTACTTTTAGACTGAATAACCTTTTACAAAAGTATTCAGAGACCCATCAATACCCATGCATTCCTTGGGGTCTGGTGATTCATTGCAGGGTAGAGAACTATAAAATATTTTAGTGTTGTGAATGTGAAGTGAAATTGTGTTAAAACAGGGTAGATCTCCCTCCAGGTTGGTGTCAGATGTTTGAAAGATTCCTTTCAATATTAGTTGCTGCACCCCTCCTAACTAGACACCTACTTTCCACTAATGCCTTATATTTTCATTGTGATAAATGCAGAATTTTGTATAGTTGTTCATTTGTAAATATTGAACTGATCTATATTCTAGAACCATTTATATTTCACAAACTTTTTGACTGTATTTTACACATATATTTGATGTCAGTTAAACCTGAGTAATGCCACTTGATGACAATGGTGATTTTGCAAGGGGAGGTGGCTTTCCCTGAAAAGTTGTCTCCCTTGTGCTGGTTTCCGTTTTCAGTTTCAGCAATCCCTTCATCATTGAGCTATGCGCAGAAACAGTTTGGATCTTTCAGCAAATAGTGACATTTCGTGAAAATCTAGAACTATTGTTCACCTTGTAAGTTTGAAAAAGAGCTGGATGCAAACTTGAAAATCTAGGACAAATCAGTGAAAAGGTATATGAGTCACATATACCACTCAAAGAAGTTAAACACCACCTGATTCTATAGTTATCGTTAATCTGTCATAGGTTTGCAGATTAACTATAGAAATATGAATGAACTGGGTGTTTTTTTAACTTCTTTTGAAGAACATGCATTTTTTTCAAGCTATGTAATTCATGATATCGTTCAATAAGTTGTTTGGAAAATATCAGTGCAGAAAAAAGTGCTCCAGAAAAGTTCAGTTCTTTAACATTGTTGGAGGTAAACCGTAGTCCTTTACTGAACTCTAACTTGTTGGTGTAAAGTAATACTTGCATGAATAAAGCATATTTAAGACAATTTATTCCCATTCAATAAAGGTGGGAATCCATGTAGCAGTTCACATTGTGTGCTAAGCTTCAATCGTGTTTGGTCTTCATAAGCCTGACTGTCTCATATTTTCATCTTCAGTTGGAAGTGCATGTTCTAAACCTGCTAAAGAGGGACTCTCTTAGGGCATGAAATAGTGTGGCAGTATGATACACGGGAAATCATGCAATGAAATTCATGATTCATTGGAAATCCTAAACATTTTTGTATATAATACAAATGATGCATGTTCTTGAATTCAAGGTCTTGTATTATTTTCATCCTAGTTTTTGCCAGCTTGAACAGTATTTTAAAGGAAGCATGTTACTACACTGAAGAATGGAAGAAATTCTATTGTTACTTGTGTGATTTGTTATTCACATCCGGCCTGAAAAGTGCCTTTTATAACAAAAATGAAATAAAATCTTCAAGAAAATAGTTGTGTTTTCTGTGAGATATTGTAATAGCTGTTGTTTGATACAATACTCAGAAAGGCCTTATATATTTTTTTTTTTGTTTACAAGTTCATGAAAAATCTCTGAAATTAAAAGAATAAATACTTTTGACAAATTATTTTGTGAAGCAAATTTTAAAATAAAAGGCCCAAGTAATTGAATCTGCTTGAGTGAGTGAGTTTTGTTTTAGCAATATTCCAGCAATATCACGGCGAGGGACACGAGAAATGGGCTTCCCACATTGTACCCATGTGGGAAATCGAACCTGGGTCTTCAGGTGACAATCAAACGCTTCAACCACTAAGCTACCCAACAGCCCTGAATCTCACTGAGAAGAAACAGGGATTGGCATAATGAGCAACGTCCACAGCATCTGGTTGCAATAACACACAATCAGCCAAGTAAAGGAGTAGACAGCTGTATCACTGGCATGAGGTTGAATGACAGGCTTAGCCTGCTGTAACTTGCAGTCCCCATGACAGATTATAAATGTTAAATTGTGTTGTGATGGCAATGCTTTATCACTTCACTGTAGTCGGGCAATTGATTTACTTGCACAATATCTAACAACATACATTTATTGTGACTTAATGTCGGAAGTAATTGGGTAGGGATTATACATTTCTGTTCTGACATGGTATTAATATGTAGATTTGGAGCTTGTTTGCAAATTCTCTGGATTTTCAGAATGAAATTAGTTGAATCATATGTTACAGTAACTGAGTTTCAAAACTGATAGATGTTAGGTGGGTGCTTTGGGTGAACTTTAACATGGAAAAGGATGTAATTTCAAAGGGAAACATTTTAAACAAAATGGACTCATAAAACTTTGTCACTAACAGGCTCTCTTGGTAAAACAAAAGAAAAATTGGTTTGGGAGTCACCAGTGGGCTTCATAAAGCGTGAATCACAAGATTATCCAACAGCCATGTTCAAGTAAGACACCATTTGTGGTGAAAGAAGAGGTGGAACCAGTTCCCTATTGACGTCAAAGGTTTGCCAGCCAATGTTTTCATAATTTGATTCACTGAGATATAAATATCAATAGATCTTAAATGACAGCAGAATAAACATTCTCTTTTGACCATTTATTGATACACTAAATTAAATAAATAACATATAAACATGCTTCATAATATGGAAATAATGTGACTGTCTTTCACAAGTCATTTCCACAACTCATTACCATTGTCATGGGTCACCGTGTCCAGAGTTTTAGATATCATGATGTTGCTTTATGAACTTATACCTAGTGAAAGGACAGAATAATCCATTTTCCAAATATAGATATCTTTATCGCATCAACATTGAAATGCGCAACTATATCACATTTTGGGGTACAAAGGACAGTGAACTGTATGTGACGCACCTTGATACATACCAGTACTCCAGCATTTACTGATGTTTACTGAAGGCCTCCCTCTGCAGAAATTATACCTGGAAAGTTGGTTTGCTTCTTCTTTAAAGTCGTACTCAGCACATTTTCAATTAAAGGACGGTGGTTTGTAAATAACTGAGTTTGTACCAGACAATTCAGTGATGGACATGAGCATCCATCTTTGCAATTTCCTCTTCACTCGTACTAAAAGCGTGTTGATGAAAACCAATCCTCACCCAAGACAGCAGGTCCTGTAGGTCCATTGGTAATTCATTCATACAGCAGAATACAAAACACATTGAAAATGCATCCCAGTCAGATCAGCTGGGTCATCTTGTCTTTTTTTTCGTTTTCCTCACAATCTCAAACCCTGTAAAGTGATACTTCTCAATTGTCTTTTTATCTGAAAATTCACATTTCTCAATTTTTGACTTGGGACTTCCTGTATTCTGAAGCCAATTCATCCTGAAACATGAATCAGACAATACACAGTCAATCAGACTATTTTTCAGACTGAGATTGCTACAAAGTATAGTGACAAACAATATTTTCAACCTTTTATGATCTGGATCTGGTTGTACCATTGCTTCATTAAAGTTTGATACAACCGAGTCCAGGTCACCATCTGAATGATCAGATCACCCACAGAATCTGAAGTGACTTTGTATCAAACAAAATTTAGTGTTAGCTTTTTCTCCACAAATTCCTGTTAATCACTTTTATTACAGCTGAATGTACCTTGTGCTACTTACATGACTGAGACATCCTCTTCAGGACCCTGCACCTCCCCTGTCACTGTGCCTCGGTCAGTGTTCTTCACCCATCCTCTCAGTCTATGCTTGTCCGCAGTCTCCTTGGTGTTCTGGTGTCACAACAATGTGAATGAAATATTTCTGATAGCTAAAACCTTCGTCTATAGATCACACCTCCTTTTCACCATTTATGAGCTTAGTACAGCTTAACTTTGAACAAATTTATTATTCTATAGAAAGTACTGTCTTGTGAGATGTCATGTTTTAATCAGTCCTAGCAGAGATCATATAATAGATTATATGGTCTCTGTTCTTAGGTAGAATAATTTTTAACATCAAATAAATATTCACACATTTATAACACTATGTCATGGCTGGCCTAACTTTGATTCCACGTTCACGTTTTTCATTTTTTTTCTAACTATGTACAAGTGTCCTCTGGATCATACCATACTCAGTACTGTGATTGTAAACGCAACAAGTATGTTAGCCTTGTCTGGCCACGACAAACATAGGTTGCTGGGAATTACACCCTGGAATCTTTGGATATAGTATTTGATCAGAGACTATCTATTATATATGGTCTCTGATTTGACTGACCGACTGACTGATACACATGATGGCCAAAAGAAGGGACTTAATTACAATAATTTCCTTGTAAATGCCGTCAGATTAAGAATTAATCTACACGAGTAGATTCAAGTTGGTGAACCGCTAATCCATTAGCTAAGATACCGTGAACTATCTCTCTGGTTTTCACACTCACCTTGCGAAAAAATACACCTGAAATGCAATGGAACGGGAAAATGAAAAAGTTATTAACACATTAGTTTATTGTTTTATTACCCACAGCCAAAATTAAACATAAGAAGCTAAGACATTGTATATCCAGGTTCTAAAAAAAGGTTATCTCCCCTGCACTTTCGTTTGATGTTGATGTGAATGTTTTTACTCCACGGCGAACTGTCGCGTCGTCCAAATACGTTCGCGTAAATACAAAAAATAGTATTTACAATGCTTTTCGGGCTCGCTTTTCCAAAAATTACCTTGAACTTTCCCATAGACCTCAAAGCTCACAGAGAGCAATTTTCGTCCCCTGTCTGCCATGGTAACAGTTTACTGGGCTCCTGTCTACATCTACTAGCTGAGGCTAAAAGCGTTAAGCTTGCTGTGCGTAGCAACAGTATAACCAGTATAACAGCTGTACTGAGCACTCGTCTGCTAAACCGTTTCAGTTGTTGGTATGCGCAGTCGACTGGATCCAAGCTGAGGTACTGTGGCGTTTAGTTTTCAAATGGGGTTCAGATTTTTTTCAACTTCTCGATTAAATGAAAAGGCCTTATATGTCGGGTTGTGAGGAGTAGAATACCGGCATCCCTTGTTTGTAAAACCCAATATAAATTAGTGAGTGAATTTGATTTCCTGATTTGAACAGTCTTTCAGGATCATTTAAATTACATTAAAAAAGCACTGACAGTTTAGTTTACTTCTGTAATCATCTATACACTCAGGGCTATAAACAGCTCAACTCTTACATTCTATTTATTCCTTGGTCAACTCAGAATTCGAGTTCGTTGATGGTCTGATAAAGCTAAATATACTCAGCAGCCAAAAAAACCGTCAGTACCAATTCAAAATTAGATAGGCACTGTAATCAAATCATTACAGAAATGGACATAATAAGCGGATCAAAAGCATTTTTGTGTACAGTGTCCTGACACATCAATGAATAACTCAGCACGATTCCAAGACATTACGTGAACGTTTGCAGTCCATTCAGACTCTTGACTTCAGTATCTAGTGTGACCACCACGAGCGGCAATAACTGCAGCACAGTGTCTATGCATGGAGTGCACCAATCGATTGATGAAGGCCATTGGCACCTGGAACCACACTCTGAGGAAGGCCTGGCGCAATAAATCGGCTGCGTTCGGCCTTGGTATGACATCATTCAGTCTCCTCTGAATTTCACCCCTAAGGTGTTCCATTGGTTTTATATTAGGACTAAGGGCTGGTCACTGCATAATGTTGACACCGTTCTGCTGTAGGAAGTCCCGTGTAGCTCTGGCAGTATGGGCCCGGGCGTTATTATGCTGGAAAATGTTGTTCCGGTGACGTGCGAAATGTGGTATGACGACGGGTCTGAGAACTTGGTCGATGTAGCGCACCGCTGTGATGCCGCCTCCTCTCCCTGGACCAAGGTTCAGGACCCACTCTCTGGTTCAGGCCTATTCCACCAAATACCATGATGCTTGCACCTCCCCATGAGTCTCTTTCCATAACACATTGGTCTGAGTAACGCTGGCCACATCGTCGCCATATTCTTGTTCTGCCATCTGCAGTTGATACGCAGTACCGACTCTCATCTGTAAACAGAACAGTTCTCCATTGCCTGTATTGCCGGCTTTTGTGTTGTAGGGCAAACTGTAGACGTTCACGCCGATGACGAGGGGTGAGGATAGGTCCACGGTAAGGTTTACGGCAATGGAGGTTCCCGTTGTTAAGACGTCGGCGAACTGTATCAGTACTGATTTGTCTTCCGTGTGTTCCCATGCCTGCATGAAGGGTTTCTATACATGCTGTCGTACACCATGGCGGACTTGTCGTCTTGTGGTCACCCTTGGTCTGCCAGTACGGGGGCGATCATTTGTGGCGTTGGTGGCCCGGAAACGTTGCTGCAGCCTGTATAATAGATGGTCCGAACGTTGACCTGGAAGTGATTGACAACGGCTTGTGCAGTGTGGCCAGCTTCAAGTCTACCTAGCGCCTGGTTCCTCTGAGCTGTCGTGAGTCGCGGCATCCTGCTGACATTGTAATGTGAATGTTCCAACCAGGTTTGGAGGTGCATTTTATTAGCCGTAGCAACTGATTTACTCGCCTAAATTAGAAACCAATCAGAGCATCGTATTTGTTCTGTTTCATGTTTGCATCTGTGTCGCAAAGATATATCGATGGCTGTATGACAAGAGGGATGATTTCAATTCTCCCGCTATGTCCAGCAACATCCCAGCAACTCGAGCCCTAGGTGTCTATGTACATTCAACACATTTCGAAGTACAGTCGATCAAAATGCTTATTCTACGAAAATTTCGAAGAGCGTCGCTCAAAGATCTGTTTGATCAAGGATACAACATTCGAGGCCTCAGTAACTCCTAACGTTTCATGGTAAACATGTGGAGGACTTTGTCTATACCGCGACGCAACCATGGCAAAAGTGCCGTCTTTGTGCAATTCGTGACTTTAACTTGTACCATATTGTTCTGGTATAAAATTGACTGTCTTTGCGTGTGTTTATGACGTGTAAGTGCACTTAATTATTCCGTCCGCTTTTGACAGGAAGATTTCATTCAAATGAGGTCGTAAAGGCATCGAATCACCCTCGTGCCGCTCTTCTAAAGGTTCATCATTCTAGAATTTGTCACATTTCGAAACTTCTAGAACGATCAAGTTGTCCTGTGGTTAGCATCCAATCGGCGCATACCAAATCACACTTCCTGGTACTAATCGATATTTTACGAGCGTTTCAGTCCGTTGCTGCCATTTACGATCACCACAGCAAACTTATTCCCAATCTCCATTTGCGCATAACAGATTATTACAATATCTCAACATATATGTTCAAAATGAAGTCTGTACATTCTATACTCCGAGCTAGAACAAGATCTCGGTACCCATGTCTGTCCGTGGGAATTAAGAGGTGACAGTTGGCTCATTGTGTTGCATCGCTTGTTGGTGGATGAAAGTTGGAATCAGCATTGTTAAAACTATATGAGGGAGGTCTGTAAATAATCGAGTATGGATCAAACAGTCCACTGACTGACGTCATGTGATTCGATCTACACAATTAGGATACGATGACAATTGGTCAGCGAGACTGATCACCTGATCCCGTCAGTCGCATCCCGTGAAGATCCGGGCCCAGTAGAATTGGTCAACCCATGTACAGTAGCTGGCCATAAGTGAGTCATCATTAGTCAAATTTCCATAGACTTACATGTTAATTAACCGTTGCAAGAATATTTTACATTGAGTATAAGTCATTTTATTTTGCAAACATCGTGGAAATCATCTTCAGCTGCGTGAACATAATTTTCTTTCATCTTTCCGTTGATTAGCTATCGAGTGAGTGAGTGAGTGAGTGAGTTCATATTAGTTATCGAATGACACCAAGCACCATGACACCAAGCACCATATACTAGTATAAGGACAACTTTTAATCTATCCCATAGACAGCCATGTTAAACCCGATTGGTATGTCTAATATATGTTGTTTAAATAGTTACAGTTTTCTTAATATCAATCGGAAAATTGAATGGAAAGTATGTGCATGTAGCTGAGAGGATTTACCAGCTGGTAGATAAGAACTTAGTATTGAAAACAATTCGACCGAAACTATATTTAAGAAAATTATTCTTGCAGGAGTTAATTAACATGGAAGTCTTTGGGAATTTCACTAATGATGACTCACTTATGGCCAACTCCTGTATGTGATAAGGGCCGGCTAACGGGATTGGGTGGTAAGGCTCACTCTGTTGATCCTTGGAGTTTCTGGTCCAGACTAGATTATTTACAGACCGTCGCCATATAGCTGGAATATTGCTGTCTTTAATAGATCTGACGATGGACTGCTCAGTTATTTATAGGTCACCCTTGTACCAGCTAACTTCCATATTTTGTATCATAACTCCTCAATTACTTTTAAGATAAATATATGAGAGAAACAAACGGTCTAGAACTAATTATTGCAATATAGCCACATGCATCAAACTGATGATACACTGTCTATGTGTAATTATCGATTGCTTACTAGTGCTGGTATTGGCGTACAACCTTCGATACGATACATCACGATACTGAAATTTTAGTCAAGACGATATATTGCCAAAGTATTGTGCACTGAAGCTGCGATACGATACGAATCCCGATATATGGGTGGCGATACGATACATATCACGATACTAAAATCTTTAATTCTAACACCAACTATAAAACATCTTAAGATAAAAACAAAACCATGGGAGCCGTGCCAATTAACACTTATCATAGAGGTACACAAAGTCCGCAGTCTAGACTACCAGTTGTCCGACCTCCATTTTTTGTGGAAGCCGCGGTGGCTGAGCGGTCTAGGCGTGTGCTGGCGATTAGGTGCCTGACTCTGAGGGTGTGGGTTCGAATCCCGGATGGGACTCAACCCAACAAAGGATTAGAATCTGTACTTTACTAAGAAGGTGTAATCCCAAATATAACATATGTTACATTTGACCACTTTCTAAAATGGCATTGTGTATTTCAAAACAAAACCATTTTAAAACATATCGTCAAATTCCGCCTGCGTTTTTCACTGTTCATTCGGAAACGAGATAATGAAGTTGATACACGGACTTTGTCAATGTTAATAACATGCGCGCGCTATGTCTGACACAGCTCTTGACGCAATAGTTTCCGAGAAAACGTTTACTTATGAAGGGAAAATAAATAAGCATATATTTTAATCAGTAAACAAAAGTAAGTCTTTTATCTTGACAGATATCGCGATTCGGCAATATTCAAAGTTAAACATCGATGTATCGTGGCCCATTTGAAGTATCGTATCGGGATATACGACATTCTAAGATGCCTAGCGGTTAGAACAATCGAAAAAAAAATACATTATCAGACAATAAAGGTATAGTTTTTTGATGACGTAACAATTGAATGACGTTAAACCGTCACTGCGCCATTCTAGTGTGCCCCCTCGTAATCGAACCATTTTACATTACGTCACAATGTAAGCGACGTCACGATGCATGTCAGTTGTCATCGCCTCCTACGTCCTCCTACAGTAAACTACACCGTTGCATCCCGTTTCTTGGTTTGCTGTTGCTTCACGCAGCTAACACCACTGGTGGAAACATTACGTTTATGTTTTACGACGGTTAAAATGTGTCATTTCGACACACAAGTTTTCAGCGACACGGTAACGTTCGCAATGTTTACATTCCCACAATGCAATCGTGGAATGTCGCTTGACTACTCAACTTCCTCTGGATGTACTGATCTAAACTTACGTTGCTAGTAGAAATGCAACGTTCATATACCCCCATATGGTTTATGTTAATAACAGATGTAATTAAAATAATTCAGAGAAGATATTTAATCCGAACGTAAACCGTCATCAAACTGTTATCATTTGTTTTTTTCTGGTAACGTTCGTCTTAACGTAGGGGGCAGACACATCAATAGAACAGCGCGCCAGTTAGCCCTGTGCGAGGATTCTTAATTTAGGTCACAGACACCGTCGTTTGTTTTCTGCCTTAAATTAATCGTAATTATCCTTAGAAAGTATTAAATTTGGCATCTTAGAAAAGAAATACACTTCGCAAGCGTCCTCGTGTTTTAACTATAATAGTTCAGGGCAAAAGTGTGTTTTATTACACTATACATGGTGGTAGAGCGAAGTGTATTTCTTAAATGCAAATTGTGTGATGGGCGGGTGTTTACGATTGGGCCAGTCTAAGTAAACTTAGCCTCAGTATTATTCGTTACCCTACTATACTCAGTAGAGGAGTGTAACGAATAGTACTGACACTATAAGTTTACTTAGACTGCGATTGGGCTAGACATGTTTATATTTTTCGCAAACACCTGGTGTTCCCTACAATATTTATTGATCCTTTCACATGATTTTTAAAACTAATTTGCCATATGGAATTTGTATTTGGTGGATGATGGCGACGGTTGGCGTTAGTTATATATATTCTAAATGATTTGGTGTTCTCTCAGTCGTCTTGTGTCTTGGATAATGTAAGGTTGATACCACTGCAGCCTACAATCAAAGCTGAAGCGACCTTTGAAATGTTGACACGATAGGTTAATCTTCACTAATGACATAATAATGTTGACTACCGGAAACCCATTACGATAACACAAGTAGGTCTTGCACTTTCATCTCTTTGTTGAAACGTAAGAGTCATGTCACTGACAGACCATCAGATTTAAACGTTCACTGTACATTCCTCTGTAACCATCTATAACACGTTGTATTATACGGAACTCAGTGATCCATGCAAATCCGAGTTCATACTCGACGGCAATATACCGTATATTTCTCTATTAAACCGCTCGGTAATAAAGCAGTAGTACACTCCTCTGTAGGTTGTTTCCCTTACCATAAATATAACACGTCCCTTATATTATAACATGGAAATAGTGATCCATGCAAATAACCGAGTTCACTCATACACCACGGCAATATACATAATTATCAATTTGTCACGTTAGCTGAGGCTGATATCCTATTAAACAGTGGATAATCATACTCAGAAAAATACTCCCAATACTCCAAGAAAATATCATTTCATTGGAGGTCTGGGACTGTTTTATGAGGCATCTTCGCACCTTAACCACAGTCTCTAATTTCAGTTGTTGCAACTGCCAAGCCCATCCAATGAGAGTTTGAAGTTATATTTTCTCAAAGCTGACCAATGTGAGTGAGTGAGTTTAGTTTTATGCCGCACTCATCAATATTCCAGCTATATGGAGGCTATCTGTAAATAATCGAGTCTGGACCAGACAATCCAGGGATCAACAGCATGAACATCGGTCTACCCATACATTGGGAGTCACATTGATGACATATGTCATCATCACACATTTAAAAAACACACACACACACACACAATCCAGTCAGCCAGCCCTTAGTGCCTCTTACAAGCATGGGTTACTGAAGATCAATATTCTAACCTGGACCTTCACGGGTTCTGACTAATATAACAACCACTGTCACAATCTCTCAGATTACTATCGCAGTCATGCAGTATGTCAAATGTACAGCTATTAGTACAAGATAATGAATTGTTGAGATTCTGTGTTTACAATGACTGTGTAGTTGCTTTGGAAACTGACCAAATTTATATTTGTCAGTGGCTGCCATGAATATCCAGTACATTTTACCTATAGCTATTAACTAAGGCATTTTTGACAAGATAAATCATTGCATGACAATGTTCACTTCCATGTAAGTTTTCATAGTTTGCAGGGTTTGTGATCCTTGATCTTGTGGTTTATCAGATTAATAACATTCCATAATTCCTCCTGGAAACACTGTAACTCACAATCATCAGTGGGAAAGCATTCTTTTAAACTAAATGAACACACAAGACCAGAAACAGCGTGTTGAAGATATGTTTAATACTGTAGAAGGGTACATACATGATCCATTTTCTTCCATGAGCATGAATATAGACCACCGCTGCTTGACAAGCTGGACTCATTTCTTTATCAAAATATTTCTAAACTGAAATATGCAGGGTCCAGATGCATGGTGGACTGCCAAACTACAATGTGATGGAAATATAATGAAACACCAGACACACATCACTTTGGGAAACCAACAAATGCCATTCACTCATACAAGATGACAGACACAGATCCCACAGTAGACACTGAGCTGTGTCTCTGTTGAGAGCCTCAGTGCATGTAAGGCACAGATAACACTCCTTGTCTCATGTCTCCTCCACGGCCATCTCGGACACGAAGTCGCGGTAGAGGATGATGCCCTTGTCGGGGTCTACTGCTGCAGACATCATCTCCTCGAGCTCCTCCTGGGTGAAGGGTTCACCTGCACCAAAATGTCAGTGACTGAGTGCTGTCGTTAGGTTTAATGTCACTTCAAACATTATTTTAGTTATTTTGACATGTCAGCTGAATAAAATGGGAAGCTGATGGTTAGTTTCTTACAGCCAACACACCAAAACTTCAGCTCAGTAAATCTTGTAATAGCTAAGGGGGACATCTCTGCCCTATTAAGGTAATTCAAAATCAGAAATTGCTCTCTGCACGTTGCTATAAACTTGAAACATTTGGAAGGAAATCCTTTGCTTGATTCTGCCTCTCTACTGTTGAACTCTCTCCCTTTGGCCATAAAATCAGCAATAGAGTTTACCCCCATGTTCATTTATTATTATTTATATTATTATTACAAGAGTTCTGGATAACACATACCAAAAGTGAGTTAGTCCTTGTCAATCTCCCCTCCCTAGCATCATATATCAAGTTCAGAATATGTCAGACTGATTTATAGTCATGGCTTGCATCAAACAAAAATATTTACTTCAGAGTTAGAATCTCTTATCAGAGCTACAGATAACTTTTTGAGTCATTGAGTTATGTACTCACTTGTGTTCATCTCAATTGGGTATCCTAATTTTCATTTGAGTAACCAAATAAATTGTACCCGTGCACCTCACTCAAACTCAATTGGTTATTTTGCCATTTTCCATTAATTTTGAAAATATAATAAAGTTTAAATGTTAGTGTTTGTTATTTATATATGATCTGTAATATGAAAAACGATAAGAAAGACTGCAAGTTGTCAAGTTCATGTCCTTAAAATAGAACCTCTCAATATACGTCAGTTATTTTATCTATCCACCGGTACGCAAGCTAAGATTTGACATTTTTGAGTGTACGCATGTAAGATCACATTTATTGAGTATTTACAAAAATTCAAGCGTACTTGTATGCAATAGACTTAATAGAAATTGAGTTTTCACATAAATATTTGCGTAATTTGAGCGCAGATACGCAGCTTATCTGTACCTCTGTCTTATGATTTCAAATGTGCTATGTTTTTTACAGAAACACTGAAAAACTCAATGGATTTACTTTTGAAGTTTGACCAATTCACATTTTGTGCCATAATGCTAGCAAACACCTACCCTCCTCAGTCATGTATTTGCGGAGTTCGTCCTGGGTGAGGTGACCTTTCATTTCAGCATCCATCACTTGAAATGCTTTCAGTAATACATCTTCAGGATTTGGCTTGTACCTGTTGAATAACACTCACATTCCTGACATATACAATCAAATTTGATTTAACACAAATAGAATTACTGCCCACTATTTCTACATATGTATGTATTATTTATTTATTACTGTCTAATGCTACCATCAAACATAATGCCAAATCATATTAGAAAAGATACACCTGAGTGAGTGAGTGAGTTAATATTTATCGTCACATCGGCAATATTTCAGCCATTGACGAGAACATTTTATAATTATATTATAGATGAATAAAGTTAGAAATTTAAAAACCTGTTGACGAAGAACAGTAAAACTACTAGTGTATCACATATATCCATTTAAAACTAGCAATTAAATCTAAAATATTGGAACTATAAATGACAATATAATATAAAAACATGCTGTTGATTGCTAACGACTGAAGGTAGATCACCATACTAGGGAACATGGAGATACACGTGAGGGATAAGCAGAACCAATGAAATAGTGATGAACTTATCACCTTCTTTCCATCATCACTTTTGTCATCATTGGGAGGAATTTTTCAAATCTGATGTAACCTGTTGGCTCTTCCTCTTCAATCTTTGGAAAGAAATAAAACAAATTTATAATTTAAAACAACAGTCATTAAAAAAGGAAAGGCAGTTATTTGATGCCTCTTGAAACCAAATCTACTAGTTTTCAAATCAATGAAGTGATATTGAGAAAATAGCAAGATGAGGTTTGGGGTGAGAGATAAAAGGGTCTAACCACAGTAGAAAATTATGTCACAATTTTCAAAGTCTTACAAACATCAAACACTCCTTGCATTGTGATAGGATCTAATGTTTCTTAATGTAACAGGATTTTCAGATTAGGCCAGACCAATTCTGTTTCTTGTTTTACAGATTTTTGTCCTCAGAAAACCTGAAGGCAGGAGGGAAAAAAATAGAAAATAAAATCACCAGTCAAAGTAATATTCCTTTTAAATACTAAAAGTATTCTATTTTTGGCAATTTATGAAGTGTATATGGGGCAAAAAACAATCAAACTTTTGTTGTTGTTGCAAGTTTGACATTTTTGGCCAATAAAAACATGGGGAAAACTAATTTTAATTTTTTTTCTTATTCTTGAAAATATACGACTGGAGGATCCTTAAAAGAAGAAATAAAATTGGTCTGGCCTTACTGAGAAGAATATGCAGTATTTTTCATGGAGATTGTTTAAACCAAGTTGTATTTAAGATACCATTAGGTTAATACAGGCATACTGTTCATGTATGCATACCACATGGATACCATGCTTCATCAAAGCAACTCACCTCTGCCAACATATCATGCAGTTCAGCTTCACTGGGGCAGCAGTTGAGAGATCTTACAATAGTTCCTACTTCTCTGGAAAATGATCAATTCACAATTCATGGGAAAATGTGAAAGAGATGTACCTACATATTTACATCAGAATTAGACCTATTGTATATAATATTATTAACCTCAAATAATATGATTCTAAAAGGTGAGAAGAAAAGAGTAATTTTGTTGGTGTATACAATTTGCAAAGCTGAATCAGTGGTGAAAGCAAACATATATTCACTTATTAACTTCACATTTTATTTTTGTTTTATCCTGTTAACTCTATATAAATAATCTTTTTTTAATAACCATATCTTGAAAACATGTACTGGCTATAGTTGATTGTCCACTGGTTAAGAGACACATAATAGAATCTATACATACCTCACATCTACAGTCTTATTAGACTCATGGTCAAATATATCAAATGCTTCAGTTATTTTCTTTTGGATGTCTTGTAGGAGGGAATCTGGAATATGAGGAAGCTTGTATTAACACATTTCTTAGGTTTTATCTGTTACACTGACCGAGGCATTTGGTTCCCACTAGGACTCAGACATATAACCAACATACTCTGGTAGGGTGTGTCCAGAATTTGACATGGGCACCCACAGGACTACACATGGGGAGTCACATGATACATTGTTTGATGATAATGACAATAAGTCTACATGGTTACAGTAATCATTAACATTTCTTTCTGGCTATGCATGCATTTCTCCTGACTTTTATATATTTGAGTAAATGTAAAATTTCAGTCAACTTCACTTTTTGCCAGGGCTCCAGTGAAACAATTCCTAAAGAGATATTAGGAACTCTTTCAGTGAAACAATTCCCATTCAAACATTAGAAAATCTCTCAGTAAAACAATTCCCACTGAGACATTAGAAATTGTTTCCGGAAAACAATTTCCATTGAGACATTAGGAATTCTTTCAGTAAAACAATTCCTACTGAGACATTTTGTGCCCGCTCTTGAGACCTACAGTCAGTACCTGGGTAGGTTCAAGTAATGCTGGGTTTCCTGGTGTACCTAGATAGGAAATTTGGATGCATCTGAGTTCTAGTTCCCACCTTCCTAGTCGTCTCTACAAGGACTGCAGATCCATTTGGGTGTGAACAATTCAACAAACTAATTATGATACCTGATGTTTCGTAAAGAATTCAGGGGTCATGTCATGATACAAAATGATACATGAACATGATACAGTGAATACAGTATGACAATAATGACTTTCTGAAGGTTTATCAAAATATTGTGTTGTTTTATATAATTTTCACAATATGACTGATATACATGTGTCAAGGTTTCACCTATCACTTTATGTGCCCAAGTGACCTTAGCATCAACATGTTTTGTATTAGGTGAGTATGTTGTAAACAGGAAATCTGCTATTTTGTCATGGGCTCAATGTCAATACTGTGTACGGCCCTGCGTACGTTTTGTAACTATGTGTACTTGCTAAACAACAGGGAGTTTGGGGATCTTTCCACAAACACCTAGACTAACATCTAGTCTCTGAAATGAACATATTTTACAGAAAAAACAACAACAGTTCCTAAACTATAATCATAAAATATAATGAAAAGGAGACCAGAGACTTTCTCAATTTTCAGAAAACTGTGGTAATCTAGACTTGACACATATTCTGGACTTGCATGGGCTTTCTTGGATGTATTTGTTTCAGGGCGCTTATCCCAGTATAACCGATGGGTACAACAAGGACTGGTGATTTCGGAGTCAGTATAATGTGTCTGAGTAAGGGGTGTAATGGGTACAAGGATCGAGCATTATAATGTGTCTTGGGGTGATGCTCTTGGATGAACAATATGTGGAGCAGAGCGAAGAACCAGTCACGAAAAGCTTTACAGGGAAACGGGTTTTTGCTCACTGTCTGACAGACGACATTACCATAAATTATGTATATATTATAAAATGGTCAATGGGCTGACTCCTAAATACCCATCTTTATGGGTCCCACCTAGTATCTCCAGCAAAACAGGATACAACCTTCGTAACTCCACGACTTTCAGACAAGTGCAGGGCGTTTATCCCAGTATAACCGATCTTTCCTGCCTTCTGTTGTTCAAGCTTGGAATGCACTTGATATCAATATTAGAAATGTAGATTCCTTATCTAGGTTTAAGCAATTAATTTCTACAGAAATTAAGATTTCTTCAAATTTTACATACATTGCTAGTTATGGCCAGCAACAATACCAAGTGATTCTATCCAGAATTAGGCTAGGTTGTAGTGATTTAAAAGCACACTTATTTGACAGATTCCTGATTGATGATCCCACTTGTTCATGTGGCCATAACAGAGAAGATGCTATCCATTTCTTTCTGTCATGTCCCCGCTATGCCCAGTTTAGACTTGACAAATACTTTGTCGTTAACCACCTCAGCATACATACTATACTTCCCGGCAATGACGATTCATCTCCTTTAGACAATAAAATATTATAAAATCGGTTCAAAATTACATAACTGAAACAAACCGCTTTACGGAATTCAAGTAACAATCTATGAATATACAATGCACTTGGTATCTTGTTCTTTATTTTATTTCTTTATTCCATTTTGTTTTGACTTTGATTCATTCGTTTATGTCCTAATGTCTGCTCCATAGAAATATGTCAAGATATAATGAACTATATGCGGAGAAGCATTGACATAGGCCTTATGGCCTGTTTGCTAATCCTATTTCCATTTTGTTATGTCGTGGAATATGAAAAATGTAAACATTAATGGAAATAAAATATTGTTTAAATCAAAACAAACATCCCATACGGATTAGTCATGACACTGAGTAAAGACACTTCACAATGAAAACATTTGAGTCTCATGTTCAAATTCCATTTAAAATAACAACAAACTAAACACTATTTACACTATTTTACTATGTAATTCATTAAATTTTTATTTTTCGGCGCCTTTTGACTTTTCATTTCAGCCCATTTGACTTTTAGCCTCGGCCCTTTTGACATTTTTCTCCGGCCCTTATGTATTACTTGTGTCAGAACAAACAATGACGGATGGGATGCCGTTTTTTAGTTTCTTCATGTTAAACTCAGTCAAATCACAGCATTAAACGTTTTGTCCGTTTCAATATTCACATGCCTGAAGTGTCACTGATATTGATATCATGTATAGAATATATTATGCACAAGAATCTATTTTTCCCACCTGCATTTTCCTTTGCTTCGTCCGTGGCCGACATGTTGTTTACAATCGTTGCTAAACAGTCAAACTGGGTTCAGTCTAGATGTAGCTAGGCGTAGCGTCTCCAAAGAGATTAATCAGTTTAGCCATAAACAGCCTTGTAACTGTTTGCTAAGTTTTATGTTTATTTGTAAAAATAGTTCCAAATTTTAAAATAGATTTTAAAAACATTACCATACATATAAAGATATAGCTTTGTTTTAAATTAACTGTAAAGTGTTTCTGCAGAATGTTCTAAAATATAAACTGCCAAGCGAAAGCGGAATAATATTGAATCTAATTTTGTTCGATCAATATTTTCAAATAACACCACATAAGGCTGAACGATTATGCTACAAACTTGCAACAATCCTTTGGTGAACGTAATGGTACGAAAAAGCGCATATCCCATTCTGCACACACAAAAATGTAGCGATGTATTTATTTGCTAGATATAAAGTTAAACACGCCACTGAATACTTCCTCTGTTTGATCAGGGCGATGAAAGTTACATCAGAAGTACCCCTGGTGATAACGATCATTGATTGTTAAGCCATTTAACGAAAGAAATCCCAGGAAGAATATAAATACATTTCTTAGACCATGTTGCAGCATACAGCGCTTTCCAGGGCGCCATGAAAAAATGTACTGTCTGCATAATCCATGGATCCAAAATGTCGTTTTGATAACAATTTGTATATTTTGAGAAATCTAACAGAATGACGCATGTACATAGGCGGATCCAGAGGCGGGGTACAGGGGTGCTCACCCCCCTTTTGTCCTGAAAGTTTATTAAATGACCATTGAAACCGTTCTACCTTTTCTCAATAGTGTGCTTCTCCGCTGTTGATATTAAAATTATTTTAACGATCCCCACCCCTTCATTTCAAAAGCTAGCGCTACAATCCGCCCCTGATGATATCCTTGGCGTCACGATATACCAAAATGGTTCTGTATTGGGCACCACGATAATTCGTCGCCATATTATGTCACAGTAAAATCGGACCAGCAAGCCATTTCTGTATTTCGGTTCGTTCTCCACGGGGACGAGTCGATGTTGATATTAAGACCATTATTTTAACGATCTGTCCTAGCTCGCCTGCGTTCTAGACCCCATTTCACAAAGCCAAAGCGACCATAGGGCGTTTGTATACTGATTTTGGCATTCGTGCCGACAACTGCCGGTCAGGTTGTGATCATCCTTGTCAAACTGTGCCCTGGTATCGCAGTTTAACCCGGGCAGTAACTGGTATACAAGTGCACACGCGAACCTACGCCCGCACAAACCCGGATGCCCACACCAGAACGAGGTTATATATGGAGGGTTAGGTACGTCTACTAAGGCCGAAGGGGTCGTTGTCGGCACAGGTACTACAGATATGTACCCCAGGTACGTTTCTGTATACAGTAATGTATCCCAAACAAAGTCAAAATACAGAAACGAACCCGGCACCTTACACGGACGACGAGTCCATATTTCGCAACCCAAAACCGAAACCGTATGCAGTTGTTCCCGTTCAGCTGATATTGCAAATCTTATTGTGCTCCGCGAAATATTCGAACGTTACTGCGTATGGTCGTTTGTTATAGAACGCAATCAAATGCATATCTAATTACAACCGTATGACAGTTCCAATCAAGAGGGGCGGTGGGGTAGCCTAGTGGTTAAAGCGTTGGCTCGTCACGCCGAAGACCCGGGTTCGAATCCCCACATGGGCACAATGTGTGAAGCCCATTTCTGGTGTCCCCGCCGTGATGTTGCTGGAATATTGCTAAAAGCGGCGTAAAAAACAATCTCAGTCAGTCAGTCCAATCAAGAACACAACACACTGCAGAATGGAATCGTCCAAGGGTACGTTTCTGTATTCCGATTTTGACTATAGGGTACTTTTCTGTATATAGAAACGTACCTGGGGTACACATATGTAGTACCCGTGCCGACAACGACCCCTAGCTTCAGCTCTACTAAGGAGGTTACGTACGGGTTGCATCTACGACGGAAATCAATCAGACGAACCTGAAAACGTCTGGTCGTACATTGTTCTGTCGGGTTTCTGCTTTGGGCAAGGCAGTACATCTCCGTTCTTATTGAACTAATACATCGTCCCACGTACAGAGAACTCATACAGCCAATCAGGCTCAATCAGGTTAGGTCAACAGAGTACCACCCAGCATGTGGCTGACACATTCGTATGAATCACGATTGTATGCAGACATTTGCTGATCGTCATTTTCAGGAACAAGGGAATACTTTGGCGGTGGAGATAGTCGATTTCACCTTTAATCGTGCTAATGTGTTTGGGTGGATCTCTATATCGCTCTATATAACCCGGTCTTTTCTTGTGTGAAACAGGAAAGTTATTAACCAAAGACGAACGCGGACTTAATTTAATTGTGAATTGTGTAAAACATTTTATTTTTCATTTTCATATACAGAACATTTGTTTTCACTTCAAATCAGACACAAATACTGGTCGCAAAATCCAATCACGAGGTGTCTGCGATCACAATCCGTTTCAGGAAGACAGTTGAAGACGGGTTTTGTATCATCTTGCGCATGTGCGTCCTCTGACCCGCCATATTGAACTAGAAGGGTTTATGTTGTATTTGTGTGCAGGACGTTTGTACTGCATTTGTTGATTGTGTTGGATTTTGTTGATTGTTTAACTTATTGCATTCAAAATGAGTGACATCGAGCCGAATAAGTTGAAGGTTGCTGAGCTTCGGGAAGAACTGAAGAACCGAGGGCTGGACACAAAAGGCACGAAGGTAGTGCTTGTGAAGAGATTAAAACACGCTCTCAACAAAGAGAGCGGATCAGGTAATTTGTCCATATTCATTGTTGATTTTGTGATGTGTTGCTTGCACTTGTATCATTTAGCAGCACAGTAGCTTGTAATTAGTAATTATGATCTTGATGCAAGTAGCAATGGTCTCGAATGTAAATATTGCAATGCTGATCTGAGGAAGCCATGTTCTCCCGGAAGCAAGATGTTTATGTAGGTCAAACGCCTGCAACGAGGTGAATGCATTTAATTCAGTTTGAAAAGCTAAGTTTTCTTATTTTTAGCATGATATAACCAGACTGAGGGGTGGTGGTGGTTAGGGTCGGCTATAACCAAGAATCAAAAGTGTATAATTTGTACCCTTTTGATTTTGAGGTAAACCGGATAATCAACGAACGGGGCTCATTGATGCGTATTAAACCTCGCCCATTACAAAACGATTATTTTTTTTGAAGCGAAATCTGCACCAAATATATTTTTACTTTGATATTAAAACCAATGAACTCAGTTTCGTATGCTAGCTCAAATATTTAATGAAAATGTTTAAATTAGAAATAACTTTATTGTATTATCTGATATATTCAGTGTCAAACTGAAAGTGTTTTCAAGATGCTTGGCAGGGTCGTTTCAGATCATTCTCCACAATGGGTTAAATGTGAGAAGAGTGAAAATATCAACATTTAATATAATTTTATTAATGTGGCCGGTAAACCCGCCATCTTTATGGTGCTTGACATTTTGTGGCTTGATACAACAATGAAGGCTACTTCCAATTTCGTTGTACAAGATCCATTTGTTGATCTCCTGGCAAATTTGGTATAAATGTATGGTACCATTGTTTGGATTGGGTAATAGTAGTGGCAGTGTGTGCAATGCTGGTTCTGTGGTCCCTGGCTAGTAAAAATGCATCAGGGCCACTAAATGATAAGTTTGCAGTGGTCTTGGTGGCCAGTGAATTTTGGGGAGTACTGCACTTTACCGGGCACACTTTTTCAGATTAATTAGCGCTGCTGGGGTTCCCTAACCCTAAGGATCGTAAAGGGTGTCTAACCCTAAACCCTAACCCTAAGGATCGTAAAGGGTGGCATACCCTTACCCTAAACCCTAACCCTAAGGATCGTAAAGGGTAGCAGCGAGGGCTGCCGCCAGTAAAGTGCATTCTAACCGAATTTTGTATAGTTACGTAAATGGTATTTTGGGCCAGTGAAGTACAAACAGGACAACTAATTATTGTCCACTCACCGGTCCTGTGGTCTAGTGGAACATTTTGAAAGGTTTCTTTTCATGTAGTGTCATACACCATGTAAAAAAAAGTCTGAATTTTGTGTTTTCATCCATTGTGCATTAATTGATTCTGTCATCTGTAAATCAATGTGCCAGCTATTTAGCCATTCTGTTTTTAATTTTAGGGTATAATTAGATTAAACTTCATTCTGTCCATGATGCATATCACTTTTTTTTAGTTTTGATGCTTATTATATTGAGATGGTTTCAGTTACCACCCCTATGTGCACAAATCCTGTCCCTGGCACTTTTTTTTTTGCCTCCACATGCTGTGGGAAGCCAGCTGTGCAGGCAGATTGATGTGAAAAGGTGTATATTGTCATGATCCTTACTTAACCATTAAGATAGATGTGTATATATAATTATGCAAAACAGTATACAAATGCACTGAATGGCTATCATTTCCCCAGTCTGCTATAATTTTAAAATAAACATGTTTGTTTGCAAAAGGAGAAAAGCCTAGTCACAAGACATGCAAATTGGCCATGATACCAAGTCATCACTTTCCTTGAGTATGCATCTGAAGTGTACATCAATGAACATTTATTGAATTTATTATATGTGATGTTTCAAATTGCTTTTGAAGTAAAAATTTAGAATTGTACAGTATGGCCTTGTGTATAATGAAATATTGATTACACTACAGTTTAAACCTCAAATACTCATCTCTATTGTCTATTGGAAAGATTGCATACTCATTCCAAATAAGACCACATGCAAGTGTTGTGATAAATATCTGATCATGCACATGGTTAGTGATACACCAAATTATGTGATCAAATATGTATCTTCCAAGCCTTAATAATATCCTTCCTAAACATAGTGAAGTTGAATAGCTAACCAGTATCTTTACTCACAGCTGATCCCATCATAATGGGGTGCTTGATTGGAAAGGGCACTTTGGGGCTAAGGAAAGCGTTAGAGACAATAGATGGAGTCCACATTTCTATTCTCATGAGTTTTGTTTTGTTACAATTAGGCCAGACCAATTTTATTTCTTGTTTTACGGATCTGTCGGTCATATTTTTGTAAAAATAAGAAAATATTTAATAATTTCCCGACTCACAAAATAAAATCCTAATGTTTGTATTGGCCCAAAAGGTAAACTTACAAGAATATTTGGTAAGACTTCCGCCCGTATCCCCCTAAATATTAAGGATGAGGAAAGATTTGGCATTTTTAGAAGTAGAATATGTCTTTCAGTTTGTTCAGATACAATTAAAGAAATATGTTAGAACTCATCCATATCAGATGAGGGATATATATTCAGATGTGATTTGACCACAATGAAATTTAAGGGGGAATACAGGCAGAAGTCTTTCCCAATTTTTTAAGATTGTTTTTTACCCCATATACTGTCATAAATTGCCAAAAGTAAATTACTTTTAGTATTTAGAAGAAATATTACTTTGACTAGTGATTTTTTTTCTCCCTACCTTTAGGTTTTCTGACTACAAAAATCCGTAAAACAAGAAATACAATTGGTCTGGCCATTTAGTACAAATCCTTGAGATACTGAACTTGACATGTGCCATTGTCAGCAGTCTGTTGATGTCAGATGGGTAAAGGTTCAAAAGAATGTCAGTCTGAGACAACTGCATTTCACTCAGGACTACCTCTTTTACTGTTTTTAGTAGATGGGAACTCTATAGCAGATCAGATTTGCTGAAAAGTGAAAGTGAACAGTGTCAATACAGGTAGCCATAGTTGCACTCTGTAGACAGGCAGATGGTTTTCTGAAATAGTTGTATCCTATGGTTTTTTGCTGACAATTATGTAAAGGGGCCCTCACATACTCTGGGAACCTTACTTAGACTAAGTTAGAGATGGACAGATGTCCTTTTTAACTGTCAGAGCTGTGCAAGTAATCAGTATTGGCTGCCAGAGCTGTGCAGAGGTGAATATGCTCAAGGCTCTAAACCATTTAGAGAGACTATCGATTCTGGTAAAAGGTAAAATTGTTTATCCATTTTCCATTCTGTTGATTGCAACTGTGATCATGTAAACTTAAACAAAAGAAGTATAAAACTCTTCATTCTTAACTTATTATTGCTTTTAATTGTCATTTTAAACTGGATCGATGTGTTATATTGATTGGAAGTAATCTTCAACATTGAAAGAAGTCATGATCATTACTTGTTGGTAGTGTATAGATGTCTGGTTGCTAGGTTTCACACTCTAGATATTCCTGGACCACAAATAGGGCTCCACCCAGTGACTCATTGTGTGTAACATTGTGTAAATATTGAGCCAGTAGAGGAAGAGAAGCCTGTGTTTGCTGCGAAGTAGTTGGAATTGGATATCACTGACATTATTGATTCAGCTCTTCCAGATGATGTGAGAATTCCTTTTCAAGTATTTATCTTAAATAGTTTGAGCACTCGTTGAGCATGTTGAATGGTCATGATCCACAATAGTTGCAAGTTCCTAGCTGAAAAGAACAGTTTAAACAAATTTCATGTATGTTTTATTGTCCTCATTGGTGTTTACCTTTCTGAGAAAAGGTCTTGTTCCATCCATGCAAGTTAAAAAACAAGTTTGGTTATATACACCATGTATCACTTTTAGTAATCCAAGTCAGACTGGATGTTTTGTTCTCATTTGGGGTATGAAATGAGTTAGATATGTTACACTAACTTACAGTAAGTTTGTGTCAAATGTTTCTCTTTCATGTGAAAGCAGTATGTATTAAAAATCTTTTTAACATGTTTTCACAGACCATGATGAAAAACATAACTTTCAATACAATCAGCAAAGTACAATGTATACTAATGCTTCAGCACTGGCAGGTTTGGTATATGTACTGAGTACACATCCTTTATTATGAATATTTATATGGTGTCAGATAATATTCCAACTGGTTAATAAATGAAAGGATATGAATTTGAAGTAGAAAGCTTCTAATGAAGAGATCAATCTGATTCCAAACTAAGTTCCCTGTGCTGGCAGTTTGGTAAAAAGATTATTTTGTTCCAATTGGTTACCATGGTTAGTGTACAAAAGTCACCAGATCCTAACATACATTATTTACTTCCCAAAAAATGAATTGGAAAAAGGTGTTGTTCCAATTTGGGGATTTGTACTAACATCTGATGCTGATTTCGGCCTTATATTGGCCTCTGGGCACATCTTGATAAATCCTTGTAATCATTTGTTTGACAACTCTTACACATGTAGATTGATGTTAGTTCAGAACATTCATGTAACAAGAGGTGTTCCTGTTTTTACAGAAGATGCTAATGAATCTCTGGACACATCGCAAGAAATTGGTGATGAATCTTCCCAGGAAGGTAGTCAGATTCAGGAAGATCTGTCAGCTTCAGAAGCTGCTCCAGTAGCTGAGGTATGTGGAAAAATACTACTGTTGCAGTGTATCTCAGTGTGCAACTGCAACTTATTAAAGGTCACATGCAACGCAAAACACAACTTTGCAGATTCTGATACCTTTCGGTATGGACTTACAGTAACTAATTATCAAAAATGCAAATTCAAAAATAAAGTTGAAAAATAATGCAATGAAACCCCCCCTGCGAGATCGTAGTTCAAACGATTCACTAATTTCACCCCAGTGCTGGGGTGAAAAGTGGTTTCAACAGCTGTGCTGTGCAGTGATTAGGTTCACGCGGCTTGAACCGGGAAGGTGACTCTTAAAAACACAGCAAGTGATGCGTGCAAGGATTATGGCTGTGGTAGAAGTTGGAGAACAAAAGATGTTTCTTGTGATTACAAGCATCTTGGGTCTGCAGTAATAAAAATACACTGGTCCAATACCTGGTTGCAGATTTGCAAACAAAGTTTTCAAGAAAGTGTAGCATTAGAAATACTAATTTCATTGTTAAAAAATGCACAGCTTGAACACTGAAATGTTTTAATACATGTCTATGGAAACATAGAAAAATATGTTAATTGTGATAAGCAGTCTCTGTCACAGACAAAACTCATTGTCTGTTTTATTGACACCTATGTGTCTGCCTGCCTGTCTGCTAATGACAATATGCAATACACAACTTAAATCATTGACCACATGCAATTTGGACTTAACATTAACACCAATCAGGCTATACACCATAAACAAAATACATTGATTTATGGCTCTTGCACCTGTTTTCTGTCTGTCACATTATGTAATTACACTGACAGGCAGGTGTGATACTAGTACACATGACCTGTTGTTATGTCTGTGGGTTGCAAGCAAACTGCATCCATTTTTCTCGGATGACTGGATCGGACAGATACCGGTGCAAACTCAAATTGTCAGTTTCAAGTCCTGCTTTGTATTTGGACGAACAACAGTTTCCAGCCACGCAGTAGTTCACCATCTCAGTATTTGTTGATTGGATTGAACACAAATGCAGAGTGCATGTATTTACAAAACCCAACATCTCTATACACATTCTTTATGGATAACAACTTCCTTTATTGTATATGATGCAATGTTTCGGTATGGATTCTTATACCGTTGTCACTCTTGCTTGACAACGGTATAAGAATCCATACCAAAACGTCGCATCATATACAATAACAGAAGTTGTTATCCATAAAGAATCTTACTTTCTTATTACTCACCATACTTCTAAAATGTCAATCAAACAGATCATCTCTATATACACACACGGGGGGCGGTGGGGTAGCCTAATGGTTAAAGCGTTCGCTCGTCACGCTGAAGACCCGGGTTCGATTCCCCACATGGGCACAATGTGTGAAGCCCATTTGTGGTGTCACCCGCCGTGATATTGCTGGAATATTGCTAAAAGCGGCGTAAAACCATACTCACTCACTATATACACACACACACACAATGAGCCCTCAGGGTATCGGCAAATGAACCAGCCCATGAGAGACTTTGTTACACTTGAGTGAACACCCACCCGCTCTGACTGGGTTCGGTCTCTCGGGTGCTTCGTTTTGAGGGAAGTTAACCCAAGTACAAAATATTGCACTTTTTATTCGCGATTGTAGGCTTATAATTTTGTTTATTTGTTTTTTCACAATCAGCAATGTATATTATGTGTCATGAATAAGTGATAATTGTGTTTTAATTATGATTGTTTTTTTGGTTGCATGTGACGTTTAAGCTTACCCATTCAGAGCAGGCTTATTGGGTTTGGTCAAGATTTTGTTCAAGCTAAATGCTGTGGAAAACTAGGTGTATTGATATATGACCACACTTTATATTTAGTTCATATATCTTACCACAACCAAGCAATGCATGATAGACATCTCACTTCACCAAATTCGATTCTGTATCAAAATATTATAGTTATAGATATGAAAGAAAAGATACCTGTAAGTCTTCGAAATAAGTTGATCAGTTTCTTTATTTTTTTCCCCTCAATATTTTAAGGCTGAACCTGAACCGGAACCCGAGCCTATGCAGGAAGAAGCTCAGGTAGAAGCAGCAGCAGCCGAGCCTGAGGCTGAAGTTAAAGCAGTAGAGGCAACAGATACTCAGAATGGAGATGAGGAGGCTGCTCCAGCAGACGAAATGGCGGAGGAGTACCAGACCATAGATGAAACTTCACAAGATGATGGAGAGGAGGGCAAAGGTGGGTGGTCTCAACATTTATCAGATTATTTCTTGTAAGATCTTATTTACCAGCCTGGTTATTTTTGTAAATTAATTTTAAAGATTATTTTGTGTTTAAGAAAAACAAGAAAATGAACACTTATCCCAGGCCCAATGTGGAATTTCCATCCAACAATGCAAAATGACCAAAGGTCTCTCTAAAATGTTATGGGATTGGTTTTGAATGTACCATGTCTGTTCCTACTTCAGATGATGAACGTGGATCGAAGAGGAAGAGGTCTAGATCCAGATCCCGCGAAAGGAAGAGGTCTCGTTCCCATGATCGATCTCGCCGCTCACGGTCCAGGTCACGAGACAGGCAGTAAGTCTGTTTGCTTCTTTGTCTCAAGACTGTGATGTGAGTTAACCCATTCAACACCGTAGGCTGAATAATCGGCCACAACGTTATGAGTCCCCAGTCCCGAGATTATTCGGCCAGGCAGTAGTCACATAATTTACGTATAGGTAGTGATTTCTTGCTTAATACGTTCAGAATAGCATTATTTTACCCAAAATTTTCGTCTAAATATAAAGGTCTTAGTTTACGAGGACGGTATCCATTGCTGTAATATGATTGGTTGTCTTGGGTCACATGCCTGATTTTGACCAATCACGATTCTTATAGCACACTGTGGTGAAAAAGCGTCATTCAAAACCAATTTTTATCCAATAAAATCACTTCTTACAACTGTGAAAATACTCTCGGCAAGGGTACAGTGATATAGTTAATGTTCAGAGCTTTCCCGCCATCAAACGAATCGCCTCGCATGTTATTCATATGAAACTTCGAAAACGGAGGTATGTTCCGCTGTGTCATGTTACAGAGCAGAAAGCTACTGATATCGGGAAATAGGCGACCATACATATTATTTAAGCAATCTTTTTAGGACAATTTTCCGATTATGTAAAATTGAAAATATAAAAGAAAAAGGCACGGGGATATTATGACATGTCACAAATGGGGAAAAAAATCGCCGTACCTTTTGCTTCTTTCTTGGTTTATCTGGACATTATAAATGTAAGTTTGCATTTTCATTAAAAATAAATTTATTTAAGTTGTAGTTGTATTATTTTAATAATTTGATAAAAATATATTTCATATTTTATGTCAACAGTAGGATTAGATCTTTCAAATGGTGTGTGAGATGTAGTAGCAATAACGTTTTACAAGCTCATATTTTCCATGAAAAACATAGGCTTCATCTATGACCTTAGAGTCCCTGGGAACTCCATGTCATAGCAGTAAAAGCTTCTGGTTGACTGGTGTTAATGTGTTTGACAGTTGATTTATGGAAATTTGTTGTACACTGTTTATCAATTTGGTGTGTGAAGTTGTTTAAAACTTGCTTCTATGTTTCCTGTGCAGTAGACGCCCACCACCTGAGATGGATGATGATGGCTGGGAGACAGGTACAGATTTCAAGTTGGACAGATGTGAGTACAGTTTCCTGTCAATTCAATAATGTTTTGTTGGTATGATTTTTTGTCCCAGACGCAACGAGGAACGGGGGACTATGTATATAGCAGCTTTTGTATGTACGTACATCCCGATTCTTGTTAAAGCGATATCTCATGAACTGTTGTACCCAATGTCTTCAAATTTGGTGACAGCCTACATTGGGGGATTACCCAGACACCAGTCGATTTGGGTGACCTTGACCTTATTTTCACGGTCACCACGACACTGACCACATTTCAAACTCTTGTTACATGATATCTCATGCACTATTATATCCAATATCTATACTATTGGGGGATTACCCTGACACTAGTAGATTTGGGTGACCTTGACCTTATTTTCAAGGTCACCATGACACTGACCACATTTCAACCCCTTGTTAACGAGTTACCTCATGAACTGTTGTACCCAATGTCTTCAAATTTGGTGACAGCCTACATTTGGTGATTATGCAGACACCAGTCATTTCAGGCATCTTGTATGTGACCCAAAAATATAAAGTAGTAAATATAGATATTCCATTCTTTAGCTGCGGGGGACATTGCTATATCAGTGGCAAACACTTGTTCTTTTTTCTTTTCTCTTTTACACTTAGTGGAGCCTGCTCCGCATTCTTTATTAAAAAATGAAATTTCACTAGCAAAGATTGGCAGTCTGTGGTATACATAAACAGCATATAAGCATGAATAAGTGTAATCAAGAAAAGGAAAACAAATATAAGGATTAATAACAATATAATGCAAAATGAAAGTAATTATTTTCACTATGTTGAGATTTTGTACATATGGTATGCATTTTTATCCCCCTGGCCTTGTCTGTCTGTCCGTCCATAATAAAAAAAATTCTGGAGCGTTAACTCACAAACCTTTCATTATCTTTCAACAGAACTTGGCTGATATATGAGGCAGATGCCAAAGTGGTACCTTTTGCTATTTGCTGAATTTTGGCATTTTTATATTTTCTGGTTTCCATGGAAACGATTCGGACTCTAAAAAAGGAGGGGTGGCCTTCATTTTCGGAGTGCAACTTTAAAACTTATTTTTTATGATTTGCATGGAAACGTGTTGGTCTAAAAAAATCAAGTTGAACTTGAATTAACTGTCAGATCTTTTGTTCTTTCAAATATGTAGGGGCTGGGGGGATTTGTCATCTTCTGATGACTCTTGTTAGTGTTTGATATCTATTAGCATGTTAGGAGTATTTTCATGCCTGCACTCAGTGCAATGTGCCTATGAAATTGAACTGCAGAGCCTGAATTTTATGTGTACCAATGCAGTATTGCCGATAGGCAATCTCACCATGCATGTGTTTACTTTGGGGCCACAGAATTTAGAGTTGATTGATTGATGTAAAAGACCCCCGGTGAACTTAATAATAGTGATTAAGTTGAATGGCAGTTTTAAAGTCTTGCATGGTGATTGCAGGTAGTAATTCGGACTGTCAAGAAATAGGTGTTTCCCTTTCAATGTTCTCTAATCACAATTCCAATTTGTTTTCAGTTAACTGTGACTTGAATATGCGCATTGATGAGAATGGTGTGAAGGCTCACCCTCTGACTGTGGAAGGGTTTGGCTTCATGTGGGCAGGTGTGAGAACTATGTACGCAGTTAACAAGGGCAAGCTTGCATTTGAGGTCAAGGTAGGTCTTATTACTTGGTCATTTGGTATTGTTCTTTTGATTTCACTTCCCTGTAATCGTTAGCTTTAACTGTCTTAAATGTGAATAAAAAGACGTAATCACTTATTGTCTTACGGCTGATGATTAGAGTACTACAATATACGTCTTTTTTGCTCAGAGTATGTAGTAACTGTAATAACTATTGATGTCCTTACCAAGTAATTTTGCAAATGTTGTACTTCCTTGACTATTATATTTTGACTCCACGTGCCTTTTAGGCATTTCACTGCATTAGTGTTGGGATGACAATTTTGTAAACAGTTTTCCTTCTTGTCTTGACAGATTTTGGAGAACCTGAATGTAGAACATCTGCCATCAGAGGAGTCCAATCCCCATGTGGTGCGTGTTGGCTACTCAGTGGATGCAGCCTCTCTACAGCTTGGTAAGTACCTTGACCCAAATAAGTGTGAAATAAGGATACATGATTCAGTAAAAATCCAGTTTTTTTCAAGGAATTTATACTCAGATTTTATTTATTATGGCAGAGAATAGGATGGCCCAGTTGTTAAAAGTGCTGCAATTTACTTAGAGGAGTTGTTCTTTCAGAACTGCCAGAGATTTTTCCTTATCCTGACTCATGCTCTTTTTTGCTTGTCTTCTTCTTCTTGCGAACATAGTGGAACACTTGTATCTCCCTAATTGAAGCTCCCTTCAATTTAAAATCACTAATTAGTATTCACCACGAGTTACCTCCTTTCCTGGCGGGGAGCGAGAGAGCCACCTCTACCCATGTGCCTCACTCTCTCCTTCTTAGCCCAGTGAGCTGGGCGTGAGGCGCCTGTGTCTCCGACACACTATATCCTTTGATTATATTTAGTTAGTTACCTCGTATAGACATCTATAGAGGTTTAGCTAGTATCCTTCAGCGATTATATATTGATATTTAGTCGTTTTCTACAGTTTATTCACGGGGCCGTGTTTGTTTCAGTGGATTACGTTGATGAAAATTCTGTACTATTGCAGATTACGTTTTTATGCTGCTGCTGATCCACCTTTAATATGATATGCGGTAGCCATGTTTATTATATTCACATTGCAGTTGCGGTACTAATTTATCAATTCTACCTCTTTATTAATATTTACTTTGCGTTTGTACGCACAGCAGATAGGTGGCGTATGCAGAGTCTAGTATGACTGATACGGAACCCTCGCCAGTCTACTGCTGTTGGCCGACTCCCCTCCGTGTGGTGTTCGCTAGAGTGGTGGAGAGGTGTGGGGCGTAGTCCGCCATCTCAAGAAGCATTCTGCTTCCCCAGACATCCCATCGTCGCAGCAGAAGACTAGAGGGTTTTCTACTACATCTCAACAACGAGACCGTTCCCATCGAAGTTTGGGCCTGTATGATGATCAGCGGTCATCATACGGATGTACATCAAAGATTGACCCGATGTCGGCACAGATCAGCATGCAGCCTGATGTACCAGCGCGCAGATATCGATGATCGTCCTGAGGGTCCCATCATTACCAACACTCAGCGCAGGCGTCGCACACCCAGGGCAGCGTCGACCTCTGAGGAAAATCAGCGAAGTCTACTAGGACTTTCTCAGCGAGATTGTTCCAGCCGATGACCTGGACCCTCGATGATCAGCTGATCATCATCCCGGCGTCATACAAGAAGCGACCGGGGACAGCTACAACGACATCAGCAGAGATCACCATGCAGCCTGATGCCTCTACACTGATGTCGGACGATTTTCGGTGGACCCCTCCATTAACACGCAGATAAAGCACCGGCGACCTGCGTCGCAGACCATCCAGAAGACATGATCGCGACAAATTATGAACATCATGGAGGACCAATATCTCGCGGTAGCAGGGTCCGAGCCAGCGAAGGCTCCAAGCGTGAACAACACCCAGAGGCACCCCGTCAGCGTAGCAGCCAGGGCGATGTCACCTTAGCGAAGGAAGTCACGGACCACCTTGGCGAAGGACCTAGATGTACAGCCCAGCGGCGAAGGCCTTGCGGCGGAAAGGACCTAGATGTACAGCCCAGCGAAGGCGGAAAGAACCTAGATGTACAGCCCGCGAAGGACTTAGCGAAGGCAGGATCGAATCATCACCTTATCGCGGTTTCATCCCTAGATGTGGACTCGGACCATCAGACATCACGGAAGCCTTCGGCGAAGGTCATATCGTCGTTCCCGGACGGGACGCAGAGGAAGCCAGCGAAGGCATGCTTGAGACACCTGAATCCAGATCATCATCATCTAGAAGGACATCGAGGGACTATACAAGAGCCCAGCGAAACTATCAGCGTTCCCCTCACAAGTCTCGAGAAGATCAACCCATAGACAAGTTGATCATCGATATCAAGTATAAGAACTACAATCGTATATTGGTTCTGTTGAATCCATGGCCGAGGCGTATGTTCGCTGGCCTAAATAGATCTAGAGCGATCAATTAGACACTTATCACCAGACTTAAGTAACCACGACTTCTGAATATGATAAGATGATCCATGCGACCATACTTAGGCAAGCGCCGCCGATCCCACATCCTGTTAAACACAGAGGCTGTTCCACGAAACAAGCTCATATATATATTATATATATATATATATATATATACTAATCGGGCTTTGACTCGACACCTTAGCGATGGTCGCGAAGGCTAAGTAACTCAAGTCTACTTCACCCAGAAGATCTAGAAGGGATGCCGAGAACTTAGCGAAGTCTCGGCGTTCACCGAGGAAGTCTCCTCCAAGGTTTCCATATACTAGCCACTTTCGTCATATATAGCTACTTTCGTCAGTCCGTTCAAGGCGTCGCATAAGTTGATTATCAACTGTATGCCAGATGCCGATCTATAAGCCTCTGCGAAGATAATTGCTCAGGCTATTTACAACACAGAGCGTAAGCTGTATTATTAGTCAGCGACATTTCATAGATCTTCACAGAAATCAACTATTCCGTATAAATTGCTAATATACAATCCCGGACGACGATCGATTATCTACATGCGTGACCATTGCATATCTGCGAACAATTCAATATCGAAATTGAACAGCAGCCTTGTTACAGCAGTATAACTCTTAATCGTCAAAGTTTCTGAGAAGAAATATGTACAACAAGTTCAGCGTTAATTCTACAATTATGGCGATACATTCATGTATACAGTCTACAAGCTCACAACTTGCAAGTTGTTTATACCCTATATATAAGGAAGTGAATTATATTCAAAACTGAAATTACTTTCCACGACAACCAGGAAAATAACCTACCCAGCATAAAATTACAGGCGAGATATTTTGGCGGAGGTTTCAGCGGTTACCATTAACCCTCGAAACTGCGTGGTCACTCGGATAACCGGGAAGCTACGGTGAAGACCGGCGTTTATGCTAATATCAGCGGCGACAAGAATTTATTCAAGGTGGGTTTTCCGCTACACCGGTGACATCACAGCGGGTATTATACAGAATCAAAATGCCTTGTTCTGATTGGACGCGAGGGACAACGACCTACACAGAGGTCGATCTCTATTCACAGTTCAAGACTTACGTCACAAGTGACAACTATATATCAGTGAGCGAGCAAGCCTCATTACAGTCCAGTTAACCTGAACATTCATGATTAGACTGCCTTTCTTCAAGATAGAGACCTCCCTGTCAAGTTAAGGCGAGGGATCGGCAGTCGAAGGCGATTTTACATAAAGTTCAGCGAGGACAGACACACCTGGTTGTGCACCTACATCGTCAAGGAGGACTTGGCGAATTACCTAGGCGAAGATACAAGTGGATCTAAATCCACAGCGTTTCAGACTACAGCTGAATTTCATCAGCGACTAACACAACTAGATGGTTAGTAAACCTACTAAACTTCTGTTTGGAGAATAAGCGGAAATTTCAGCCCAACCTGGGGATATGAATATAGTGCTCCAACACCTCACAAGTGAGGTTTATGAACACGCCTGGATGACATACTTGGACCCCATGATACGATGATTCTATCAAGATGGCCAGCAAGAGCACTGTAAATTTATCTCCACCAAACCAAACAGGAGTAAAAATGCAACAGATTATTTCCTCTATCATCAACTACGCATGAGAGAAGTCTCATGTACTATATCTCCATTTGGATCAGAACTGTCATACTCGTGCATATATGCGGATGGACCTATTCCGACCCTCCATGAGCTTAATACTCATGATATTATAAGCGCTAACTTCTACAATTGTTCCACACAAATGTGATTGAAATATTGGAGGTTTATTTCTGGAGATCCGATATGGTGGTTGCAAACCATTATCTGAGAGATATCACCACCGAGGGCGTCTCAGGTATACACCAATTCGATCCCATGGTCCTCGCACAACAGCTGACAGTTCCTCGGAGAAGATAAGTCAATCTAACAGATTTTTACTTATCTTATAACAATACTAAATAGCTTCATGCTATATATAATTTACTTAAGTTCCTTTTATCATCACAGTACTATGATTATTACATCATACAATATATAAGTTAACAACTCTACAGAGTTTGTTATTATATATATTTACCTTAAGTTATTCATATCTTAAGAGTAATATTATGGTTACATGATAAATGCATCAGCTAACAAACTCTACAGAGTTTTGGCTATTTTATACATAGCTTAAGTTAATTAAGCTAACAAACTCTGAGTTTTACTATTATATAGGTAACTTAAGCTAATTATACCTTAAGCATAGTACTATACTCATATTATTAAAATATATTGGCTAACAAACTCTAAGGAGTTTTGCTATTATATAGGTAGCTTAAGCTTATTCATATCTTAAGCTTAGTACTATGTTTATATCATATAAGTAGATTAGCTAACAAACTCTAAAGAGTTTTTTGCTATTTGGCTTAAGTATCATCATATTTCTAAGCAATATGGTTATATTATAACATGTATTAGCTAACAAACTCTACAGAGTTTTAGCTATTATATATGTAACTTAAGCTTATTCATATCTTAAGAGCAGTACTATGTTTATATCATATAGGTATATTAGCTATCAAAACTCTAAAAGAGGGTTTTGCTATTATATATTTCGCTTAAGTTTCATCATATTTTAAGCTTTATAGTTACATTATAACATGTATTAGCTAACAAACTCTACGGAGTTCTTGCTATTATATATGTAGCTTAAGTTTTCCTTCATAAGCTCAATACTAGGTTTATATCATAGCTAACAAACTCTAAAGGGTTGTTTTCGCTATTATACAATTAGCTTAAGTTTTCATCATATCTTAAGCAGTATGGTTACATTATAAAGGTATTAGCTAACAAAACTCGACGGAGTTTTGTTATTATATATATATATAGCTTAAGTTTCATCATAACTTAAGCTCAGTACTATAAGCTTAGTACTATGGTTACACTATAAACATATTAGCTAATAAACTCTACAGAGTTTTTTGGCTATTATATATGTAGCTTAAGTTAATAATATCTTAAGCACAATACTATACTCATATTGTAAAATATATTAGCTAACAAACTCTCACGGAGTTCTGCTATTATATATGTTGCTTAAGTTCATTATATCTTAAGCACACTACTATACTCATATTGTAAAATATATTAGCTAACAAACTCTCACGAGTTTTGCTATTATATATGTAGCTTAAGTTAATTATATCTTAAGCACACTACTATACTCATATTGTAAAATATATTAGCTAACAAAACCCTACAGAGTTTTGCTATATATATGTAGCTTAAGTTAATTATATCTTAAGCTCAGTACTATACTAATATTATAAATATATATTAGCTAACAAACTCTACAGAGTTTGGCTATTATATATGTAGCTTAAGTTAATTATAGCTTAAGCACAGTACTATACTCATATTATAAAATATATTAGCTAACAAACTCTACAGAGTTTGGCTATTATATATGTAGCTTAAGTTAATTATAGCTTAAGCACAGTACTATACTCATATTATAAAAATATATTAGCTAACAAACTCTACAGAGTTTTGCTATTATATATGTAGCTAAAAGCTTATTCATATCTTAAGCTCAGCATTATATCTATATCATATAAGTATATTAACTAACAAACTCTAAAGAGTTTGCTATTATATAATTAGCTTAAGTTTAATCATATCTTAAGCTTAGTACTATGTTATATCTTAAAGTATTTTAGCTAACAAACTCTAAGGAGTTTATACTAGCATATTAACAAGCTTAAGTCTATTAGTCTTAAGCATTGTATTAATGTTATATATACTTTATCATAATAAGTACATGGTAATAACCTTTTATATGGCAGCTGATAAGTTAGCAGCAGGAATTCATCAATTCAGTGCCTTTATGAAGTTCCCATAGGGTTATTACAATCATCACAGTTCAAATCACTAATTATTAAAATCCAAAGTATTAGATATTCCCACCTCCGTTCCGTAGGATGCTACAAGCAAAAGAGCATGAGTCAGGATAAGGAAAAATATGTAATTTTGGAGTAAAATTGATATTTTATACTTATCCTGACTCATGAGGTCAGCCCTCCCATCCTCCCAAATAACACTTTGGATTTCCTGTAAATTCAAATGTTGGGCTCAGTATATGAGGAGAGAGTGAGGCACATGGGTAGAGGTGGCCCTCGTTCAGCAGCTTGTGGAAAGGAGGTAACTTCGTGGTGAATACTAATTAGTGATTTTAAATTGAAGGAGCTTCAATTAGGGAGATACAAGTGTTCCACTATGTTAGCAAGAAGAAGAAGACAAGCAAAAGAGCATGAGTCAGGATAAGTATAAAATATCAATTTTACTCCAAAAATTACATTGGCCTATAATTGTTTTATCTTCTGGCAACTTATCACATCTCGGAAACTATTGGACCAAGGCAACTGAAACTTACGCTAATTGTCTGTCTTTGCCATAGCTATTCTGATCCTTACATCAACATAGCCACCATCACAATCATATTGAAAGATCTCTCTTGTGCTGCAAGTGGATATTTGTTCAATGTTGCATATTTTTCCAGATTCTCATGATGGTTGGTCTGCCAGGTGCTGGCAAAACCTACTGGGCTGAAAAACAGGCAAAGGGAAATCTAGATAAGAGGTACAATGTGCTGGGTACCAACAACATCATTGACAAGATGAAGGTAAGCACATGTCATTATTCATTGATAAACTGTCAGTATTTAAATATTTTATTTGTCTGTTAGAAACCTTAAGTGTTTGGTCACTTCTGATCACTAATCCAAATCTTACAAAATTATTATGTGTATATATTTATTAGAATAGTTAATCTGATCTAGAAATTCTTAGGGTAATGGTTTTTCCATGTTTGGCATGAAAATTACATATATGATATGGATTATGTTTCTTGCTTTCTAGGTTATGGGTTTGCCTCGTAAGAAGAACTATGCTGGGCGATGGGATGTCCTTATTGACAAAGCAACAAAGTGCCTCAACAGGATGATTGAAATTGCTGCTCGCAAAAAGCGAAATTATATCTTGGACCAGGTAGGTGTATTATAATTTGGTTTCTATAGTGTAGTACAGAAAGGACGGTGAGACATTGAGGATGATCTTGGACCAAGTGGATTTGATAATCCTTGATGGATTTGTGAGAAAGTAATACTTTGCAGTCAGGAAACAGGTAGGTATGCCCCAGTTTTTGTTTTTTTACAGGGTGATTTCAGCAAAAAGGTGATTTGAAGAGGTAAGTGAAACATTTTTTCTTTTCTTGAAAGGACATGGATGTTTCTTCTCAAGATTTACAAGGTGAGTCTGTTTGCTTGCATTTGAAGTGGACAATAGTGGTCTATTGGAAGCCGAGGAAGAAGAGGATGTGAACTCAGAACTGGCATCATACAGATGCTCTTCCGCACATATGTAATGGATATTGGTGCGACTTGAATGCTTAAACCCTGTAATTGATGCCTTTGCCAGTATTTTGATGTAAAGTGGTAGTTTGAGCCAAGGTGTGAACCCATCCATGAGATTTAGCTGCATTAATATAGGATGCAGTGTATATTTTGTCCTGATCATTGGTGCCTTGGGAGAGCAGCATCTTGAAATACATTATGGTATTCTGATTTTGTTAACAGTGGAATTTGTCCTTAGTTTGTTTTGTGAGTTGAAACATTGTTTGAAAGGACAGCAATGGCTTCTTGAAATAGGTATCAATGTGATTGTTTCATATATTGATTCAACATACATCAATTTGGTTTTGTCCAGTTATTTTGTGTTTGTCAAGAATGTTGAGCTATAGTTTGTTACAACTATTCTGAGAAAACACTTGTAAGAAATGTGTTCTGATTGCACAAATGTTCAGTAATGCTGTAAATTCAGATTCCTTGCTTATACAATGGCTGGTCAGAAAGTTAAGTTGAAGGCAGTTGTTTGCCTGCGCATTGAAGAATTGAAAAATACTACATGTTCTGCTAGTTCCTTTGATTGAAGTAATTAATTGCAGAATCTATGCAGATATAAGTAATTAGCTGTAGTGTGGCAGGGTGACCTTTGAGGTTGAAGAAACAATTGCTGTTTGTGCTGAAGGTGTTAACAGAACATACTGTAAAGATCTCATGTCACATGAAGAAATCAGTCTCTGTATATAATTAAAGGGTTTGCAGATGTCCACAGCAGCAAGAACAGCTGGTAGATTTTGAAATGCCACTTGTCAGTGTATGTAACATGACCCAACCTATAAAGAGGTACACCTGTAGAAACATTCAGAACCAATTCTGATTACATCCTGTTTGTATTGCGATCTGGACTGAAGCTCACCACCAGATCATGCAGTCACTTTCAAACCCAGTAAATTTGTGGATTGTCCTCCATGTTATTCAACCTTAGGCGAGATATGTTGACGTGGTGAAACACCAGATCTGTAAAATAATTTTTTTTGAGTTACTGAAATTAGGACCTCAAAATTACAATCAAAAATCATTTCTTGCAATTGAATCTCCAGTTAAGTTTGTTACAGTTTGATTGGCTTCGTTGATTTTTGCAATTAGGATGTGTATTCAACAGTTTCCCCAAACACTCTTTTTCCAACACAATGTAATAATTGTGAAAACAATGGGATTTGATTGAATTTTTCTGGATAAGACATCAGGTTTTAGATGATGTGTAATATAGGTGACATATCTGATTAAGAAAATCTTATTCAATTATTGGTTACATTTTTGACTACTTTGCAATTCATTTTAATGCAGCAGTATAATTAGATGTTTAGTTGTGGATAAAATGGTAATGCAGTTATGTTTCAAATGATATATATACTATTTTTATAATAATTGTGTATGATAAGTCAGATAATTTAAGATCTTGCTTGGAGTCATTTATAGTTTTCAACATGTTCAACTGCTGGTAATTGTCTTGTGAGCTGACTTGGCAAGCTAGTTTGAGCCAAGGTTCATATCAACGTATGTTTCCTGTCAACCTGATACATTTGTCAGAATTACCCTGTGTGTAAGATATCAACCCCTTATTCTTGGTGTGAAATACCTGCCTTAGATGGTGATATGTGATGCTTCATCTGGACTAGTTGTTTTCTAGTGATACACTGAAAAAAACCCTCTTCTGTCCAAGACACATAATTATCGGATCTATGTGCAAAGTGAATCTTGCATCCTAATGAGTATTCAAAATAGGTCCTGGAAAACACCTTCCATTGTTGTGTGAACTTTACTCTATTTTCTTTGAAGTAAAAGCAGTTGCTTGTCTCCAGCTGCTTTAGGAACCCACTTAAATGGTGGTTTGCATGTCAGGACACACATCGAAAAAATCAGTGCTCTCTCCACATTTGATGATATGGATTTAAATTTGATTTAGAACTTGTCTGTGGAGGTGTAATACTATCGTAAGCTACAGGTGTGTTGCAAGATATTTAAGACTGATTAACTTGCATTATTTGAGTACAGTAAATCAACTTTACTCCAAACATTGGAATAACTTAGTATTTCGATTTGTACAAACCATTCTAAGCAGTATATGTCCGCTTGCCTGGGCAAAAAGATGTTAGTAAAGAATGTCAACTGGTTTGTTTATGGGAACTCGGGGAATATTTGGAGGAATGGATATGTTGTTTTGTAGTTTTTGTGATACTTGGAAGGAAGTCAGTACAAGTTGCAAGACATTCACTGATATTCCAAGAATTATTGATCATGTTTTGTGTTGTATCATCATGTAGTAAATGATGTGCAGTAAACACTGGTATTGATATGCTTGTACGTTTCACAGATTTCTAAAGGTTCTGGTGAATGACAGCGTAGTGTGATTTTCTGTAAGTGTATCATTGCTTTGTATCTGTGGAGAAACATACACAAATCAGTGGAACTTAGCTGCGTGGTAAAAGCTCAGAGACATACCGAAATGTCTTTTATCTGTACTTACAACATGTATGAGTATGATTAACATGCTTTTTACTGTGGATGAAGGTTCTATTTATGTGTTCACTGGGATAGTTTTCAGTAATAGATTCACAGTTAATTCACAAAACTTGCCTGTCAATGCTTACTGCAACAGTATTGTTTGGAAGTGTTAACTTGCTGGATAACAGAAAGCTGAAACTCAGAATTGTGCTGAATTGAGATTCAAATTTGTCTGCTTTACATATTGTTTTGGCATGGTGGCCATTCATCTGTGTATTGGTTGGACACCACTGCGTAATGTACAGCTTGAATGTGTTGGTGTTTACCCTTGTCTTTCCTCCAAAGGATTGTCTGTCGTCAATACTTTATCCACGGAATTCTAATTATTAGGTTCTTCTATTTACTTCATGGCAAAGTCCAGGATTTCACTGAAGTTTTGACAGTAGTTAGTTACCTAACATTGTGATGTTCTTTGACACATAAGCTAGTGATTGGTATTATCTAGTCCAAGGATTAGGTTGTGATTTGGATGAGGTTGTGATTGGGATGAGGTTGCTCTTGGCTCTTCTACTCACTAATAACTATTATGATGAGCACTATGATAGCAATTCCTATGACCAGCGTAACTGCTTTGGGAGTGACCTTATATACTTACATGTACTCAAGCTGAGATGCCAAAGCTGCATATGAAATATTCTACATTAAGTGCATCTACTCAATGGTTATCTGTGCAGGTGAGTTTTGTTTTTCAGCTTTGAAGGTAAGTCCCATGGAAACCTAGGTTTCTATGGAGTGGGGGAAAACTGATAGGGTGGCTAGGGATAGGCGCGAAATGGACAGAAACGGCAGGCAACTAGGCAGTTAGCGACTGTATGAACCATGTAACATGTATTTCTTGAAGTGTCTTGCAGATACCATCGGATGCTGGACATGATGTAATAATGTTTTTACAACATAATGACAATGTATGCCACTGATAACATCCGGTTGGCAAAGGAACGAGCTGGAGACGAGACTCATGATCTATTATGTTCTTATTTGCCGATTAGACAAATGTGTATGCATCAGCCCGGAGACGTAAAATGCAGCCTTTTGAAGGTTTCCAACGCAAGGCGATTGTGGTAGTACCTACTGATGAGGATTTCAAAACCCGCATTGCCCAAAGGGAGAAGGAAGAGGGAAAAGAGGTGCCAGAAAAAGCTGTTCTTGAAATGAAAGGTAGGGATCGCCGCCGGATAAGGGGGCGGGCACCTGCTGCCGATTGTTATTCTCCTGTCAGCCTTCTTGAAGCTTGTTTTAGACCCTAACTATGTAGCTCACCCATAAGCATGTTAATCTTGCTCAGGTTAAGATAGTCTTAGATGTTGGGTTCTCCACTTATGAATTTCTTCAGGGTAGATGCTGAAGAAATTCATGTGGACATTTTGGATCCATACTGATCTTTGATTTTTTTCTTCGCACAGCTAATTTCACATTGCCAGAGACAGGGTCTCTGTTTGACAATGTAGAGTTCACTGAGCAGGACAAGGAACAGATTGATCAGCTGGTTGAGAAGTACCGCAAGGAAGGCCAGGCAGCTCTCCCTCCTCCAGACAAGAGATTCCGAGGGGACAGGTTCTCAGGTAGGTGTTCTCCTTTGCCATTATGTAATGAGCACTTATTTCAGACAGGAAGCTTATTATTGCTGTATCCCACTGAAGTATGGCTCAAATAAGAGGATAGTCATCAGGATCATTAATGACCATGCTGAGAATTGATCATATCATCATATTACTAGAACATATTAACAAGTATCTGTTCCCATGGAAACCATAAATTCAGCTACTAGAAACCACTGTAGTCTCTATGTAAACCCAGAAAGACGGTCACATTTATGGTTTGTCCGCTGTTGTAAGCTGTCTCATAATATATCACTGTAAACTTGCTTTGATCTAAATATTGCACTGTATATTTGCAATATCAGTGTGTTATACATACTGAACTGAAGTGATTGAAGACTGAACTACAGTAACTTGTTAGGGTATATTCTGATTACCTTGGTGGTTAGTTGAACTTGACTAGTTGGTGGAAGAAATGTGTCAGTTGTTTACAATAATTTTGCTTTATCATGACATGCTCTGACACTTAAACTATCCACACTTGAGGTTAATTACGGAAATATCTGTTTTCACAACTAAGTATTTAAAACTAGCACCGTTTCTTTAGAAAATTAGAATGACGTGAAACTTTGACAAACAACAAGCAAGTAACGACAGCATGGAAAGTAAGGTACGAGGTTATAGCTTAGTGTTACCTGCTCTTGGCTGTGAGAGGTCCGTGGGGCCCTGTAGGGGTGGTCGAACAAGATAAAAACGTAGTTTTTTGTTTTGTAAATATTATATTCAAATATTGTTACAACTGTAGTTATCCCCTGCAAAGCGTTTTGCAGGGGGTATTAAAATGCACTCCGTCCGTCCGTGCGCGTGCGCGTCGCGTGCGTCCGTGCATGCGTGTGTGCACATTGTCTTTTCCGGAGCAGAACTTTAAAACCGTTCAATATTTCGTTACCAAACTTCTTACATAGATAGGTCTGGTGGTGAACTGGTGCCTTTTAGTAGTTTTGGATTTGTAAATAAAATATTTTTTGCGTTTCCATGGCAACAAGTTTGACTTTGACTGAAATTGGTGTTAGTGCAATTTTCCGGAGCAGAACTTTAAAACCGTTTAATATTTCTTCACTAAACTAGGCAGATTGTTATGTCTGGTGGTGAACTGGTGCCTTTTGGTAGTTTTAAATTTCTGATTATAATACTTTTTGCGTTTCCATGGCAACAAGTTTGACTGACTGAAATTGGTGTTGGTGCTCTTTCTGGAGCAGAACTTTAAAACCGTTCAATATTTCTTTACCAAACTTCTTCTTACATAGATAGATCTGGTGATGAACTGGTGCCTTTTGGTAGTTTTGGATTTCTGATTATAATATTTTTTGGCGTTTCCATGGCAACAAGTTTGACTGACTGAAATTGGTGTTGGTTTTCTTTTCTGGAGCAGAACTTTAAACCGTTCAATATTTCTTTACCAAACTTCTTACATAGATAGGTCTGCTGATGAACTGGTGCCTTTTGGTAGTTTTGGATTTCGGCTCATAACATTTTTTGGCGTTTCCATGGCAACAAGTTTTACTTTGATTTCTTCACCAAACTTGGCACATAGATAGGTCTGGTGGTGAAATGGTGCCCTTTGGTACTTTTGAATTTCTGAATAAAATATTTTTTGTGTTTCCATGCAAACAGGTTTGGCTTCAACTGAATTTTGTGGTAGTGTTCCTTTCTGGAGCAGAACTTAAAAACCTTTCAATACTCTCCGTCCACTTTGCCATATACACACCAAAATATTTGACATAACCATAACTAGTAGACAGTTTCATGAGAGTATTTTGCCATTGCTGGGGATATTGATGACTTTGTCTTCTTGTAGGAATTTAAAATGGACATTTTAATGCTTATATGTACCTCAAGGAGGACTCTATTCAAAGAATATGCAACCTCTATAGGTTTATTCGAAGTTTCCAATAGGACACTTCTATTGAGCATAGCTGAAATAATTAACATTGTTATCTGCTTTAACATGTTACACTGGCTGTTGCAAGATTAATAAAAGTTGATTGATAATGATATAACACGCAAATCTCATCATTTCCTGCCATTTGTGAAGATGAAATTGCCTGCTTTATCCACGAGCAGCTGACAAAGATGTTATGTCAACAGTTATCTGGAATTTTGAATGGATAATGAAAGTAAGACTGGCATTATTATTTTTTTCAAGTTCATCTGGGCCATTCAAATGATTCACTGTGGGATTCCAGAGGGGCCATGATTATTGTGTTCTTGTTTTAATTCCAGTTTGATAAAGCAAAGACTTATGGTGCTTTCATGCGAGTTTGTTATGACTGCTCGTTAATACTCCAAATTCTGCTTTCACAAATACTTCAATGTGTTTAATATTAAAAGAGCAGTCCCTGTGACTTTGTATGAAGCTGTATCATGATTGTGTACTTTGTTCTCTGGACAAGCTTTATGTATACAACAAGTGCAGCCCTTAAAACACTCAAGTTAACTAAACTTTTGGTATCAAGCTTGCTCATTGGTCCATAGTCATGAATGTATTAGGGCTTTGTAGAGAGAATCTGTATTACACTTAAAACAAAACCAATAATACTCGTTTGTATATTAATGAACACAGTCTAAAATTACAATGTAAAGTATATCTGAATTGAAAGAAAAATATGAACTTCAAATAGCTTTCAATGTTTAAGAAAATAGGATATTTTCAGGCACACAACCTTAAGAATCCTGGATAAATCTATAGTTTATTGAATGACACAAAAGTGGTTGCCCTAGCATTATTTTAAACTACTACTTGAATTGAAGATGGCATATCTTGGCAACATCTCTACTGTTTACTATTGCACGTGTATGATTGTTTACCACTATGAATTTCAGGTCGAGGTCGTTATGATAACCGTGATCGTCGTGGTGGCTACGACCATCGTGATCGTGGTAGGGGAGGTTACCGTGGGGGATATGATCGCAGAGGAGGTGGTGGTTATGGAGGTAGGTGTTGCTAAAATTCTACACCATTATACCAGGAATATATTTATTTGCATGTTTACATTTATCACAGAACAGTTCAAAGTTGGATTTGAGATGAAGCCCAAAATGATTCCATGGAGAGTGACAGAGTTGTATAGACTGTTGTTTTTTATTGCAGGCTACAAATCAGGCGGACGATATGATGACCAAGATAGATCAGGAGGTCGACAGGCACAGGTAATTTGTTTTTAGTTGTCTTTATTTATCTATATTTAAAACATACCACTTCAGAAGATAAGCGATTCACAAAGAGCAGATTTAGGACTTCCAGTAAAACATAAGGTGTTGACCAAGAAACATCCACATATGCTATTTTATGTCATATCCTGCTTGCTTAGTATGTATTTGTGAAGGTCATCTGCAAGTTCATTGAAGAAATCTAAATTATTGTCAGTTTTATTGAAATGACCAATTATGTAATTGTTAAGCTCAATTGTTATGTTAATATTATTTGAATGTAATTTGGTTAAAAGAGATGAGAGTGAAAAATGATATTTTAAACACTTGTAAGATATTGATTCTGTACATTTGATCTGATCAACATTGTCCTTTCAGTCATATGACCGCAGCTATAACCGCAATTACAACCAGGGATCCTACCACAAGCAAGGCTCCTGGGGCAGTCAGGGGTCGTGGGGGAACCAGGGGTCATGGGGCAACCAGGGATCTTGGGGAAACAACAACCCTTCCAACTATACCGTAAGTTCCATCAGCACAAGGTGTCATAGTAGCCCAGACCTGTGAAGATCTGGGTTAGAATTGGTGTTCAGTAACCCATGCTTGTCGAAGAAGTGACTAATGGGATCAGGTGGTCAGGCTTGCTGACTTGGTTGACACATGTCATTGTATCCCAATTGTGTAGATCGATGCTGATGCTGTTGATCACAGGATTGTCTGATCCAGACTCAAATATTTACACACTGTCGCCATATAGCGGGAATATTGCTGAGTGCAGTGTAAAACTTAAGTCTCTCACTCATCGTAGCCCAATAGATAATTATGATAATAGTTTGATCCGATAAGTTTTGGATGATGTCTTGATGAAGTGTTTGCTGATTAGCTTTGCTGATACATATTGTAGGTTTTAAGGAATAGGTATTAAAGCTGTTTAAGGGTCTGGATTCATGATTGAGCAAGTAATTAAGTCACTTTTGGTAAGAATGTGGCCTGTTCTTTTATCTCTAAAATGCTTCATTGTTTGTTTCAGTGGGGTGGTTATGGCCAGGGTTCATCAAACCAGGGATACCAACAGTGGGGTGGTCAAGGCAGCTGGGGACAGTACTGGGGTCAGGGTGGTGGCAGCAGCGGTAACTACAACAACCAGAACCAGCAGTACGGCAGCTGGGGCTATGGCAACTACAGCAACAAATAGTGGCTTCAACATCACACCTATAGTCAGTTTCCTTCTGTCACCATTGCGCTGGTGTCATGGATGAGATGAGTAGAAGAGACGCAAGATTTGGTTGATGGGTATTTTTCCGCAACAGGCGTCAGGAGACATGTGTTCAAGTCTGTTGTATGAGGTACACATCAACATGTTTCTTCCTCTCGGCCATACTCCTGAACCCACCAGACAGGGATCATGCATATCCTTGATCATTGAACCTGAACATATTTCTTTGAATTTCTAAGTGTCTTCATGTTACTGTTTTGGTGCAGTGTTGTGCTTGTTTATCAACTGTATATAAAATCCTGTCTGTTCCGTGAAGTAACACAAGGTTTTTGTAAAGGGAAAGAATACAGGAATGAAACAGTTTTGCATCAGCTGTAGAATGCATTTATCAAAGTCTTCATGTAGAAGATGGACATTGTAGTCATCATGTTGATATTTCTTACACTTAATCTTGTACTTGAGGTCATTTGTCATCTTTGTAGATGTTCATTTATGTGAATCATGAAAACAATCGATTATGTGCATAATTAGAGATACTTTCCATGGAATCAGACCATCACAGTAACTTCATCATCTTTTCCCATAAGACAGGAGCATGGTAAAGCATATTAATTGTTGCCTGTCATTGTACAAAACGTGTCATATCTTTTGTTTTAAACCATCATCCGAGCCGAACTGTGCATTTTCTGATTTCATTCAGGAACATTCATAGATTTTATAAAAATATTTTATTGTAATTTTATTTGAATATTTCTTGTTAAATTGGCTTTGTTGTTAGTTTCCAACTATGACAATAGTCAGTGAGAATAGAGCCGTGTAATTATAGGTGGATACTTGGTATTGTGTATTATGTACATGGACAACTGATGTGTTCAGCTGTTCCTGAGACTGACATCTAGGAGCCAGAGCAACACTGATCAGGAAACTGGGGATGCGGTGCCAGAAATTGCTGAACACGTCAGTTGGTGACCAGATTTTAGTGGATATTTTATGTTCAAAATGCGTTACTTTATAAAAACATGTCTTCATTGTTAAATGAATCTTTCTTGGAGGATTTTGTCTTTGTTCTTTTTTAAATGAGGAGATTGGGAAGTAACCATGGTACCAGACCTGTGTCTTGTTCCAGCCAGGATATGCAGGTTGGGCTATGGAACCTCATCAGAAACCATGTTTGTGCTCATAGGTTTCTGTTAAGGAGTTGACATATAGGTCCTTTATCTGTAGGAGTTACTGAAGATGAGATGCAGAGAATAGCAATGATATTTGAAAGGTCATTTAACCCATCTGAAAGAATCACAAGCATCCTCTGGTTTCGGGCTACAAACACAAATTTGCATTCTGACTCTTGGATTTGTCAGCCGTAGTAGTGTTCAGTATTTCACCAAAGTGGAAAATCTTACATGCATCCTATGGGCGCTACCTTATGCCAACACTCACCATGCTGAAATACTGTTCGTAGGTGCGTTGAACAAAACTCGATTTCTCACTTGGATCTAAGCGGACCACCTCCATGGTGAGTGGTTAGAGCGTCCTCCAGGCTTGCAGTCTGTATAATGTGTCTTAGTGGGGTATTTATGCTTAACTGTGGCATGGTATTTCAGTGAGCTATTACAAGCAGTCACATACACACGCCTGCACGTCGTCATATGAGCGAAATACATGTATTCTTAAGTACGACATTAAACCCAATTTCACCTCGCATGTACCCCGTTTCATCAAGATATCGTAGCGTTACGACTGGCGTAACTCCTATACTGTAACATAGACTTACGACAGTCGTAGTGCTACGGTAGCTTTGGGAAACAGGGCCCTGGATCTTAGCAGAACCAATCAATCATTCCGAGCTCACCGAGCCTTTAAACAAGACCCACACTGCTTATGTTTTGATGAAATATTGCCGACATTAACTTAACCCCTCCATAGAGTTCCACTAGAATTTCAGTGCACCGCAATTAGCTATGCCTAGCTGCGACCCTCGGACACACGAGAAACCCAGAATCGGTTCGAGTGACATTCTCCCCGACTGCTTCTAGGCTGGTCATCAACATGCCCGTTTCACGAAAATTGTATATGTCCAAGACGTGCATCACTTTGCGTGAAGGTGTACATCTCTACAACTGCAGCTGTAACCCATGTGACGTGACAAAGATATATATGAAAAGGGCTTTCTGTAAATGTACTCGACAAGCTCTAGAAACCTACCTAATACACTTGAGCGTATGTAGCTTCAAAGTGGACAGTCCATTACCTAATGTAGTCACCTCTGAAAGGTTTTATTGTAAACACAGTTAGTTTGTGCGATCTTTCAAAACAGATGCAACACGCATTTTGACAGTTGTATAGCAGCTAAGGCATCGGAGGAAGCCAGCATATGGTACGACATATCGATCGCTTGAAGTTCGGAGTTGAGTCTCTTACCGGCCACAGGATCTGATTTTGTTACGTTCGAGTGCCATATTTGCCCTTGCAATGATTCTTGATGTGTCCGCACCATACCCCTGCTTTCTGTTGCCAACTTGTATACGTCTTCGATCCCCTCATTTGACTGTTCTGCCATCTGACGTGATAAAATGGAAACACGGCAATTCGTCCTTCATCCCAAACTCACTCAATAGTAGATCAGATTTGGTCAGTGGACCATCTGATGGACCGGGTCGACCAGGTGTCCATCTGTTTAATACAATATGTCGCACTTCTACCCAGTTGTACTCTGTGACCGGTTGGGTATTTTCGTTTCACGTTTATTTATGACGTTAAGTTCAGTGTCGCTTTATCTCCCATTATCTAACAAGCCACACATTATTTAGGTTGTTACAATGTATTTCGGCACGTCAGGGGTAACCTTAGTACTTAATGACTCTCGCCTGAACTACTCATAGTTGTCCGCAAGGGCCGTTGAAACCTTAGCTGTGCAATGATGTTCAGAATACACGTATATAACATTTGCAATTATTTAACAATTTATATGTATAATTACCAACTTTGGCGCGCACGCACACACACACACTTATAACGCTGCTGACCTGAGTAAGTGTGGCTTGGCCTTAAGCCTCCTGTTCTCGCCATTGTACATCGCAGTTGAAACTAACTTGCTCAAACCAATGGTTGGTTGGCTGCTTGTTTAAGTCGCACTCAGCAACACTCCAGCTATATGGACGGCGATCTGTAAATAATCGAGTCTGGACCAGACAATCCAGTGATCAACAGCACAAGCATCGATCTACACAACTGGGATACGATGACGTGTGTCAATCAAGTCATGATCCTGGCTCAAACCAATGATGACACCGTGCGTTTTAAAGAGGTTAAATACAATGAACAGAATTGCCAAACCGTGTGTACAACTTTCTCAAGATGAGCGAGTATGGGATTACGCCGCTTTTGCAATTTTCCAACAATATCACGTCGGGTTACACCCAAAATGGGCTTCACATATTGTACCCATGTGGGGAATTGATACCGGCAATAAGCCTGACGAGCGGACGCTTTAAATACTAGGCTACCCCACCGCCCCTACCCCATCTCTGATCCAACTTATAGTTTTGTGTTGTTAAAATATTGGCAACGAATCAGGAAGTGGCCAATTAATGGCATGGACAATTGCAAAACTCACAAGAAGATTAGCATTAATAACTGGATGTCACAAACAAAACTATAAATCCGTGAGATCCTGGTTAGAATTGGTATTCAGCAACCCATACTTGTCATAAGAGGCGACTAACAGGATAGGGTGGTCAGGCTCGCTGACGTGGTTGACACATGTCTTCGTATCCCAGTTGCGTAGGACCCGTGAAGATCCGGGTTAGAATTTGTCTCCAGCAACCCATACTTGTCGTAAGAGGCGACTAACAGGACAGGGTGGTCAGGCTCGCTGACGTGGTTGACATGTGTCATCGTATCCCAATTGTGTAGATCGATGCTCAAGATGCCGATCGCTGAATTGTCTGGTCAAGACTGGATTATTTACAGACCACCGCCATATAGCTGGAATATTGCTGAGTGTGGCGTTAAACAACCAACCAACCCAACCATTGCGTAGATCGATACACATGATGTTGATCACTGGATTGTAGCTGGAAACTGCCGATTTCGGCGTTAAACAAAGTAACAGGCCTTTAAATGGTGTATACATATATGCCAATTGTATGTTTGAAACTGTATGTATATGGGCGCGATGGCCTTTGTACGGAAATACAGTTTTGATTAATTGATTGAAATGGTCCTGTGGTTTATTGTGTGGTACGGTTATATAGCCTGACCACCCGATCCACAAAGATATATTGTATTTTATAGCGACTAAGGCTTAACCTCTATATGTACATTAAACGCCAAAAGAAACGTGTGACGGAGGTACCTATCTTCAGCTGGCGTGATGCGTGGACGTCCACTTAATTCTTGGTCTGTCTACGGTGACCCCAGTCTGTCTGAAACCCTGAATAAGTCTTATAACCGTGATACGGTGGCATCGGAGGGCGTTGGCAACAGCATTGTATGTCGACCCCACTATTGTGATGGTGTGCTTTGTCTCAGACATGAATAGGAGGGAATTTTCTGCACATGCAATATTCAACAAGAAAGTGACCAAGCACTTCCCCTACACATCAATAAATATGTGTCAAGTTGTTTTTAATACGGTCCCTCCCAGTAGACTCCAACACGGAAATAGCACCATAGTATGGACATGTGCCTCTTTCACTCTAATAAACACGGAAATAGCATCAAAGTATGGACATGTCTTCTTCACACTAATAAACACGGAAGAAACAGCTTATTAACAGTTAATCCGAATGCAAACACGTCTCATGCTTAAGTCAAGTAATTCATTTTGTTTGTAATGGTTGATGACAACGCAACTATGGCTGAATGTGTTTTCAAAGAAATAACAAACATTCTCTCTGTGGAGGAGGACCAGTATATGGTGTTTATTCCTCACGCCTAAGGCCCGCGTTCGATTTCTGACACGGGTACAATATACGTAGCCCACTTCTGGTCTCCCCCGCGCTGAGTGAGTATGCTTCTACGCCGCTTTTAGTCATGTTCCAGCAATATCACGGCGGGGCACACCAAAAGGGGCTGCACACATTTTACCCATGTTGAAAATCGAACCCGGGTGTTCGGCGTGACGAGCGAACGCTTTAACCACTAGGCTACCCAACGCCCCCTTCCCCGCGCATATATTGCTGGAAGATTGGTAAAAGTGTCATGAAACCATTCCCACTCTCTATTCCACAAGAAATGAGTCAATGGAAAGAAATGTAATGCTGCGTAGATTGGACTATTGTATTGCAATGTTAATAACAGTCGTTATAATAGCTGGAATAACATCCTGTTGTGGCATAAACAAATCTCGTTCAAACACTAGACTGGTGAAACGTTATACTCATCACGGACGTGCTGTTTCCTGTATGTTCACACATTGTATGCTACGATGACATTTGCACCTAAATTAAAGCTACAAGACGACTTCCACAACCATAAGAAATCTGAACATAAAGCAGTGTCCAGTGTACGATTCCGACTAGATCTATATGTGATCATGGTCACGACCCAACAGTGATGACACCTGGCCCTGATTTCTCGAAACAAACTTAAGTTTTTACTCAAATTTGACAATTTGAAACAACTGAATTTTTTAACTCAACTGCATTTTTAAAATAAAAAAGCCCAAACAACTTAAGTATTCTATCCACTAAACTCAAATTGCCTACTATGTTTGAGTTTAATAGCGATTTCAGTTTATTCTGGGAAATGCATTTTCCTGCCTTTTCTCAAATTTGAGTAAAAACTCAAACTTAAGTCAAAAATCAGACTTAAGTTTGTTTCGAGAAATCGGGGCCAGGTGTTAACAAAAGAAATCATGTTAGAAAAGTATAGTGATAGACTTAAAGGCGTGATTGGTCCACTGCCGGGACGGCGGACGCATGATTAACTAAGTGATGACACCAGGTATTAGCACAAAGAGAAATCACGTTAGAAAAGTACAGTGATAGACTTTAAGGCGTGATAGATACACTGTCAAAAGGTTGCTGTGATGCAGTTAATTTCAGACAGCTATAAAGCATGACAAGCTAAGAGATCGTATCACACATCGTGGGCATCATTATCGTGATACCGATAGGAAGATTCATTTCCTCTTCAATACATGATCTCATAACATCAAGAAACCGTTTCTAGAAGCGATGTTAGCACTACGACGACCGTAAGCCTGTAACAGTATGGGAGTTAGGACCACTATTGCGTTAAAACCGATTCGTGGAACCGGGCCCTGAACGCTTCTCTGCAGGGCTGACATGCTTGTTCCCCCAACCCTCTTTTTTCGTTGACATGTTTAAATTAAGTTTTGCTTAAAGCCAAGTATAATGTATTCAAACCTGTCTCTAGTAGTCTGTCACATATACCCTAAAATAAACAACCCCAATATAGCCAGATGTCTAGATTCTGAAAATATAGGGAGTGTCTGGCACCTTCTTGTCATATTTTATCAAAATAATTTAAACGTGTTCTGTAAAATATCTTCATGGACTAGACGTAGATTACATACTGATCGTTGAATCTCCAGAACAAGTGGAGATGGTTCCACGTCGGAGATGGTGTCCGAGCAGCCAGCACTAAATGACCCATAAACTTAAACAGTAATTTGTATTATCTGAATGAAGTTGTGAAATATCGACCACGTTTTCCTCGTCTGTCACAAGCCCATACCACAACACGGTTAAATCTACGTCAGAGATAAGACGAGCACCGAAAACATACTGCTCCCCAAGAAACATATCTACAGATAACAAGGCTGTCGACATTGTCCCATTTTTAACCCATCATATTAAAAATGAACATTTAAAGTGAGCGTGAACATTCCTATATATTTTAAGACCACGAAAAAGAAGAGGGATTTAAATAAGAATTCTCATAAAATTGAAGAAAAATAGACATTAATTTATGAAGTACAATGTATTTAAATATATTGCATTATTTCTATATATAATATATCGTACCACAAATGACATCACGAAATTAAACATGAAGTGATCATCAATTTTTTGTGGGCTACTAATGTTTGGGTCAGACCTACCTTAATGTATATATGATTGAATATTAACGTAATTATTAACGTTTTATCAACAATGTACCGAATATGAACCTTTAATGAGCCAATAAACTTCTCGATAATTGGCACAAACATATTGTGTAATATGGAAATAAACTATGCTGATATTTCACCAGGCAAGTAGAGACGATTACGTGCACGTTAAACAACAGGAAATATTATCGCTGACCTCAGACGCCTTGAGTCAGCTGACAAAGTCGACAACAATCAACAATCACCCACAACCAACCTTGGGACACAACAGCTGAACGTGGGACGGATTTCACATATATATCCAGAAGTCATTTCAGTCGGTATCATAGTTCCACTTTACTTCCACAAAGAATGAACATACTAGCTCTGGTGTTGGTGGTGATACCACTGGCCGCGTGTCAACTCATCGGCGGCCCTATGACTGTCGACGTGAACAGAGACGACATTCAGCAGATGGCAAGCTTCGCCCTTACCCAGCTCAACACACTCCTCGGATCGCAGAACACTCTGGTGTCTGTCGTGAAAGCTAAAACTCAAGTAGGTGTCAATGTGCCTTTCCAACCCTTGCAAATAATTTGGGATCCTAGTTTAGCTGGTCATAAGCCTAAGGCATTTTGAACGCGTAGATCCATATTGGATTGCAGCAAAATGGGGCTGATAGTCTTGCGGTTAAAGCATTTTCTCGTCACTCCTAATTCCTGGGTTTGATTCTTCACACTACTGTACAGTAGGTGAACCCATTGAAGTGCACCCCGCGTGATATTACGAGAATATTTGTAAAAGCATACCTATTCAAACTTTTATCTTTTATTAGTTGTGAACCACGACATTACTGATGGAAGAATAGTTTGCCAGTATGTCATCAGGCCCCGTTAGCGTGCGCCATGGCTCCAAACTCGACTGAGCACAAGCCGTCGTGATAAGGCGGCGGTAAGGCCACATACAAATAATTTCTTCTTTCTCATTTCCGCCCAGCCCTATTTTTTTTGTTGCACTGGATTATTTGCGTGTATAAAACCGAAAATCCGTCTCAGCTTTCCAAGTTTTCGACTAACATTGTATAGAAAATCAGAAAAAATATTAAGAAATGAAAATAACATCTGCAATACCCACCCATTTTAAAAAAAAGGAAAGGTTATGAGAAACAGGTAATTTATTTTATGTGGCCTAAAAAACAATGAATTTATCAATGTCATTGGAATTTCACAGCTGTCTGTTATCCTCATACCCGTGAAGACCCGGGTTAGAATTGATCTTCAGTAACCCATGGTTGTCGCAGGAGGCGACTAACGGGATCGGGTGGTCAGGCTCGCTAACTTTGTTGACACATGTCATCGATTCCAAATTGCGTAGATCGATGCTCATGCTGTTGATCACTGGATTGTCTGGTCCAGACTCGATTATTTACAGACTGCCACCATATAGCTGGAATATTGCTGAGTGTGGCGTAAGACTAAACTCACTCACTCAGTGTAATGCTCATGATTCATATTTTGGTACTGTCTTCCAAAGTTGATCATTTGAACTCCATAAACTTATGACTGGCCTATACTTCTTATCCGAATTCGTAACTCTTCTGCCTGACAGGTTGTCTCTGGAATCAACTACATCCTGACCCTCCAGATACAGAATGGACAGGAGGTGAGTTCACGTCAGATCTTTATTTTCACTGAAACGTGCATGTCTGCACTAACTAGTATAACCTACCATGGCTACAGAACTCGATGACACACATGATATGAATTTAGCACTCGGTGCATAGCAGTTGCGATCCGGTATGTATAGAGTTGTGAATTGTGGATGGTCTAGTTCCGAAAACATCAGCATCCGACCCTGTACATGTTTAGTTAGGTTGTCTACATTCGTCTCTCATCCACAACGTCTGCTGTCGGAATGGAAGGACACGCTGGTCCACGTTGGTCCATTCTGTCAACATCTGGCGACGTCATCACAACTGCTGCTTGTCCTTGGTGGACTCGACAGTTCAGTAGGACGTAGATGAGAGTGTTTTAGGACCTCGTTACTAGTGTCTTACGAAGTGAGACCTCGTTACTCGATGTAACACGTCGATCTCCGTCAAGCAGACGTGTTAACCATATCCCAGCCATATCGGTGCGGGGCACCGAGAATGCGCCTCACACGTGTATCGATTCGAACCAGGGTCTTCAGAGCAATGAACGCACTTCACGCACGTGTCTACCACACTGCCGGTGACGTGTTGCAGGATACATCTTGTAGTTTATTTAGAGACCTTGTTTCATCAAATCAAGGATATTAAACTACAGCGGTAGTGATCGATAGTACAGTCGGCATCAAACGTGACACGAGTCTGGAGCAAAGAAACAGGTGCGCAGGAAGTTACACAACCTATCCTCCCGAAAAGAATGAATAGCCATCAGGAATATGTATTTCAGATCCTACATAAGAGATCTGGACTGTCATAATATAAGAGTAATGAGCGAACTCATAAGTACTCGGTTACCCAAACACGTTTGAAACGTAACGGGATTATGTCTCACAATGTCTTTGGCTGTTTATGAAATCAAGATGTGGGAGAGCAAGGCTATGAAACTGAAGTCTCGACAGTAGCGCGGTGTGCATTTGAGTTGTCGAAACTGAAGCAGCAGACAAATAAACTAAAATACAACACGTCATTCCGGGAAATAACGCTGGTGATCTGTTTCCAGACTCAAACCTGTGATGTTACAATCTGGAATCAGTCCTGGACCCAGACGACCCAAATGACCCAACACAGCTGCACCAGAGTGTCCAAGCGGGACATCTTGACGCCTGGCGGTCTGACCAACGTGGACATCAACAGTCCTGAAGTCACAGACATGGCCAACTTCGCCCTGAGCGAGATCAATGGACTGCAGGGTGCCCAGAACACCATGGAAGAAGTAATCTCAGCTAAAGCTCAGGTACGACTAGTGTCTTGCACGGTTACATGGCATAGATTAACGTCTCCTTGTATAGATTAAACACAGTTAGTGAGTGCTTGTGTTAGTATTACCCATGATGCAGTCAGCTAAACAATCTTATGTTACACATAATTCGACAATATTCACAGCGAAACCAAAGCTTACTTGTGCCAGAATCATAATGTGTTATATCTGAGCCACGTATTATGATAGGTCTCAGGGCTTTACATATATTATTCCTGAAGCAGCATGTACTGTCAGGGCCAAGGCCTCTGATATCTACAGTACACTCAATGAATAATACACAGTCCCACTACACGGAGTTCTTGTTACGTTTCAGGTTGTTTCTGGAATGAACTACATGCTGACCATACGTCTGAAGGAAGGGTACAAGGTGGGTCATCTTTATTATCAGTTTTAAAATGTCAGAAACATTTTAATGTCTCGGGGTGAGGTACTTATGTAGATCCATACAGATTTGTACACTTGTTTTAAGCATTCTCAAAAGTACAAATGCAACGCAACACCTGTAAGCTATATCTGTGTACTACACTTGTCACCTGCTCATTAAGTCACCTGTCTACCTAGTCTCTCGTACAGACCCTGAAGCAAATATATCCAAGAAAGCCCACGCAAGTCTAGAAAATGTGGCAAGTCTAGATTTCCTCAGCTTCAGGGTCTGTACCAATCTGCTGAATTCACAAGCCAGAATATGGCTTGTAATTATCAGTTGATCTCTAGCTGTCACTAGTGTTTAATATTAACTCATAGGGGGGCCTCCCCCACCACTCCCCAAGACCCCACACTGAGCCAAGACCTCCTGCTTCTGCCTGTCCTCTCACTCCAGACAAACAACGTGTGTGATTACACTAGAGACCTGATGACTTATAAAATCGGAGTATTTTCTTTAACTGTTTCATTTTACACTTTGATGAGGATGAAAGCAAATATACACAGCATTCGTCCAAATCAGAATACAATGATTGAAAAGTACTTAGGTGGTGAAGAGGTGTTGTTTTGTTCTCCATCCAGGACATTCGAAATTCTCCCTATTCAGACAAGTCAGTAGAAAATACAAGCCATGCTACTGTTATTGTTGTGTCATCCTTGATTTGCATGATGAAGAGACAAACAGAGAAATATAAATCATTAGGCTCAAAGCAGTGTACCTCAACAGTGTAGGCATTTGTTACTTTATCCATAAACTTTAAAAAGACATTATGATGGGGATCTGATGGCATATTGTTATCCCCCACCACAACGAATTTGCGGGAATATAGAGCCGAGTTTCCTCCGTCCGTGCGTCCGTCACGCTTAGCATATCTCCTAAACTATTCGTGATAGCTTAACCAAACTTGGTACACATGTCAACCATGATCCCTACATGTACCTTTTGCGGGTTAGACCCAGATATGAATGTTATTTTTTGTTGTTTCCATGGAAACACGACTTAGGCTGTGACTATGAGAATGTCATCTTGTCCGAAGCAAACCTCCTAAATTATACATGCTAGCTTCATCAAACTTGATACACATATCAAGCATGATCCATAAATGTGCCATGTGATGGTTAGACCCAGATATGAATTTTATTTTTTGCGTTTCCATGGAAACGTGACTTGGTACACATGGTAAACTTGGTACACATATCAAGCATGATCCATAAATGTGCCATTTGATGGTTAGACCCAGATATGAAATTTTTTTTGGTGCTGTTTCCATGGAAACATGACTTAGGCTGTTGTGACCATGAGGATGTCATCTTGTCCGGGGGGGCAGTGGGGTAGCCTAATGGTTAAAGCGTTGGCTCGTCACGCCGAAGACCCGGGTTCGAATCCCCACATGGGTACAATGTGTGAAGCCCATTTCGGGTGTCCCCCGCCGTGATGTTGCTGGAATATTGCTAAAAGCGGCGTAAAACCAACTCAGTCAGTCAGTCAGTCATCTTGTCCGGAGCAGATCTTCCAAACTATACATGCAAGCTTCATCAAACTTGGAACATATGTCAAGTATGATCCATAGATGTGCCTTTTGGGGTTTAGACCCAGATATGAATTTTATTTTTCCGGTTTCCGTGGAAACGTAACTTTCCATGGAGGCTGTGGCTATGAGGATGTCATCTTGTCCAGAACAGAACTTCAAAACCGTTGAATATTTCTTCACCAAACTTGGCACATAGATAGGTCTGGTGATATACTGGTGCCTTTTGGTAGTTTTAAATTTCTGAATAAAACATATTTTGTGTTTCCATGGCAACAAGTTTGACCTTGACTGAAATTGGTGGTAGTGCTCATTTCCGGAGTAGAACTTAAAAACCTTTCAATACTCTCCTTCCACTTTGTAATATAGTCACAGACTTGGTTGGCACATATCATTGCATCCCATTTGTGTAGATTGATGTTCATACTGTTGATCACTGGATTATCTGGTCGAAATTCTATTATTTACAGACAGCTGGAAGATTGCTGAGTGTGGCATAAAACTAAAACTCACTCACTCACTGCTATATACACACCAAAACATTTGACATAGTCATAACTAACTGACATATACATGAAGAGTATTTTGCCATTGCGGGGGATATTGATTACTTTTTCTGCTTGTTACATTATATATATGCGACATCAATTAAACTTCCACATATAGTGCAGACACAACCTTTGGATTTTGGAGAATATAAATAACTTTGGATTATTTTTTTGAGATCCAGTTGTCCAGCCATAGGAATATCAAGAGATGCTACCCTTAGCTGGTATCCCTGCTTGCTCTCAAAATAGATTTGGCGACACTTGATACTCATTACCCCAAATCGGCCCAAGCCATGGCAGTAGGACCGGAGGCGGTGGGGGGCAGTAAATATTCCTGTCACACACAATTAAAGCAGTAATGGGTGATAAGAATGTTTGCATGTGTTGTGAAATTCCAAGAAATTATCCCTCTGCAGATTTGTTTAGTCTCTGAAAATGAAGAAAGTCTCAGGGCTCCTTTTCATTATATTATATATTTTTTTACTATGAAAATTTTTCAGTAAAATATGTTCATTTCAGAGACTAGTTGTTAGTCTAAGTCAAAGAACACTTTATAGACATTGGGTTTACCTTAATTAGATGGACAGGAAACAACATAGGATATTCTGAACGACAACATTAACGTTCACGTGGAACGAATCCAAGCGTTGCGTGTTGACACACAAACATCATATGCTACTTCTTGGCTTCACACAGACTTTAGGTTTCTGAAAACGTTTTTCTTTCAGATCGTCTCAGGTATTAACTACATCCTTACACTGAGCCTTCAAAATCGAGATAAGGTAAGTTGAGATATTCGTTTTCATAAGTTTTAACTAGAACAACTGCCCGTAAACTATGAAACAGGGATTCAGTATTGCTACTAATATTCATCTCTAAAACTATATGAAGTATAAATTCTTCATTTCTTTGCCATGCCTCAACTTCCTTTGAACAATGATGTTCTTTAACGCATTTGATCATTGCGTGATTCAATTCAAATGTCGGCAAGTTTCACCTGAAGTCTTTAAGTAATGCGGCTGTTAGGTTTGAAGGCCACAGCTCACCCTCAGGACTGTTGTTCTAACTGATGTGATGTGTGAAGAGGCACTCACTCTTACACTCATATACTCACACACTAATTGTGCTGTCACCCACAGACCCAGCTGTGTGAAGTGAGGGTATGGTACCAATCCTGGACCAACACGAAGCAAGTGACAGACCACCACTGCTCCGCCCTAAGCAAGAGAAGTGCCCCTGTCCTGGGAGGTGTGGAGCCCGCCCATCTCTCCGCGCCAATGCAACAAGCTGTGTCGTTCGTAGAGGACGCTTTGAATGGGAAGATGAACAACATGTTACGGATGGTGACAGAGAAGGTGGACCATGTCAGTCAACAGGTTCGCTATTAACGCTGAACAAAATCACTGACAAGATCACCCTGTGAACTGTTTCATCAACAGCTTTGTCTTTCATTTGGAATTTGTTAATGCACTGATGCTATCCACAGATCTGGAAACGGAGCACAATACAAACTCATCACAAACATCGTATACATCCACTCTCTGTAGTTTTCCCCCTTCTGTCCCCTTCTGGTAGTGATTGCTGTGTAACGTGAACATACCAATTTTCCAGCTAAACTGTGGCAGGTGGAAGTTGTGACCAATTCTTCGTCCATTCCATTTATTTCAAGAGCTCTGAAATGAAAAACAATCCACTGCTGTGATGGTACAGATCTTCCCCATGATTCCTCCATCATTTGTCCCAGTTTAAGGTTGTATTCTGGACAAGGGGTATTTATGTTGGAATACAAGATTGCTTGAAGATCGCCAATGATAAAACCGTTGTAGAATACTGTTACAGTTATGGAGGACTAGACATGGTATGTATCGTAGTCGTGTTGTTCAGTTGTTGACGATCACGCTGACTGTCTACAGGTAGTTGCTGGCATGAAGTACTCATTTGATCTCCACCTGGTCACATCCTCCTGCATGAACAACCCCGACGGCAACGGCAAAGGAATTACCGATTGTCCCGCCAGCAACAGCATGCCACAGGTAAGCTTGGATAATGGCCATGTTTTTTCGCAAACAAAGAATCGGGGAATATAACATTTCCGATTGTGACATTTTAAAAATTATTTGTTATTTGTGATGGTGCTATATGTTTTTTGTTTTTTGTTGCAGCGTATGACGTGCAGGGTGTCGGTCCTGTACCAGGCGTGGAGTGATCCTAAGTTTCAGCTGCTCTCTGACACCTGTGGACAACTCGCCTAGGTATGCAATGCCAGTTTTGTATTTAGAGACAAGGATATAGGTGAAGCATTATTTTTTGGCTTCATTCTGATTGGTTAGATGTTTCCTATTGTTTCTTTGTTTTCATTGTTTTGCAAAGATGCCTATTATATGTGTCGTTGGAACAGTAGGTCAAATGAGTCTTCAAAGGAAACCCACATAATTCTAAATTGTGACCGAAATGTAACCGTTACTCTCCGCATTAGCATAGCAAAGGTCTTGTCTCTTCAGACTTTAGATACGTACTTTATATATCAACTTGTGTGAATGGTGGATGCCTCTGGTGTCACCACTGATTTTCAGTGGCCCATTCATATACTTTTTGCAAATATTTTGCCCTTTACACCAAATGGAAATTCAAGACTGAGTATTCATTTCCTTTGTCGTTTAGTTTTGTTTTCGGTCAAACGATATTTATAAAACTCTAAGTATTCAACCTAAGTCGTCATTTAATGTCTGAATGTGTGCCTTGCTCCAGGTCTCTGGTGATAATCTTTGGTAGATAAGCACTCCCGAAAAACAGATGGTTGTTCAGGTCAGACCTGTGGAACACATGTTTGATGAAAATATGTTACATCGTTCGGTCCTCTTATATCATTATCACAACATTCAAAGCACTTTCTAAACAGATACCTTTGTGTAGACCACGTATTATTCTGTTTGTTTGAATTCTGTTTCAGATGGCTTCCAGTCCATCCACGGATAAATATGTCTACGTGCATCCTTTTCAAATGAATTGCTGTATTCTTGTCAAAATACAGTGTTGTTATTTTATGTTGTTCATGTTTTTGTTTACAAATAAACATTTTGCACTAAATACAAATTGATTGTAGCTGTTTTCAAGCACAAATACGTAGGATAGTTTTGTAAATGCTACCGAGGGTAAAAGGAGTTTCCGTTCGGAAAGAATGGTCACGTCTCTGATCACTATTAATAATCAAAGATAAAAAAGTATTTTATAAAACTCACACACATTTTCCCACTCACATCGGAAAATCAATCCGAATACAAGTACATGTACATAATGTATCAAATCTTTTAATGACTAAGACATGTTATGTAGGACATACAATGTACAAGGTATTGAGTAGCAACATGGACAAATACAAGACCATGGACTGAATAGATGAAGTACACCATATCTGTGTCAGATATATCCTCAGCATGAAACCTGATCAATTCCATTGTCCTTTGTAATTGCTGAGATTGTAGTGAGCCATTGATTAGTTTTACAAGCAAGTTCATTTAAAAATGGGCATGTACCACTGTTTAAACCTCGACAGAAGGCTGTTATTGGTTTCTTTGGCTAAATGTTCAACAAAGTCTCGAGCCCAGATCATGTGCACTTCCGGCTTTGGGAACATATTGCTCAGTGCAGTACAACTTCGAACCGGAAATGTATATCTTGTGTGGCCAATACGACATCGTGTCATACTTTTTCTGATCACGGATATAAGATCTAACGGTAGCTTTATAATCAGAATATGGAATAAGAAGTGGTGTCACAGATTTGTTGAGTGCGGCCTTGTAGTGTTGTGAATTGGTTTCAATCACACAATTGATATATGGTTCATTACCAGCGAGCAATCATCGAAAAAAATTGGTTAGCGTCAGTTTTCAGATTTTCAGACATTTTTCAGGTTGTTATTGCAGATAAGTACAACATGGTCATCTGTTGTTTTTTGTTTTATTTAGAAACTGTGCATATTGTATTTGCAAATTTCACATCCAATTTAAAATGTTGCATCTTGCTACTTAAAAGTGATGACTAATATATTATTATATTATACGATATTTATATTATCCAGGCAACTAATGCTTGCTCACGGCGCTGGTATTTTTTCCCTCGATCATTGGATGTCAATCTCAACGGCACATCGTGTTATCAATCTCAACTCCCTGGGAATATACAACTCTTGCAGCCACTATGCGCAACGAGTTATTATGGCTTTCATCACGAAGATAAACATCTTCAAGATATATTCAGTCATGACTTTTCAGTAAGTGAAGTGAGTTTACTAAGAATTAAATACGTTTTCAGGCCCTGGCAGCTGCTAAGATATCTCCTTCGTCAAGTGTTTCCAACACTAAAACAGTAGTTCCAAAATCGTCTGTGTTCGATTAAAAGAAAATGTGATCGATTGCTTGGTCCTTTGGTCACTGCGACCAATCTTCGATTATTTCAGTTAATGGGAATACCACTACTGCCTTGGCGGCAAGATCGGCCATTGTGTTACCAGAAATGCCAACGTGGCTGGGTGTCCAACAGAGGACGATGTCGTATTGGCCATTAGCAAGATCATTATATAAATCAATAATTTCAATTAAAAGTGGATGTTTGTAAGAAACATTTTTACAGCCTGAAGGCAAGAAAAAGAATCTGGAAAGATGATATATTGTTTATATTTAGGGTGTTTATTAATATATTTTAAGGATGTTAATATGGCGTTAGCTTCTGCTGTGAAAATAGAGCTGTTATCAGGCAATCAAGAAGATATTGTTCTGGATCCAGTGACAGTGACAAAAGCCACTGTGCCCCCATCCTTGGACCTATCTGTAAATAAGGATTTATATGTAATATAATTTTTTCTTAATTGACTACATTAATGTTTATACTGTAATTAATTAGTTTCTGATTAAAAAATGTAGTTAATGTCAGGTCGACGTGTGGCCTAACCAATTGCCAAGGAGGAGAAGAAAGAAGCCCCAGCTCAATTCCGGGCAGCACAAATGAATGGTTTAATTCTGAGCCCAATGATTTCTTTGTGTATAAATCCTCATAGAGGGATTGAAGACACAGTTAAATGCAGGGTTAGATTCGTTAGAATATAGTTTTGTAATATATTGAACAGATAATTTTATACGGCGTTATGTAAGAGATAGCTCATCTGCCTCGACGTAGAGAGTGTCAACAGGAGAAGTTCTGAAGGACCCAAGACAAAGTCTCAGACCTTGGTGGTGGACAGAATCTAATAGTTTTAGGCTGCTTTTGCAGGCTCCACCATATACGATGGAGCCATAATCAAGCTTCGAGCGGACCAGTGATCTATATAGGTGTAGGAGGGTAGCTTGATCCCCTCCGGACTTTGAATTAGAAACGACTTTCAATAAACCGAGTGCCTTCAGGCATTTATTTTTGAGGTATTTAATATGCGGAAGAAAAGATAAATGGAAGTCAAAATTAAGACTCAAGAACTTGGCCCCCTTGACAACTTTGATGGGAGTGTCATTTAAAGATAGTTCTGGGTCCTTATGCGGCTTACATTTTCTACAGAAGTGTATACAATTGGTTTTTTGACTTTTTCAAGCCATTTTCAAGACACCATTTCTTTATTTTGTTTAAATATATTTGCAGTTGCCGTTCCATAGTATTCATATTTGTACCTCAAGAAATATTAATATCATCCACAAAAAGTGATCCACCAATTGAATCATTTAAAACCTTTGATAAACTGTTGATCTTAATGCTAAATAAAGTGACAGACAAAATACTGCCTTGTGGGACACCCTGATCCTGATTGTAATGATCAGACAGGGTTGAACCCACTCGGACTTGCCTGTCTGTTAAAAACTGTGATATAAAATGAGGCAAACGACCCCTGAAACCAAAATCATGTAAATCCTTTAAAATGCCGTGCTTCCAGGTGATATCGTATGAGTTCTCGAGATCAAAGAATATCGATACTGCATGTTGTTTATTTACTATAGCATTTTGAACAAAGGATTCTAAACGTACCAAATGATCAATGGTACTACGATTTTTCCTGAAACAACATTGAATACTTGTAATAAGGTTGTTGGTTTCAAGATACCATGTTAATCTAGTGTTTACCATTCGTTCCATGGTTTTACAGACCCAACTCGTTAAAGAGATTGGTCTGTAATTAGACGGATCAGTATGATCCCGGCCAGGCTTTGGTGTAGGGACTACAATGGCATTACGCCACGAAGTTGGGAAATTCCCTGAAGTCCATATTGTATCAAAATATAAAAATATTCAAAAGTGTTTCCAAAGATGATTCAGGTAAATGCTTCAAGAGCTGATAGTGTATATTATCAGCCCCAGTTGCTGTATCATGAGCTTGCTCAAGGGCGATGCGTATCTCATGTAGTGAAAATAATTCGTTGTAGTCTTCTCCATTGTCTGAGTTAAACTAATTCTTTTCTTCTCCTGTTTCTTATGTTAAAGAAACTCGGGGACATAATTGGATGAAGACGAATGTGTGGCGAGAGTTTCACCAAGCTTATTGGCAATGTCAGCTTTATCAGTTAATAAATTATCACCGTCCTTTAAATGGTGAACGGTAGATTTGGAACCTTTGCCCTCTTTTCTTTGTATCATGTTCCACACCTTTGAAATCGGTGTACGCGAATTTAATTTGGAATCATAGTTTCGCCAAGACTGACGCTTAATTTGTTTAAATTTGCGTCGAGCCTTGGCATTTGAAATTTTAACTTTATTTAAATTATGCACAGTAGGACGTCGGCGGAAATACTTTTCGGCTTTCTTCCTGCTCTTTCTGGTCTGTTTACATTCATTATTGAACTGTGGTTTACGAATATGTGGAACTGCAGAGGACTTGGGTACAGCTTGGTCAGCAATGTCATTCAGTATATCTGAAAACAACTGTATAGGATCTTCACTGTTCGCAAATACACAATGTTTTAAGTGATGAAATCATTGTTCGCATCCAACAAACTCACTATTCTTAAGAAATTATCAAAGTTTATATCTATTATCAACAATCGTGTTAAAGCAACGCAGAAACTATAAATTATGCAACGACCTTCCAACAATGTAATCAAATCTATGTGTAATATATATCCACTGCTCTTGTACCACCGTGGGTGGTTAAAGAGCGAACAAAGATTGATTGATTGACTGATCAGTACATAGTGTCTCATATAATGACCAATCAGCCCTGGCGAAGTTCCTTCTCGATAAATGTGGATCATCACCAGGGTTGATTGTTTTGAGAATGGTAGGGAAGTGATCACACCCACATAGGTCATTCGAATTCATTACACAAGATGGAATGAGCAAGTGATATATCTAGGGAAGAACATGTTCCCGTAGCTGGATGTAAATAAGTCGCTGAATCGTCATTAAAAATACATAAATTATTATCGGAAATGAATTCCTCAATGATTTTACCTTTATTATTGGTATGGACACTTCCCCAAAGCGGGTTGTGTCCGTTAAGATCGCCTGTGATAACACATGGCTTTGAAGTTGATCGTACAGATTTTGAAGATCTGACTGTCGAATATTAGAAGAGGGAGGGATATACAAGCTGCACAATGTCAGGGCAGTATGCTGAATCAGGCGAACAGCAACAGTTTGAAGATCCGTATTTAGAGTGACAGGGCTACGAATGACGCTCTGATGTACCAAAATAGAAACGCCTCCAGCTGCTCGATCTCCCGGAAGAGAAATAGAATGATAATCACTTTAGTGTCTCAGAATAAAGTTATCTGTATTTTTAAGATGTCTCTTAAAGACAGAATGCTGACGGGTGGTGATCTTGTATGAGTAATTGTATCTCATTGAAGTTATTTTTCAATCCTCTGTATTTCCACTGCAATAAAGTCGACAACTGAGTCATGGTGCAACAATTGGCGATCGTTCCAGTGGATGTGAGGAGGAAGAGCTCCTCTGCCTGTCCTGAGAGGACAGAGTGACCTCCATATCAAGAGGTCCAAATGAATTTTGGATAGTAACCTCCAGAGGTGAAGGGACAGAATGTTGGTTTCTATTTAATCTTTTTCCTTTCTTCGTTTTGCATTGATCAGTTGCTGGTTGTGTAGCAGAAGTTTGTGATGTCTCAGTCTGAGACCCTGACGTAGCCTGATAGGCTGGGGAAGTAGATTTTGAAGAAGTAGTTTTTTGTGGCGGTTTTTTTCTGACTTGACCCATGTGAAGTCAGTTTGACAAGCAGTAGAAAACACCGCCACAGAGCGGGCAACCGAGGCGGAATATGTGATATTTGGCACAGGTGAAGACTCATTTGTGAAATTCTTTTTACCTCAAAGACCGAAATGTTTTTTTCACATTTAATGTTCGTTATTTTATAATTGCTTTGGAACACAGGGCAGGACCTGGATGAATCTGGATGTGAGCCGTCACAATATGCGCATTTGTAGTCACTAGTACAATCTGTAATTTCATGGTGATCACCACAACGATGACACGTAACAGAATTTCGACAATGGACTTCACTTTAAAATTTAGATATGAAAATATTTTGCAAATCCTACCTGTTGTTGAGAGGGCAAACACAATTTGGCTGCAAATTATGTACCATGGGCCTGAAATCATCTGCTCAAAAATAAACAAATCTAAAACAAAGTCTTTTAAACATTTTGAACATAGTGTGGAGCAAACGTTTCTTTTGTTGTTGTTTTTTCAAAACATTTTGCAAAAGTGAAAGCAAATACTATATGGAAACAGTACGTGAAATGTTAGACTTCCTCATTGATAACATCTGTTTGAAATTTGGAAGTAAGACATTTTAGCAGAACGTAAACATCCTTATTGGCACGAATTGTGCTTCACTTTTTGCCGATCTGTTTCTTTATGCATATTAATCTGGACTCAGATTGGCAGTCAAATCAACGGAAAGATAAGGTACATCGACTTTTTGATAGCGCTCAATCATAGACACTTACCCATCTTAACTACAAATATAAGAGACATTTGAAATCACCTGTGTCCCGATCCACAAATTTAAGCGTTCGTAAAGTTACGAACTATCGTAACTCAATAGTTTATCTTAGCGCTAAGAACGATTTATGGATCGGGAACCTGGTTCACGTTTTACAAAGTTCCATGTGTTTTGTTAGGGTGATAATTTGAACAACAAAACATACATTACAGCACTTGATCAAATGCTTGAATTATTAAAGTAAATTATCTCCAGAGTAATAACCATGACAACGTTGCTGTAAAGTCTCCTGAAATTTATCCACGGAACAAAATATTTTAATCACTGTGTTCTGTAAACTCATATCGGAGATTAAACGTCGATACTTATTGATCATTGAAATCCCCAGAACAAGTGGACTGACTGACTGAGTCTGGAGTTTGGTTTTACGCCGCTTTTAGCAATATTCCAGCAACATCACGGCGGGGGACACCAGAACAGAACAAGTGGAGATGGTGCCACGTCGGGATGGTTTCCGAGCTGCCAGCACTAAATGACCGATAAACTTAAAACAGTAATTTGTATTATCTGAAGTTGTGAAATATCGACCTATGTCACAAGCCCACACCACAACACGGTTAAATCTACGTCAGAGATAAGACGAGAAAACATACTGCTCCCCAAGAAATCCATGTACAGATATCGCTGTCCATGGCATATGCACAATAAATGTAATTTAAGAATTTATATGATTATATGACCATGTATCTAGATTTGAGAGGCGATGTTTACAGATATGGCTTATTCGTCTAATATACTGCACATTGTGCCGCAAATGAACCCATACGAGACAGCATGCAGTCATAAGTAATCGTCATGCTTTTGTGCAGCCTTATCTTTAAGTGTGCAAGATTGCAGTAACCATTGTCGTGCTCTGTGAAATGCCATCCATACATCAACATAAAGTGATTCAACGGACTCCTCGTAATCGTTCTGTTATTCATGGTGTTATGAATATTAAGGGGTAAGATGATGGAATTTTAGCCGGCAGGTAGAAGTATCAGTAGCATGTTAAAAAACATCAGGTAGAGGTTATCGCTGACATTGGAGTCAGCTGACAGCGTCGACAACAATCAACAATCGCCCACAACAAACCTTGGGACACAACAGCTGAACGTGGGACGGATTTCACATATATATCCAGAAGTCATTTCAGTCAGTATCATAGTTGCACTTTAATTCCATAAAGAATGAACATACTAGCTCTGATCTTGGTGGTGATACCACTGGCCGCGTGTCAACTCTTCAACGGCCCCTTGACAGTCGACGTGAACAGGGACGACGTTCAGCAGATGGCAAGCTTCGCCCTTACCCAGCTCAACACACTCCTCGGATCACAGAACACTCTGGTGTCTGTCGTGAAAGCTAAAACTCTAGTAGGTGTCAATGTGCCTTTCCAACCCTTGCAAATAATTTGGGATCCTAGCTTAGCTGGTCATAAGCCTAAGGCATTTTTGAACGCGTATATTGGATTGCAGCAAATTGGGGCTGATTGTCTGGTGGTTAAAGCATTTTCTCGTCACTCCTAATTCCTGGGTTTGATTCCTCACACTACTGTACAGTAGGTGAACCCATTGAAGTGCACCCCGCGTGATATTACGAGAATATTTGTAAACGCATACCTATTCAAGTTTATATCTTTAATTAGTTGTGAAACACGACATTACTGATGGAAGAATAGGTTGCCAGTATTCAAAGCTTGTCGTCAGTCTGATAGTATGTCATCACGCCCCGTTAGCGTGCGCCATAGCTCCAAACTCGACTGAGCACAAGCCGTCGTGCGTAGATCGATGCTCATGCTGTTGATCACTGGATTATCTGGTCCAGACTCGATTATTTACAGACCGCCACCATGCAGCTGGAATATTGCTGAGTGTGGCGTAAGACTAAACTCACTCACTCACTGTAATGCTCATGATTCATATTTTGGTACTGTCTTCCAAAGTTGATCATTTGAACTCCATAAACTTATGACTGGCCTATACTTCTCCTTGTCCGAATTCAATACAGTCCTAACTCTTCTGCCTGACAGCTTGTCTCTGGTATTGACTACATCCTGACCCTCCAGATACAGAATGGACAGGAGGTGAGTTTCACTGAAACGCGCATGTCTGCACTAACTAGTATAACCTACCATGGCTACAGAACTCGATGACACACATGATATGAATTTAGCACTCGGTGCATAACAGTTACGATCCGGTATGTAATAGAGTTGTGAATTGTGGATAGTCTAGTTCCGAAAACATCAGCATCCGATCCAGTACATGTTTAGTTAGGTTGTCTACATTCGTCTCTGTCGGAATGGCAGGACACGCTGGTCCACGTTGGTCCACGTTGGTCCATTCTGTCAACATCTGGCGACGTCATCACGACTGCTGCTGTCCTTGGTGGACTCGACAGTTCAGTAGGACGTAGATGAGAGTGTTTTTGGACGTCGTTACTAGTGTCTTACGAAGTGTAACCTCGTTACTAGTGTCTTACGAAGTGTAACCTCGTTACTTGTGTGTTACACAGTGTTACGTCGTTACTAGTGTCTTACTAAGTGTAACCTCGCTACTAGTGTCTCACGAAGTGTAACTTCGTTACTTGTGCCTTACGAAGTGTATCCTCGTTACTAGTGTCTTACGAAGTGTAACCTCGTTACTTGTGTCTTACGAAGTGTAACTTCGTTACTAGTGTCTTACGAAGTGTAACCTCGTTACTTGTGTCTTACGAAGTGTAACCTCGTTACTAGTGTCTTACGAAGTGTAACCTCGTTACTTGTGTCTTACGAAGTGTAACCTCGTTACTTGTGTCTTACGAAGTGTAACCTCGTTACTAGTCTCTTACGAAGTGTAACCTCGTTACTAGTCTCTTACGAAGTGTAACCTCGCTACTCGATGTAACACGTCGAGTTCCGTCAATCTGATGTGTTAACCATATCCCTGCCATATCGGTGAAGGGCACCGAGAATGCACCTCACACATGTATGGATTCGAACCAAAGAAACAGGTGCGCAGGAAGTTACACAACCTATCCTCCCGAGAAGAATGAATAGCCATCAGGAATATGTATTTCAGATCCTATATAAGAGGCGCATGATTGCGATGTTTCAAACCCAGATCTGGACTGTCATAATGTAAGAGTAATGAGCGAACTCATAAGTACTCGGTTACCCAAACACGTTTGAAACGTAACGGGATTATGTCTCACAATGTATTTGGCTGTTTATGAAATCAAGATGTGGGAGAGCAAGGTTATGAAACTGAAGTCTCGACAGTAGCGCGGTGTGCATTTGAGTTGTCGAAACTGAAGCAGCAGGCAAATAAACTAAAATACAAAAACGTCATTCCGGGAAATAACGCTGGTGATCTGTTTCCAGACTCAAACCTGTGATGTTACAATCTGGGATCAGTCCTGGACCAATACTACCCAAATGGTCCAACACAGATGCATTAGTGTGCGGTCCAAGCGGGACATCTTGACGCCTGGCGGTCTGACCAACGTGGACATCAACAGTCCTGAAGTCACAGACATGGCCAACTTCGCCCTGGACGAGATCAACGGACTGCAGGGTGCCAAGAACACTATGGAAGAAGTAATCTCAGCTAAAGCTCAGGTACGACTAGTGTCTTGCACGGTTACATGGCATAGATTAACGTCTCCTTGTATAGATTAAACACAGTTAGTGAGTGCTTGTGTTAGTATTACCCATGATGCAGTCAGCTAAACAATCTTGGTCTGAGTAATGTTTTATTCTGTTACACATAATTCTACAATATTCACGGCGAAACCAAAGCTTACTTGTGCCAGAATCAGAATACAACCTGTGTTATATCTGAGCCACACATTATGATAGGTCTCCGGGTCTTTACATATGTTATTTCTGAAGCAGCATGTACTGTCAGGGCCAAGGCCTCTGAGATCTACAGTACACTCAATGAACAATACACAGTCCCCACTGAGGGACTTGTCCGCCCCTCTACACGGAGTTCTTGTTACGTTTCAGGTTGTTTCTGGAATGAACTACATGCTGACCATACGTCTGAAGGAAGGGTACAAGGTGGGTCATCTTTATTATCAGTTTAACATATATCAGAAACATTTTAATGTCTCGGGGTGAGGTACTGTATATAGATCCATACAGATTTGTACACTTGTTTTAAGCATTCTCAAAAGTACAAATTCTACGCTGCACCTGTCCAGTTATATCATTGTGCTACACCTGTCACCTGCTCATTATGTCACCTGTCTACCTCCAGACCCAGATCTGCTATGTGAAGATCTGGTCCCAGCCCTGGCTCCACAGGAAGGAAATGACGGAGCACAGCTGTAGCCAGGTGACCAAGCGTGCTGGGGGTCTTCTCGGAGGTCCCACCGGTGTGGACGTCAACAGTGCAGAGATTCAGGAAGTGGCCAACTTCGCTCTCACTGAGATCAACGGAATTCAAGGGGCACAGAACTCTCTGGTCAAAGTTGTCAACGCCAGAAAACAAGTACGGACGTTTCTGTTAATGCGTGTCTTGAATCCAGTCAAAGAACACTTTATAGACATTGGGTTTACCAATTAGATGGACAGGAAACAACATAGGATATTCTGAACGACAACATTAACGTTCACGTGGAACGAATCGTTGCGTGTTGACACACAAACATCATATGCTACTTCTTGGCTTCACACAGTCTTTAAGTTTCTGACAACGTTTTTCTTTCAGATCGTCTCAGGTATTAACTACATCCTTATCCTGAGCCTTCAAAATCGAGATAAGGTGAGCTGAGATATTCGTTTTCATAAGTTTTAACTAGAACAACTGCCCGTAAACTATGAAACAGGGATTCATTATTGCTACTAATATTCATCTCTAAAACTATATGAAGTATAAATTCTTTATTTCTTTGCCATGCCTCAACTTCTTTTGAACAATGGTGTTCTTTAACGCATTTGACCACTGAATGATTCAATTCAAATGTCGGCAAGTTTTACCTGAAGTCTTTAAGGTACTCTTGTTCTAACTGATGTGATGTATGAAGCGGCACTCAAAGAATAGTGCGTAGAACTTTCCAACTTTTGAGCTGAGGCACTATTCGTTGATTTTGCAAAGGCTTTCGATTCTGTGCAGCGGGATAAACTATGGAGACTTCTACAATCGCACGGTCTTAGTAGTAAAATGAATGAAATGTTGAAGAGTATATACGAAAATGTTAAAGTGTGTGTAAGGAATGAGCATGAATTATCTGAACCTTTCATAAGTGAACTAAGTGTTAGGCAAGCCTGTATTTTAAGCCCTTTCCTTTTAACGTTTTTCATAAATGAATTAGCAATACAAATATGTGACACATGAACGAATGGGATTCAACTACACCCAGATACAATACAACTATTTCTGCTACTCTTTGCCGATGATATTGTACTATTCTCTAGTACTGTAAGCGGTTTACAGAATCAAATATTACTCTGCAAAAAAAGAAACGCACAGGTGAAAACTCAGGAATGTAAACACTTTATTTTGTTTCCAAATAAAACTTTAACTAATGATCGCACGAACGTAAAATTTCACATGGATGTTGTCAAGAGTCAGCTTTACAACATGCAGCTATCATTTGTCTCTGAAACCATTGCACCGGGCGTACAGATGGCGTGGAGGTCAGTACCTGTTGTGACCACCTCGAGCTTGCAACACAGCTTGGCACCTCCTGTCCATGGACATGATCAGTCTTTGAATCCGTGCTTGGGGGATCCTCCTCCATTCCTCCTGCAAGGCTTGAGACAGTTGTTGCAACGTTTGGGGTTGAGGCTGACGACGTCGAACGCGTTTCCCAAGCTGGTCCCACAAATGCTCTATTGGGTTCAAATCGGGGGGATTTTGAAGGCCAGGGAAGAACTGTGATGTTCTGATTCGTCAGGTAGTCCATCGTGATGCGAGCCACGTGCGGTCTGGCGTTGTCCTGTTGGAAAACGTGAACGTTGAGGGTTGATGACAGGTAAAAGATGACGTTGCAGAATTTCATCCCTGTAACGAATTGCAGTCAGGTTACCACGGACGTGCACCAAGTCACTTCTCCCGTTGTAAGAAATGGCCCCCCCCATACCATCACACTTCCCGCTCCAAATCTGTCCGCTTCAACTACACAATTACGGGCGTAACGTTCGTTTCTCCGTCTATAGACCCTCGTCCTACCATCGTGTCTTTGAAGTTGGAAACGAGATTCGTCGCTGAACCAAATTCGCTGCCAATGTCTCCAATTCCATCTCTGGACGTTCCTGCACCATCGAACACGTGCCAGGCGATGATGAGGTCGTAGTGTGCATCCTACGTGAGGTCGTCGAGGGCGTATCCCGTGCTGTCTGAGGCGATTTCTGATGGTCTGGGCGGAGACGCGGCGAAGACCTGGGACGTTCTCTGCTGTTTGTGTTGCTGGGACGGCCCGGTTACGTAAATGGAACACCCGGATGTAGCGGTCCTGTGCAGCATTGGTAACCCGTGGTCTACCACTCCGAGGTCGGTCGCGGGTCGAGCCCAGTTGATTGTAGCGCCTCCATAAACGGGAAATTGTTGTGTGATGCACGTTGAAGTGTCTTGCAACTGATGACTGAGAATCGCCAGCCTCAAGACGTCCGATGGCGATGTTCCGGTCAGCTTCGCTAAGTCGTGGCATGTTGAATTCGTCAGTAAACTGGCGTTGAAAGTGAATTGAACACGTTAAACTGCCTTCCTCATATACCCTACACACTGGTGCATAGGTGAAGCAACTTTCACGTGCATATCGTTCGAAGTGTCATTTACACGTGAAAATTTCATGATATTTTCAAAAACCATCATCAAACAACAATATTTCATGAAATGGTGTGTTTGAGCGATACTTAATGGATATGAACAAGTATACATTATGTTTGGTTAAAGTAACCGGGTTTTGTTTGCATAGAAATAAAATAAAGTTAATTTTAAATTTCATTATCACCTGTGCGTTTCTTTATTTGCAGAGTATAGATGAATTAGACAAATTTTTATGACCAATATAAATTGTGTGTAAACAGAGACAAAACCAAAATTATCGTCTTTAAGAAAGGTGGAAAGCTCTCTAAATTAGAAAAAATGGTATTATAAAGGGCAACTACTCAAAACTACCAGTGTTTATAAGTATCTTGGTGTATATTTTTGTAATGGCCTTTCCTGGTCCAAACACACAAAACAAGCGTCAGCACAAGCCTTGAAAATCCTAATCGGTGTTTGTAAAAATATGAGATCGTTAGGGGAAATGTCCTTTAACACATTCTTTAAAATATTCGATATGAAGATAAGTCCAATACTTCTGTATGGCTCTGAAATATGGGGATTAAAACAATATGACTGTATTGAAAGAGTTCATTTATATGCATGCAAAAGTTTCTTGGTGTAAAACCGAACACATGTAATAAGATGGTTTACGGAGAATTAGGTAGATTCCCCTTGTTTATACACTCTTCCATTAAAGCCATAAAATATTGGGTAAGATTACTGCATATGCCATGCCATGGGTTTCCGAAAAAATGTTATGATATGATGAAATTGTATGACGAAAATGGGAAAAGATATTGGGTGAGTGATATTAGGGAGTTGTTGTACAAAACTGGTTATGGTTATGTTTGGTGTGATCCTAATGTTCAGTTGCATACCAATTTTATCATATCATTTACACAAAGAATGAAAGATATCTATTTCCAGTCTTGGTCGGAATCACTACTTCTATCCACAAAATGTTTATACTATAATGAATGGAAATCGGACATACGTTTTGAAGACTATTTAGCAAAAATCGGCGTAAAGAAGTTCCGTATAGCTCTCTCTCGTTTTCGTTGCTCTTCCCATGAATTATTTATTGAAACTGGCAGGTATGCAGGTTTTCAAAGAGAAAACAGAATATGTCAGTTATGTAATATGAGTACTGTTGAGGATGAACTACATTTTCTTCTAATCTGTCCTGTTTATACAACTCTACGAACAAAATACCTAAAGCCATACTATTATAAGCATCCAAGTGTAAGAACATTAATTTCACTATTAACAGATACTACCACATCAATATTACAGAATCTGGCAATGTGCATCTATTTCGCTATGAGATTAAGAAAAAGTATTGTGGCAGAAAAGAATTTATAAATGACTTCTATCTACTCATGTAAACTCTAAATGTACTACAGGCCTGTGGCCTTTTTAAGTACTGAAATAAAGATTGATTGATTGATTGATTGATTGATTGAAGCGGCACTCACTCTCACACTCATATACTCACACACTAATTGTGCTGTCACCTTCAGACCCAGCTGTGTGAAGTGAGGGTATGGTACCAATCATGGACCAACACGAAGCAAGTGACAGACCACCACTGCTCCGCCGTAAACAAGAGAAGTGCCCCTGTCCTGGGAGGTGTGGAGCCCGCCCATCTCTCTGCGCCAATGCAACAAGCTGTGTCGTTCGTAGAGGACGCTTTGAACGGGAAGATGAACAACATGTTCCGGATGGTGACAGAGAAGGTTGACCACGTCACTCAACAGGTTCGCTATTAACGCTGAACAAATTCACTGACAAGATCACCCTGTGAACTGTTTCATCAACAACTTTGTCTTCCATTTGGAATGTATTAATGCACTGATGCTATCCACAGATCTGGAAACAGATCATCACAAACATCGTATACATCCACTCTCTGTAGTTTCCCCCCTTCTGTTCCCTTCTGGTAGTGTTTGTTGTGTAACGTGAACGTATCGATATTCCAGCTAAACTGTGGCAGGTGGAACTTGTGACCAATTCTTCGTCCATTCCATTTATTTCAAGAGCTATGAAATATAAAACAATCCACTGCTGTGATGGTACAGATCTCCCCAATGATTCGTCCATCATTTGTCCCAGTTTAAGGTTGTATTCTGGACAAGGGGTATTTATGTTGGAATACAAGATTTGCTTGAAGATCGCCAATGATAAAACCGTTGTAGAATGCTCTTACAGTTATCGAGCTCTAGACATGGTATATATCGTAGTCGTGTTGTTCAGTTGTTGACGATCACGCTGACTGTCTACAGGTAGTTGCTGGCATGAAGTACTCATTTGATCTTCACCTGGTCACATCCTCCTGCATGAACAACCCCGACGGCAACGGCAAAGGAATTACCGATTGTCCCGCCAGCAACAGCACGCCACAGGTAAGCTTGGATAATGGCCATGTTTTTTCGCAAACAAAGAATCGGGGAATATAACATTTCCGATTGTGAATTTTTTAAAAATATTTGTTATTTGTGATGGTGCTATATGTCTTTTGTTTCTTTGTTGTAGCGTATGACGTGCAGGGTGTCGGTCCTGTACCAGGCGTGGAGTGATCCTAAGTTTCAGCTGCTCTCTGACACCTGTGGACAACTCGCCTAGGTATGCAATGCCAGTTTTGTATTAAGAGACAAGGATATAGGTGAAGCATTATTTTTTGGCTTCATTCTAATTGGTTCGATTTTTCCCATTGTTTCTTTGTTTTCATTGTTTTGCAAATGTACCTATTATATATGTCGTTCGCACAGTAGGTCAAATGAGTCTTCAAAGGAAACCCACATGATTCTAAATTGTGACCGAAAAATACCCCTAATTCACCGCATTAGCATAGCAAAGGTCTTGTCTCGTCAGACTTTAAATACGTACTTTATATATCACATTATGTGAATGGTGGATGCCTCTGGTGTGACCACTGATTTTCAGTGGCCCATTCATATACTTTTTGCCAATAATTTGCCCTTTACACCAAATGGACAGTCAAGACTGAGTATTCTTTTCCTTTGTCGTTTAGTTTTGTTTTCGGTCAAACGATATTTATAAAACTCAAAGTATTCAACCTAAGTCGTCATTTAATGTCTGAATGTGTGCCTTGCTCCAGGTCTCTGGTGATATTCTTTGGTAGATAAGCACTCCCGAAAAACAGATAGTTGTTCAGGTCAGACCTGTGGAACACATGTTTGATGAAAATATGTTACATCGTTCGGTCCTCTTATATCATTATCACAACATTCAAAGCACTTTCTAAACAAATACCTTTGTGTAGACCACGTATTATTCTGTTTGTTTGAATTCTGTTTCAGATGGCTTCCAGTCCGTCCACGGATAAATATGTCTACGTGCATCCTTTTCAAATGAATTACTGTATTCTTGTCAAAATACAGTGTTGTTATTGTTTATTGTTCATGTTTTTGTTTACAAATAAACATTTTGCACTAAATACAAATTGATTGTATCTGTTTTCAAGCACAGATACGTAGGATAGTTTTGTAAATGCTACCGAGGGTAAAAGGAGTCACGTCTCTGATCACTATTAATAATCAAAGATAAAAAAAGTATTTTATAAAACTGACACACATTTTCCCACTCACATCGGAAAATCAATCCGAATACAAGTACATGTACATAATGTATCAAATCTTTTAATGACTAAGACATGTTATGTAGGACATACAATGTACAAGGTATTGAGTAGCAACATGGACAAATACAAGACCATGGACTGAATAGATGAAGTACACCACATCTGTGTCAGATATATCCTCAGCATGAAACCTGATCAATTCCATTGTCCTTTGTAATTGCTGAGATTGTAGTGAGCCAATGATTAGTTTTACAAGCAAGTTCTTTTAAAAATGGGCATGTACCACTGCTTAAACCTCGACAGAAGGCCGTTATTGGTTTCTTTGGCTAAATGTTCAACAAAGTCTCGAGCCCAGATCATGTGCACTTCCGGCTTTGGGAACATATTGCTCAGTGCAGTACAACTTCGAACCGGAAATGTATATCTTGTGTGGCCAATACGACATCCTGTCATTCTTTTTCTGATCACGGATATAAGATCTAACGGTAGCTTTATAATCAGAATATGGAATAAGAAGTGGTGTCACAGATTTGTTGAGTGCGGCCTTGTAGTGTTGTGAATTGGTTTCAATCACACAATTGATATATGGTTCATTACCAGCGAGCAATCATCGAAAAAAATTGGTTAGCGTCAGTTTTCAGATTTTCAGACATTTTTCAGGTTGTTATTGCAGATAAGTACAACATGGTCATCTGTTGTTTTTTGTTTTATTTAGAAACTGTGCATATTGTATTTGCAAATTTCACATCCAATTTAAAATGTTGCATCTTGCTACTTAAAAGTGATGACTAATATATTATTATATTATACGATATTTATATTATCCAGGCAACTAATGCTTGCTCACGGCGCTGGTATTTTTTCCCTCGATCATTGGATGTCAATCTCAACGGCACATCGTGTTATCAATCTCAACTCCCTGGGGAGTATACAACTCTTGCAGCCACTAGGCGCAACGAGTCATTATGGCTTTCATCATGAACATAAACATCTTCAAGATATATTCAGTCATGACTTTTCAGTAAGTGAAGTGAGTTTACTAAGAATTAAATACGTTTTCAGGCTCTGGCAGCTGCTAAGATATCTCCTTCGTCAAGTGTTTCCAACACTAAAACAGTAGTTCCAAAATCGTCTGTGTTCGATTGAAAGAAAATGTAATCGATTGCTTGGTCCTTTGGTCACTGCGACCAATCTTGGATTATTTCAGTTAATGGGAATACCACTACTGCCTTGGCGGCAAGATCGGCCATTGTGTTACCAGAAATGCCAACGTGGCTAGGTGTCCAACAGAGGACGATGTCGTATTGGCCATTAGCAAGATCATTATATAAATCAATAATTTCAATTAAAAGTGGATGTTTGTAAGAAACATTTTTACAGCCTGAAGGCAAGAAAAAGAATCTGGAAAGATGATATATTGTTTATATTTAGGGTGTTTATTAATATATTTTAAGGATGTTAATATGGCGTTAGCTTCTGCTGTGAAAATAGAGCTGTTATCAGGCAATCAAGAAGATATTGTTCTGGATCCAGTGACAGTGACAAAAGCCACTGTGCCCCCATCCTTGGACCTATCTGTAAATAAGGATTTATATGTAATATAATTTTTTCTTAATTGACTACATTCATGTTTATACTGTAATTAATTAGTTTCTGATTAAAAAAATGTAGTTAATGTCAGGTCGACGTGTGGCCTAACCAATTGCCAAGGAGGAGAAGAAAGAAGCCCCAGCTCAATTCCGGCAGCACAAATGAATGGTTTAATTCTGAGCCCAATGATTTCTTGGTGTATAAATCCTCATAGAGGGGATTGAAGACACAGTTAAATGCAGGGTTAGATTCGTTAGAATATAGTTTTGTAATATATTGAACAGATAATTTTATACGGCGTTATGTAAGAGATAGCTCATCTGCCTCGACGTAGAGAGTGTCAACAGGAGAAGTTCTGAAGGACCCAAGACAAAGTCTCAGACCTTGGTGGTGGACAGAATCTAATAGTTTTAGGCTGCTTTTGCAGGCTCCACCATATACGATGGAGCCATAATCAAGCTTCGAGCGGACCAGTGATCTATATAGGTGTAGGAGGGTAGCTTGATCCCCTCTGCACTTTGAATTAGAAACAACTTTCAATAAACCGAGTGCCTTCAGGCATTTATTTTTGAGGTATTTAATATGCGGAAGAAAAGATAAATGGAAGTCAAAATTAAGACTCAAGAACTTGGCCCCCTTGACAACTTTGATGGGAGTGTCATTTAAAGATAGTTCTGGGTCCTTATGCGGCTTACATTTTCTACAGAAGTGTATACAATTGGTTTTTGACTTTTTCAAGCCATTTTCAAGACACCATTTATTTATTTTGTTTAAATATATTTGCAGTTGCCGTTCAATAGTATTCATATTTATACCACAAGAAATATTAATATCATCCACAAAAAGTGATCCACCAATTGAATCATTTAAAACCTTTGATAAACTGTTGATCTTAATGCTAAATAAAGTGACAGACAAAATACTGCCTTGTGGGACACCCTGATCCTGATTGTAATGATCAGACAGGGTTGAACCCACTCGGACTTGCCTGTCTGTTAAAAACTGTGATATAAAATGAGGCAAACGACCCCTGAAACCAAAATCATGTATATCCTTTAAAATGCCGTGCTTCCAGGTGATATCGTATGAGTTCTCGAGATCAAAGAATATCGATACCGCATGTCGTTTATTTACTATAGCATTTTGAACAAAGGATTCTAAACGTACCAAATGATCAATGGTACTACGATTTTTCCTGAAACAACATTGAATACTTGTAATAAGGTTATTGGTTTCAAGATACCTTGTTAATCTAGTGTTTACCATTCGTTCCATGGTTTTACAGACTCAACTCGTTAGAGAGATTAGTCTGTAAGTAGACGGATCAGTATGATCCCGGCCAGGCTTTGGTGTAGGGACTACAATGACATTACGCCACGAAGTTGGGAAATTCCCTGAAGTCCATATTGTATCAAAATTAAAAAATATTCAAAAGTGTTTCCAAAGATGATTCAGGTAAATGCTTCAAGAGCTGATAGTGTATATTATCAGCCCCAGTTGCTGTATCATGAGCTTGCTCAAGGGCGATGCGTATCTCATGTAGTGAAAATAATTCGTTGTAGTCTTCTCCATTGTCTGAGTTGAAATAATTGTTTTCTTCTCCTGTTTCTTATGTTAAAGAAACTCGGGGACATAATTGGATGAAGACGAATGTGTGGCGAGAGTTTCATCAAGCTTATTGGCAATGTCAGCCTTATCAGTTAATAAATTAACACCGTCCTTTAAATGGTGAACGGTAGATTTGGAACCTTTGCCCTCTTTTCTTTGTATCATGTTCCACACCTTTGAAATCGGTGTACGTGAATTTAATTTGGAATCATAGTTTCGCCAAGACTGACGCTTAATTTGTTTAAATTCACGTCGAGCCTTGGCATTTGAAATTTTAACTATATTTAAATTATGCACGGTAGGACGTCGGCGGAAATACTTTTCGGCTTTCTTCCTGCTCTTTCTGGTCTGTTTACATTCATTATTGAACTGTTGTTTACGAATATGTGGAACTGCAGAGGACTTGGGTACAGCTTGGTCAGCAATGTCATTCAGTATATCTGAAAACAACTGTATAGGATCTTCACTGTTCGCAAATACACAATGTTTTAAGTGATGAAATCATTGTTCGCATCCAACAAACTCACTATTCTTAAGAAATTATCAAAGTTTATATCTATTATCAACAATCGTGTTAAAGCAACGCAGAAACTATAAATTATGCAACGACCTTCCAACAATGTAATCAAATCTATGTGTAATATATATCCACTGCTCTTGTACCACCGTGGGTGGTTAAAGAGCGAACAAAGATTGATCAGTACATAGTGTCTCATATAATGACCAATCAGCCCTGGCGAAGTTCCTTCTCGATAAATGTGGATCATCACCAGGGTTGATTGTTTTGAGAATGGTAGGGAAGTGATCACTCCCACATAGGTCATTCGAATTCATTACACAAGATGGAATGAGCAAGTGATATATCTAGGGAAGAACATGTTCCCGTAGCTGGATGTAAATAAGTCGCTGAATCGTCATTAAAAATACATAAATTATTATCGGAAATGAATTCCTCAATGATTTTACCTTTATTATTGGTATGGACACTTCCCCAAAGCGGTTTGTGTCCGTTAAGATCGCCTGTGATAACACATGGCTTTGAAGTTGATCGTACAGATTTTGAAGATCTGACTGTCGAATATTAGAAGAGGGAGGGATATACAAGCTGCACAATGTCAGGGCAGTATGCTGAATCATGCGAACAGCAACAGTTTGAAGATCCGTATTTAGAGTGACAGGGCTACGAATGACGCTCTGATGTACCAAAATAGAAACGCCTCCAGCTGCTCGATCTCCCGGAAGAGAAATAGAATGATAATCACTTGAGTGTCTCAGAATAAAGTTATCTGTATTTTTAAGATGTCTCTTAAAGACAGAATGCTGACGGGTGGTGATCTTGTATGAGTAATTGTATCTCATTGAAGTTATTTTTCAATCCTCTGTATTTCCACTGCAATAAAGTCGACAACTGAGTCATGGTGCAACAATTGGCGATCGTTCCAGTGGATGTGAGGAGGAAGAGCTCCTCTGCCTGTCCTGAGAGGATAGAGTGACCTCCATATCAAGAGGTCCAAATGAATTTTGGATAGTAACCTCCAGAGGTGAAGGGACAGAATGTTCGTTTCTATTTAATCTTTTTCCTTTCTTCGTTTTGCATTGATCAGTTGCTGGTTGTGTAGCAGAAGTTTGTGATGTCTCAGTCTGAGACCCTGACGTAGCCTGATAGGCTGGGGAAGTAGATTTTGAAGAAGTAGTTTTTTGTGGCGGTTTTTTCTGACTTGACCCATGTGAAGTCAGTTTGACAAGCAGTAGAAAACACCGCCACAGAGCGGGCAACCGAGGCGGAATATGTGATACTAGTATTTGGCACAGGTGAAGACTCATTTGTGAAATTCTTTTTACCTCAAGGTACGAAATGTTTTTTTCACATTTAATTTTCGTTATTTTATAATCGCTTTGGAACACAGGGCAGGACCTGGATGAATCTGGATGTGAGCCGTCACAATATGCGCATTTGTAGTCACTAGTACAATCTGTACTTTCATGGTGATCACCACAACGATGACACGTAACAGAATTTCGACAATGGACTTCACTTTAAAATTTAGATATGAAAATATTTTGCAAATCCTACCTGTTGTTGAGAGGGCAAACACAATTTGGCTGCAAATTATGTACCATGGGCCTGAAATCATCTGCTCAAAAATAAACAAATCTAAAACAAAGTCTTTTAAACATTTTGAACATAGTGTGGAGCAAACGTTTCTTTTTTGTTGTTGTTTTTCAAAACATTTTGCAAAAGTGAAAGCAAATACTATATGGAAACAGTACGTGAAATGTCAGACTTCCTCATTGATAACATCTGTTTGAAATTTGGAAGTAAGACATTTTAGCAGAACGTAAACATCCTTATTGGCACGAATTGTGCTTCACTTTTGCCGATCTGTTTCTTTATGCATATTAATCTGGACTCAGATTGGCAGTCAAATCAACGGAAAGATAAGGTACATCGACTTTTTGATAGCGCTCAATCATAGACACTTACCCATCTTAACTACAAATATAAGAGACATTTGAAATCACCTGTGTCCCGATCCACAAATTTAAGCGTTCGTAAAGTTACGAACTATCGTAACTCAATAGTTTATCTTAGCGCTAAGAACGATTTATGGATCGGGAACCTGGTTCACATTTTACAAAGTTCCATGTGTTTTGTTAGGGTGATAATTTGAACAACAAAACATACATTACAGCACTTGATCAAATGCTTGAATTATTAAAGTAAATTATCTCCAAAGTAATAACCATGACAACGTTGCTGTAAAGTCTCCTGAAATTTATCCACGGAACAAAATATTTTAATCACTGTGTTCTGTAAACTCATATCGGAGATTAAACGTCGATTACTTATTGATCATTGAAATCCCCAGAACAAGTGGACTGACTGACTGAGTTTGGTTTTACGCCGCTTTTAGCAATATTCCAGCAACATCACGGCGGGGGACACCAGAACAGAACAAGTGGAGATGGTGCCACGTCGGGATGGTTTCCGAGCTGCCAGCACTAAATGACCAATAAACTTAAAACAGTAATTTGTATTATCTGAAGTTGTGAAATATCGACCTATGTCACAAGCCCACACCACAACACGGTTAAATCTACGTCAGAGATAAGACGAGAAAACATACTGCTCCCCAAGAAATCCATGTACAGATATCGCTGTCCATGGCATATGCACAATAAATGTAATTTAAGAATTTATATGATTATATGACCATGTATCTAGATTTGAGAGGCGATGTTTACAGATATGGCTTATTCGTCTAATATACTGCACATTGTGCCGCAAATGAACCCATACGAGACAGCATGCAGTCATAAGTAATCGTCATGCTTTTGTGCAGCCTTATCTTTAAGTGTGCAAGATTGCAGTAACCATTGTCGTGCTCTGTGAAATGCCATCCATACATCAACATAAAGTGATTCAACGGACTCCTCGTAATCGTTCTGTTATTCATGGTGTTATGAATATTAAGGGGTAAAATGATGGAATTTCCGCCGGCAGGTAGAAGTATCAGTAGCATGTTAAAAACATCAGGTAGAGGTTATCGCTGACATTGGAGTCAGCTGACAGCGTCGACAACAATCAACAATCGCCCACAACAAACCTTGGGACACAACAGCTGAACGTGGGACGGATTTCACATATATATCCAGAAGTCATTTCAGTCAGTATCATAGTTGCACTTTAATTCCATAAAGAATGAACATACTAGCTCTGATCTTGGTGGTGATACCACTGGCCGCGTGTCAACTCTTCAACGGCCCCTTGACAGTCGACGTGAACAGGGACGACGTTCAGCAGATGGCAAGCTTCGCCCTTACCCAGCTCAACACACTCCTCGGATCACAGAACACTCTGGTGTCTGTCGTGAAAGCTAAAACTCTAGTAGGTGTCAATGTGCCTTTCCAACCCTTGCAAATAATTTGGGATCCTAGCTTAGCTGGTCATAAGCCTAAGGCATTTTTGAACACGTATATTGGATTGCAGCAAAATGGGGCTGATTGTCTGGTGGTTAAAGCATTTTCTCGTCACTCCTAATTCCTGGGGTTTGATTCCTCACACTACTGTACAGTAGGTGAACCCATTGAAGTGCACCCCGCGTGATATTACGAGAATATTTGTAAACGCATACCTATTCAAGTTTATATCTTTAATTAGTTGTGAAACACGACATTACTGATGGAAGAATAGGTTGCCAGTATTCAAAGCTTGTCGTCAGTCTGATAGTATGTCATCACGCCCCGTTAGCGTGCGCCATAGCTCCAAACTCGACTGAGCACAAGCCGTCGTGCGTAGATCGATGCTCATGCTGTTGATCACTGGATTATCTGGTCCAGACTCGATTATTTACAGACCGCCACCATGCAGCTGGAATATTGCTGAGTGTGGCGTAAGACTAAACTCACTCACTCACTGTAATGCTCATGATTCATATTTTGGTACTGTCTTCCAAAGTTGATCATTTGAACTCCATAAACTTATGACTGGCCTATACTTCTCCTTGTCCGAATTCAATACAGTCCTTACTCTTCTGCCTGACAGCTTGTCTCTGGTATTGACTACATCCTGACCCTCCAGATACAGAATGGACAGGAGGTGAGTTTCACTGAAACGTGCATGTCTGCACTAACTAGTATAACCTACCATGGCTACAGAACTCGATGACACACATGATATGAATTTAGCACTCGGTGCATAGCAGTTACGATCCGGTATGTAATAGAGTTGTGAATTGTGGATAGTCTAGTTCCGAAAACATCAGCATCCGATCCAGTACATGTTTAGTTAGGTTGTCTACATTCGTCTCTGTCGGAATGGCAGGACACGCTGGTCCACGTTGGTCCACGTTGGTCCATTCTGTCAACATCTGGCGACGTCATCACGACTGCTGCTGTCCTTGGTGGACTCGACAGTTCAGTAGGACGTAGATGAGAGTGTTTTTTGGACGTCGTTACTTGTGTCTTACGAAGTGTAACCTCGTTACTAGTGTCTTACGAAGTGTAACCTCGTTACTAGTCTCTTACGAAGTGTAACCTCGTTACTAGTCTCTTACGAAGTAACACGTCGAGTTCCGTCAAGCTGATGTGTTAACCATATCCCTGCCATATCGGTGAAGGGCACCGAGAATGCACCTCACACATGTATGGATTCGAACCAAAGAAACAGGTGCGCAGGAAGTTACACAACCTATTTTCCCGAGAAGAATGAATAGCCATCAGGAATATGTATTTCAGATCCTATATAAGAGGCGCATGATTGCGATGTTACAAACCCAGATCTGGACTGTCATAATGTAAGAGTAATGAGCGAACTCATAAGTACTCGGTTACCCAAACACGTTTGAAACGTAACGGGATTATGTCTCACAATGTATTTGTCTGTTTATGAAATCAAGATGTGGGAGAGCAAGGCTATGAAACTGAAGTCTCGACAGTAGCACGGTGTGCATTTGAGTTGTCGAAACTGAAGCAGCAGGCAAATAAACTAAAATACAAAAACGTCATTCCGGGAAATAACGCTGGTGATCTGTTTCCAGACTCGAACCTGTGATGTTACAATCTGGGATCAGTCCTGGACCAATACTACCCAAATGGTCCAACACAGATGCATTAGTGTGCGGTCCAAGCGGGACATCTTGACGCCTGGCGGTCTGACCAACGTGGACATCAACAGTCCTGAAGTCACAGACATGGCCAACTTCGCCCTGGACGAGATCAACGGACTGCAGGGTGCCAAGAACACTATGGAAGAAGTAATCTCAGCTAAAGCTCAGGTACGACTAGTGTCTTGCACGGTTACATGGCATAGATTAACGTCTCCTTGTATAGATTAAACACAGTTAGTGAGTGCTTGTGTTAGTATTACCCATGATGCAGTCAGCTAAACAATCTTGGTCTGAGTAATGTTTTATTCTGTTACACATAATTCTACAATATTCACGGCGAAACCAAAGCTTACTTGTGCCAGAATCAGAATACAACCTGTGTTATATCTGAGCCACGTATGATTATAGGTGTCAGGCCTTTACATATGCTACTTCTTGAAGCAGCATGTACTGTCAGGGCCAAGGCCTCTGAGATCTACAGTACACTCAATGAATAATACACAGTCCCCACTGAGGGACTTGTCCGCCCCTCTACACGGAGTTCTTGTTACGTTTCAGGTTGTTTCTGGAATGAACTACATGCTGACCATACGTCTGAAGGAAGGGTACAAGGTGGGTCATCTTTATTATCAGTTTAACATATATCAGAAACATTTTAATGTCTCGGGGTGAGGTACTGTATATAGATCCATACAGATTTGTACACTTGTTTTAAGCATTCTCAAAAGTACAAATTCTACGCTGCACCTGTCCAGTTATATCATTGTGCTACACCTGTCACCTGCTCATTAAGTCACCTGTCTACCTCCAGACCCAGATCTGCTATGTGAAGATCTGGTCCCAGCCCTGGCTCCACAGGAAGGAAATGACGGAGCACAGCTGTAGCCAGGTGACCAAGCGTGCTGGGGGTCTTCTCGGAGGTCCCACCGGTGTGGACGTCAACAGTGCAGAGATTCAGGAAGTGGCCAACTTCGCTCTCACTGAGATCAACGGAATTCAAGGGGCACAGAACTCTCTGGTCAAAGTTGTCAACGCCAGAAAACAAGTACGGACGTTTCTCTTAATGTGTGTCTTGAATCCAGTCAAAGAACACTTTATAGACATTGGGTTTACCAATTAGATGGACAGGAAACAACATAGGATATTCTGAACGACAACATTAACGTTCATGTGGAACGAATCGTTGCGTGTTGACACACAAACATCATATGCTACTTCTTGGCTTCACACAGTCTTTAAGTTTCTGAAAACGTTTTTCTTTCAGATCGTCTCAGGTATTAACTACATCCTTACACTGAGCCTTCAAAATGGAGATAAGGTGAGCTGAGATATTCGTTTTCATAAGTTTTAACTTGTAACAACTGCCCGTAAACTATGAAACAGGGATTCATTCTTGCTACTAATATTCATCTCTAAAACTATATGAAGTATAAATTCTTTATTTCTTTGCCATGCCTCAACTTCTTTTGAACAATGGTGTTCTTTAACGCATTTGACCATTGAATGATTCAATTCAAATGTCGGCAAGTTTTACCTGAAGTCTTTAAGGTACTCTTGTTCTAACTGATGTGATGTATGAAGCGGCACTCAACGAATAGTGCGTAGAACTTTCCAACTTTTGAGCTGAGGCACTATTCGTTGATTTTGCAAAGGCTTTCGATTCTGTGCAGCGGGATAAACTATGGAGATCTACAATCGCACGGTCTTAGTAGTAAAATGAATGAAATGTTGAAGAGTATATACGAAAATGTTAAAGTGTGTGTAAGGAATGAGCATGAATTATCTGAACCTTTCATAAGTGAACTAAGTGTTAGGCAAGCCTGTATTTTAAGCCCTTTCCTTTTTTACGTTTTTCATAAATGAATTAGCAATACAAATATGTGACACATGAACGAATGGGATTCAACTACACCCAGATACAATACAACTATTTCTGCTACTCTTTGCCGATGATATTGTACTATTCTCTAGTACTGTAAGCGGTTTACAGAAGCAAATAGATGAATTAGACACATTTTTATGACCAATATAAATTGTGTGTAAACAGAGACAAAACCAAAATTATCGTCTTTAAGAAAGGTGGAAAGCTCTCTAAATTAGAAAAATGGTATTATAAAGGGCAACTACTCAAAACTACCAGTGTTTATAAGTATCTTGGTGTATATTTTTGTAATGGCCTTTCCTGGTCCAAACACACAAAATAAGCGTCAGCACAAGCCTTGAAAATCCTAATCGGTGTTTGTAAAAATATGAGATTGTTAGGTGAAATGTCCTTTAACACATTCTTTAAAATATTCGATATGAAGATAAGTCCAATACTTCTGTATGGCTCTGAAATATGGGGATTAAAACAATATGACTGTATTGAAAGAGTTCATTTATATGCATGCAAAAGTTTCTTGGTGTAAAACCGAACACATGTAATAAGATGGTTTGCGGAGAATTAGGTAGATTCTCCTTGTTTATACACTCTTCCATTAAAGCCATAAAATATTGGGTAAGATTACTGCATATGCCATGCCATAGGTTTCCGAAAAAATGTTATGATATGATGAAATTGTATGACGAAAATGGGAAAAGATATTGGGTGAGTGATATTAGGGAGTTGTTGTACAAAACTGGTTATGGTTATGTTTGGTGTGATCCTAATGTTCAGTTGCATACCAATTTTATCATATCATTTACACAAAGAATGAAAGATATCTATTTCCAGTCTTGGTCGGAATCACTACTTCTATCCACAAAATGTTTATACTATAATGAATGGAAATCGGACATACGTTTTGAAGACTATTTAGCAAAAATCGGCGTAAAGAAGTTCCGTATAGCTCTCTCGTTTTCGTTGCTCTTCCCATGAATTATTTACTGAAACTGGCAGGTATGCAGGTTTTCAAAGAGAAAACAGAATATGTCAGTTATGTAATATGAGTACTGTTGAGGATGAACTACATTTTCTTCTAATCTGTCCTGTTTATACAACTCTACGAACAAAATACCTAAAGCCATACTATTATAAGCATCCAAGTGTAAGAACATTAATTTCACTATTAACAGATACTACCACATCAATATTACAGAATCTGGCAATGTGCATCTATTTCGCTATGAGATTAAGAAAAAGTATTGTGGCAGAAAAGAATTTATAAATGACTTCTATCTACTCATGTAAACTCTAAATGTACTACAGGCCTGTGGCCTTTTTAAGTACTGAAATAAAGATTGATTGATTGATTGATTGATTGATTGAAGCGGCACTCACTCTCACACTCATATACTCACACACTAATTGTGCTGTCACCTTCAGACCCAGCTGTGTGAAGTGAGGGTATGGTACCAATCCTGGACCAACACGAAGCAAGTGACAGACCACCACTGCTCCGCCGTAAACAAGAGAAGTGCCCCTGTCCTGGGAGGTGTGGAGCCCGCCCATCTCTCCGCGCCAATGCAACAAGCTGTGTCGTTCGTAGAGGACGCTTTGAACCGGAAGATGAACAACATGTTCCGGATGGTGACAGAGAAGGTGGACCACGTCAGTCAACAGGTTCGCTATTAACGCTGAACAAATTCACTGACAAGATCACCCTGTGAACTGTTTCATCAACAACTTTGTCTTCCATTTGGAATGTATTAATGCACTGATGCTATCCACAGATCTGGAAACAGATCATCACAAACATCGTATACATCCACTCTCTGTAGTTTCCCCCCTTCTGTTCCCTTCTGGTAGTGTTTGTTGTGTAACGTGAACGTATCGATATTCCAGCTAAACTGTGGCAGGTGGAACTTGTGACCAATTCTTCGTCCATTCCATTTATTTCAAGAGCTATGAAATATAAAACAATCCACTGCTGTGATGGTACAGATCTCCGCAATGATTCCTCCAGCATTTGTCCCAGTTTAAGGTTGTATTCTGGACAAGTGGTATTTATGTTGGAATACAAGATTTGCTTGAAGATCGCCAATGATAAAACCGTTGTAGAATGCTCTTACAGTTATCGAGCTCTAGACATGGTATATATCGTAGTCGTGTTGTTCAGTTGTTGACGATCACGCTGACTGTCTACAGGTAGTTGCTGGCATGAAGTACTCATTTGATCTTCACCTGGTCACATCCTCCTGCATGAACAACCCCGACGGCAACGGCAAAGGAATTACCGATTGTCCCGCCAGCAACAGCACGCCACAGGTAAGCTTGGATAATGGCCATGTTTTTTCGCAAACAAAGAATCGGGGAATATAACATTTCCGATTGTGACAATTTTAAAAATATTTGTTATTTGTGATTGTGCTATATGTCTTTTGTTTCTTTGTTGCAGCGTATGACGTGCAGGGTGTCGGTCCTGTACCAGGCGTGGAGTGATCCTAAGTTTCAGCTGCTCTCTGACACCTGTGGACAACTCGCCTAGGTATGCAATGCCAGTTTTGTATTAAGAGACAAGGATATAGGTGAAGCATTATTTTTTGGCTTCATTCTGATTGGTTAGATGTTTCCCATTGTTTCTTTGTTTTCTTTGTTTTGCAAAGGTGCCTATTATATATGTCGTTCGAAAAGTAGGTCAAATGAGTCTTCAAAGGAAACCCACATGATTCTAAATTGTGACCGAAAAATACCCGTAACTCACCGCATTAGTATAGCAAAGGTCTTGTCTCGTCAGACTTTAGATACGTACTTTATATATCACATTGTGTGAATGATGGATGCCTCTGGTGTCACCACTGATTTTCAGTGGCCCATTCATATACTTTTGCCAATAATTTGCCCTTTACACCAAATGGAAATTCAAGACTGAGTATTCTTTTCCTTTGTCGTTTAGTTTTGTTTTCGGTCAAACGATATTTATAAAACTCGAAGTATTCAACCTAAGTCGTCATTTAATGTCTGAATGTGTGCCTTGCTCCAGGTCTCTGGTGATATTCTTTGGTAGATAAGCACTCCCGAAAAACAGATGGTTGTTCAGGTCAGACCTGTGGAACACATGTTTGATGAAAATATGTTACATCGTTCGGTCCTCTTATATCATTATCACAACATTCAAAGCACTTTCTAAACAAATACCTTTGTGTAGACCACGTATTATTCTGTTTGTTTGAATTCTGTTTCAGATGGCTTCCAGTCCGTCCACGGATAAATATGTCTACGTGCATCCTTTTCAAATGAATTGCTGTATTCTTGTCAAAATACAGTGTTGTTATTGTTTATTGTTCATGTTTTTGTTTACAAATAAACATTTTGCACTAAATACAAATTGATTGTATCTGTTTTCAAGCACAGATACGTAGGATAGTTTTGTAAATGCTACCGAGGGTAAAAGGAGTTTCACGTCTCTGATCACTATTAATAATCAAAGATGAAAAAGTATTTTATAAAACTGACACACATTTTCCCACTCACATCGGAAAATCAATCCGAAGACAAGTACATATACATGATGTATCAAATCTTTAATGACTAAGACATGTTATGTAGGACATACAATGTACAAGGTATTGAGTAGCAACATGGATAATTACAAGACCATGGACTGAATAGATGAAGTACACCATATCTGTGTCAGATATATCCTCAGCATGAAACCTGATCAATTCCATTGTCCTTTGTAATTGCTGAGATTGTAGTGAGCCATTGATTAGTTTTACAAGCAAGTTCATTTAAAACTGGGCATGTACCACTGTTTAAACCTCGACAGAAGGCTGTTATTGGTTTCTTTGGCTAAATGTTCAACAAAGTCTCGAGCCCAGATCATGTGCACTTCCGGCTTTGGGAACATATTGCTCAGTGCAGTACAACTTGGAACCGGAAATGTATATCTTGTGTGGCCAATACGACATCCTGTCATTCTTTTTCTGATCACAGATATAAGATCTAACGGTAGCTATATAATCAGAATATGGAATAAGAAGTGGTGTCACAGATTTGTTGAGTGCGGCCTTGTAGTGTTGTGAATTGGTTTCAATCACACAATTGATAATTGGTTCATTACCAGCGAGCAATCATCGCAAAAAATTGGTTAGCGTCAGTTTTCAGATTTTCAGACATTTTTCAGGTTGTTATTGCAGATAAGTACAACATGGTCATCTGTTGTTTTTGTTTTATTTAGAAACTGTGCATATTGTATTTGCAAATTTCACATCCAATTTAAAATGTTGCATCTTGCTACTTAAAAGTGATGACTAATATATTATTATATTATACGATATTTATATTATCCAGGCAACTAGTGCTTGCTCAAGGAGCTGGTATTTTTTCTCCTCGATCATTGGATGTCAGTCTCAACGGCACATCGTGTTATCAATCTCAACTCCCTGGGGAGTATACAACTCTTGCAGCCACTAGGCGCAACGAGTTATTGTGGCTTTCATCACGAAGATAAACATCTTCAAGATATATTCAGTCATGACTTTTCAGTAAGTGAAGTGAGTTTACTAAGAATTAAATACGTTTTCAGGCCCTGGCAGCTGCTAAGATATCTCCTTCGTCAAGTGTTTCAAACACTAAAACAGTAGTTCCAAAATCGTCTGTGTTCGATTATAAGAAAATGTGATCGATTGCTTGGTCCTTTGGTCACTGCGACCAATCTTCGATTATTTCAGTTAATGGGAATACCACTACTGCCTTGGCAGGAAGATCGGCCATTGTGTTACCAGAAATGCCAACGTGGCTGGGTGTCCAACAGAGGAAGATGTCGTATTGGCCGTTAGCAAGATCATTATATAAATCAATAATTTAAATTCAAAGTGGATGTTTGTAAGAAACATTTTTAACAGCCTGAAGGCAAGAAAGAGAATCTGGAAAGATGATATATTGTTTATATTTAGGGTGTTTATTGATACATTTTAGGATGTATATGGCGTTAGCTTCTGCTGTGAAAATAGAGCTGTTATCAGGCAATCGAGAAGATATTGTTCTGGATCCAGTAACAGTGGCACAAGCAACTGTGCCCCCATCCTTGGACCTATCTGTAAATAAGGATTTACATGTATTATATTTATTTCTTAATTGACTACATTCTTGTTTATACTGTAATTAATTAGTTTCTGATTTTTAAAATGCAGTTAATGTTAGGTCAACGTGTGGCCTAACCAATTGCCAAGGAGGAGAAGAAAGAAGTTCCAGCTCCATTTCGGCAGCAGAAATGAATGGTATAATTCTGAGCCCAAGGATTTCTTGGTGTATAAATCCTCATAGAGGGGATTGAAGACACAGTTAAATGCAGGGTTAGATTCGTTAGAATATAGGTTTGTAATATATTGTAAAGATAATTTTATACGGCGTTATGTAAGAGATGGCTCATCTGCCTCGACGTAGAGACTGTCAACAGGAGAAGTTCTGAAGGACCCAAGACAAAGTCTCAGACCTTGGCGGTGGACAGAATCTAATAGTTTTAGGCTGCTTTTGCAGGCTCCACCATATACGATGGAGCCATAATCATGCTTCGAGCGGACCAGTGATCTATATGGGTGTAGGAGGGTAGCTTGATCCCCTCCGCACTTTGAATTAGAAACCACTTTCAATAAACCGAGTGCCTTCAGGCATTTATTTTTGAGGTATGTAATATGCGGAAGAAAAGATAAATGGAAGTCAAAATTAAGAACTTGGCCTCCTTGACAACTTTGATGGGAGTGTCATTTAAAGATAGTTCTGGGTCCTTATGCGGCTTACATTTTCTACAGAAGTGTATACAATTGGTTTTTGACTTAGAAAATTTAAAGCCGTTTTCAAGACACCATTTATTTATTTTGTTTAAACATATTTGCAGTTGCCGTTCAATAGTATTCATATTTGTACCACAAGAAATATTAAAATCATCCACAAAAAGCGATCCACCAATTGAATCATTTAAAACCTTTGATAAACTGTTGATCTTAATGCTAAATAAAGTGACAGACAAAATACTGCCTTGTGGGACACCCTGATCCTGATTGTAATGATCAGACAGGGTTGAACCCACTCGGACTTGAAATTGCTTGTCTGTTAAAAACTGTGATATAAAAAGAGGTAAACGACCCCTCAAACCAAAATTATGTAAATACTTTACAATGCCGTGCTTCCAGGTGATATCGTATGAGTTCTCGAGATCAAAGAATATCGATACTGCATGTTGTTTATTTACTATAGCATTTTGAACAAAGGATTCTAAACGTACCAAATGATCAATGGTACTACGATTTTTTCTGAAACAACATTAAATACTTGTAATAAGGTTGTTGGTTTCAAGATACCATGTTAATCTAGTGTTTACCATTCGTTCCATGGTTTTACAGACACAACTCATTAACTGTAAGTAGACGGATCAGTATGATCCCGGCCAGGCTTTGGTGTAGGGACTACAATGACAAATATTCAAAAGTGTTTCCCAAGATGAATCAGGTAAATGCTTCAAGAGCTGATAGTGTATATTATCAACCCCCGTTGCTGTATTATGAGCTTGCTCAAGGGCGATGTGTAGCTCATGTAGTGAAAATAATTCGTTGTAGTCTTCTCTATTGTCTGAGTTAAACTAATTCTTTTCTTCTCCTGTTTCTTATGTTAAAGAAACTCGGGGACATAATTGGATGAAGACGAATGTGTGGCGAGAGTTTCACCAAGCTTATTGGCAATGTCAGCCTTATCAGTTAATAAATTATCACCGTCCTTTAAATGGTGAACGGTAGATTTGGAACCTTTGCCCTCTATTCTTTGTATCATGTTCCACACCTTTGAAATCGGTGTGCGCGAATGTATTTTGGAATCATAGTTTCGCCAAGACTGACGCTTAATTTGTTTAAATTCGTGTCGAGCCTTGGCATTTGAAATTTTAACTTTATTTAAATTATGCACGGTAGGACGTCGGCGAAAATACTTTTCGGCTTTCTTCCTGCTCTTTCTGGTCTGTTTACATTCATTATTGAACTGTGGTTTACGAATATGTGGAACTGCAGAGGACTTGGGTACAGCTTGGTCAGCAATGTCATTCAGTATATCTGAAAACAACTGTATAGGATCTTCACTGTTCGCAAATACACAATGTTTTAAGTGATGAAATCAGCATCCAACAAACTACTATTCTTAAGAAATTATCAAAGTTTATATCAACAATCGTGTTAAAGCTCCGCAGAAACTGTAAATTGTGCAACGACCTTCCAACAATGTAAACAAATCTATGTGTAATATATATCCACTGCTCTTGTACCACCGTGGGTGGTTAAAAAGCGAATAAAGATTGATTGATGGATTGATCAGTACATAGTGTCTTATGTAATGACCAATCGGACCTGGCGAAGTTCCTTCTCGATAAAGGTGGATCAGCACCTGGGTTGATCGTCTTGAGAATGGTAGGGAAGTGATCACTCCCACATAGGTAATTCGAATTCATTACACAAGATGGAATGAGCAAGTGACAGATCCAGGGGAGAATATGTTCCCGTAGCTGGATGTAAATAAGTCGCTGAATCGTCATTAAAAATACATAAATTATTATCGTAAATGAATTCCTCAATGATTTTACCTTTATTATTGGTATGGACACTTCCCCAAAGCGGGTTGTGTCCGTTAAGATCGCCTATGATAACACATGGCTTTGAAGTTGATCGTACAGATTTTGAAGATCTGACTGTCGAATATTAGAAGAGGGAGGGATATACAAGCTGCACAATGTCAGGGCAATGTGCTGAGTCAGGCGAACAGCAACAGTTTGAAGATCCGTATTTAGAGTGACAGGGCTACGAATGACGCTCTGATGTACCAAAATAGAAACGCCTCCAGCTGCTCGATCTCCCGGAAGAGAAAAAGAATGATAATCACTATAGTGTCTCAGAATAAAGTTATCTGTATTTTTAAGATGTGTCTCTTAGAGACAGAATGCTGACGGGTGGTGATCTTGTATGAGTAATTGTATCTCATTGAAGTTATTTTTCAATCCTCTGCAATTCCACTGCAATAAAGTCGACAACTGAGTCATGGTGCCACAATTGGCGATCGTTCACGTGAATGTGAGGAGGAAGAGCTCCTCTGCCTGTCCTGAGAGGACAGAGTGACCTCCATATCAAGAGGTCCAAATGAATTTTGGATATATAACCTCCGGAGGTGAAGGGACAGAATGTTGGTTTCTATTTAATCTTTTTCCTTTCTTCGTTTTGCATTGATCAGTTGCTGGTTGGGAATTTGCTGGTTGTGTAACAGAAGTTTGTGATGTCTCAGGCTGAATTTCAGTCTGAGACCCTGACGTAGACTGATAGGCTGGGGAAGTAGATTTTGAAGAAGTATTTTTTTGTGGCGGAAGAGACAGGTTTTTCTGACTTGACCCATGTCAAGTCAGTTTGACAAGCAGTAGAGGACACCGCTACAGAGCGGGCAACCGAGGCGGAATATGTGATATTTGGCACAGGTGAAGACTCATTTGTGAAAATTCTTTTTGCCTCAAGGTACGAAATGTTTTTTCACATTTAATTTTCGTTATTTTATAATCGCTTTGGAACACAGGGCAGGACCTGGATGAATCTGGATGTGAGCCGTCACAATATGCGCATTTGTAGTCACTAGTACAATCTGTAATTTCATGGTGATCACCACAACGATGACACGTAACAGAATTTCGACAATGGACTGCACTTTAACATTTCGATATGAAAATATTTTGCAAATCCTGCCTGTTGTTGAGAGGGCAAACACAATGGCTGACGCCGCTTGGGAAAACCCTTAAAATTGGTTATTACATTAAAAATGTATATATTTCGATTATAATCGATAATCGTTCACCACAAGTCCTCCGATAATCGATAGTTGATTTGGTTTCCGATTCCCAACACTAGTCCATCACTCGTGAACGAATAGCAATAAGTTATTACATAACGTTCCTTTGTTCATCGATCGTGCCTTGTCAGTGAGAAAGTTTTTCACTCATCCAGTGATATGAAGTGCTGCAAATTATGAACCATGGGCCTGAAATCATCAGATCAAAAATAAACAAATCTCAACCGATGGTTACCTAAAACAAAGTCTTTTAAACATTTTGAACATAGTGTGGAGCAAACGTTTCTTTTGTTGTTGATTTTTCAAAACATTTTGCAAAAGTGAAACCAAATATACTATATGGAAAGAGTACGTGAAATGTTAGACTTCCTCATTGATAACATCTGTTTGAAATTTGGAAGTAAGACATTTTAGCAGGACGTAAACATCCTTATTGGCACGAATTGTGCTTCACTTTTTGCCGATCTGTTTCTTTATGCATATTAATCTGGACTCAGATTGGCAGTCAAACCAAAGGAAAGTTAAGGTATATCGATGTTCTGATAGCGTTCAATCATAGACACTTACCCACCTAAACTACAAATATCCGATCCACAAAGCGTTCGTAACGTTACGAACTATCGTAACTCAATAGTAGATCTTAGCGTTAAGAGCGAATTGTGGATCGGAAACCTGGTTCACATTTTACAAAGTTCCATGTGTTTTGTTAGGGTGATAATTTGAACAACAAAACATACATTACAGCACTTGATGAAATGCTTGAATTATTAAAGTAAATTATCTCCAGAGTAATAACCATGACAACGTTGCTGTAAAGTCTCCTGAAACATATCTACGGAACAAGATATTTTAATCACTGTGTTCTGTAAACTCATATCGGAGATTAAACGTCGATACTTATTGATCATTGAAATCCCCAGAACAAGTGGACTGACTGACTGAGTTTGGTTTTACGCCGCTTTTAGAAATATTCCAGCAACATCACGGCGGGGGACACCAGAACAGAACAAGTGGAGATGGTGCCACGTCGGGATGGTTTCCGAGCTGCCAGCACTAAATGACCAATAAACTTAAAACAGTAATTTGTATTATCTGAAGTTGTGAAATATCGACCTATGTCACAAGCCCACACCACAACACGGTTAAATCTACGTCAGAGATAAGACGAGAAAACATACTGCTCCCCAAGAAATCCATGTACAGATATCGCTGTCCATGGCATATGCACAATAAATTTAATTCAAACATTAATACAATTATGTTACCATGTATCTAGATTTGTGATGCGATGTTTACAAATGTGACTTATTCGTTTAACACAGTACATACTGTCCTGCAAATGAACCGATACGAGACAGCCTGCAGTGATAAGTAATAGTGATCTTTTTGTGCAGCTTATCTTTAAGTGTGCAAGGTTGCAGTAACCCTTGTTGTGCTCTGTGAAATGCCATCCATACATCAACATAAAGTGATTCAACGGACTCCTCGTAATCGTTCTGTTATTCATGGTGTTATGAATATTGAGGATTACAGAAGATAGAATTTCAGCCGGCAGGCAGATGTATTACGAACATGTTTAAAAACAACAGGTAAAGGTTATCGCCGACAGCGTCGACAACAATCAACAATCACCCACAACCAACCTTGGGACACAACAGCTGAACGAAGGACGGAGTTCACATATATATCCAGGAGTCATTTCAGTCAGTATCACAGTTCCACTTTACTTCCACAAAGAATGAACATACTAGCTCTGGTCTTGGTGGTGTTACCACTGGCCGCGTGTCAACTCATCGGCGGCCCCAAGACTGCCGACGTGAACAGAGACGACATTCAGCAGATGGCAAGCTTCGCCCTTACCCAGCTCAACATACTCCTCGGATCACAGAACACTCTGGTGTCTGTCGTGCAAGCTAAAATTCAAGTAGGTGTCAATGTGCCTTTCTAACCCTTGGAAATAATTTGGCATCATAGATTAGCTGGTCATAAACCTAAGTCATTGTCCGCAATCCGTTCGTCTAAACTTCACTTTTTGAACGCGTATATTTTGATTTTTGCACCCAAGAATGTATGCGTTTCAAATGTATGTCTCCAAAATGCAGCAAACGAATATTTGGCTTTCCCTGACATACAAATGTAATCAACAAAGACATTTATGTAATTTCAGGTTCATTTGGGGCTGATCCATACATGCAAAATCCATAAATGCAGAATCTAAAGCTTGGCGCAATACCAAAAACATTATTATTGAGATATACTTCGCCTTATCCGAATTCGATACACACACAGTTGACTGTATACACACACTGTGATTATTCTTCTGCCTGACAGGTTGTCGCAGGCATCAACTACTTTCTGACTCTCAAGATAAAAAACGGACAGGAGGTGAGTTCCATTCATATTTTTACACCGTCACTGAAATATGCTTTCCTGCACTCGCTGGATATCAAGGATACAGTATGTATAGACCCGTGAAACAGCCGTAAGTGAATAGTCAGTTTATCTTCATCACTTGAAACATATATAGCTGTTAACATGTGACGCTATTATAAATAATTCTCCCACACTCACTCACGACGTCTGCTGTCAGAAGGGCAGGACACGACGACCTGTACATCACCATCTGTCGACATCATCACAACTGCTGTTGCTTCTGTCTCGACAATTCTGTTGGAACGAGATGCCTTATAGAGTTACTCTGTATTTAACCTTACCCCAGCCATATCGGAGTGTGGGCACCGAGAATGCGCCTCACACATGTATGGATTCGAACCAGCGTTTTCAGGGTAATGAACGAACGCTTCATCCACGTGTCTACCACACTAATCGTTACGTGTTACAAGACGCATCTTGTAGTATATTTGGAGGCCTTGTTTCATCAAATCAAGGCTGTGAAACTGTAGTCTCAGCGGTAGAACAGTCGGCATCAAAAGTACAATCTGGCTGGAACAAGCAAACAGGTGCCCTCGAAATTACACAACCTGTCCTCCCGAGAAAAACCGTTAGGAATATATATTTCAGATCCTTGGCTTTATCACAGGGGTTTTATCGCGGTGTTTCAGGTCTGCACAGTCTGGCCCCGACAAACCTGTCCTCCCTAGAATAACCGTTAATATTTTACATGGCAGATCCTTTATAATAGGGGTTTGACCGCGGTGTTTCAGACCCAGATCTGCACTGTCACCGTCTGGTCCCGTGTCTGGCTCAACGACACACAAGTTACCCAGCATGCATGTACTTCACGCACCAAGCGGGACGGCCTCCTTGGTGCTCCGACCTCAGTCAACGTCACCGGTCAATACATCTTGAAAATGGCCAATTATGCGGTGACTACGCTGAACAGGCTACAGGGGACTGTCAACAGTCTGGACCAAGTCATCTCAGCCAAGACCCAGGTATGTCGGTGGTATAATACTACAACTTGACATTTATATTACAATTAACGATTCAGAATTAGCGGGGCGGTGGGGTAGCCTAGTGGTTAAAGCGTTGGCTTGTCACGACGAAGACCCGGGTTCGAATCCCCACATGGGTACAATGTGTAAATCCCATTTCTGGAATATTGCTAAAAGCGGCGTAAAACCAAAATCAGTCAGTCAGTCAGAATTAGCGACCAGACATTTGGACAAATTAATAGTATAACTGATATCATAATAACGTATGAGTCTAACATACCGGAAACAGGGACGTTAAATATCATATAGCAGGTATTCGTAAGGGCTCGTTAAATGCACTTAATTAATGTACAATGTATACACTAGTATACATGTCTTGGTAACTGACAAGTGTGCTGGCCTTTAGCATAGGATTCTCCAGAGGTCTAGGGCTACAATCAGTCACCGTTTACAACATTAATAGTATCCAATAATCATAACATTATTAGTAGATGTGACTTTTGTGTACCCAACCCCTTATCGATGGCGACTTTCTTTCCAGTTATAGTTGAGTGGTTTCCCCGTTTATAGCTTCAGACCGATATTTCATTATCACTCGTGTTCATTTCAGGTGATATAAAATTCCCTATATCAGGTATTATAACCAAGGCTTTCTTACTAAATTTATTGTACAATGTATGCAATAATAATATATGTCTTGGTATTTAACAAATGTGACAGCTTTTGGTATGGTAACAGAGTAATGGTTTCCGGAGGTCTGGGGCTACAATCAGCCACCGTTTACAAAATTATTAGTGGACAATAATTATAACATTAATTGTAAATGTGCATACCCAACTGCATTGTCGATTGCCATTTTTTTCAGGTATTGGTTTGATTGGTTTCCCCATTTATAGGTTCGGTCGGATATTTCATTATCACTCGTGTTCATTTCAGGTGGTTGCTGGCACGAACTACTTCCTGAAGATCCGCATGAGTGATGGAAGCCAGGTAGGTTTCATGTTAAATGAATTAGTCGCGTTTTTATGTGTAAATATATTTCATAAACCCATCATATTACTCTTGTTCAGGGTTAGTACAGCCACGTGTCCTGGTCATTTAATGGAGCACTGTGTTTTTCAGTCTCAGATCTGTGATGTGACCATCTTGGACCAGCCTTGGTCATACATGACCCAGCTGACCCACAATAGCTGTGTTTACGTCAAAAAGCGGGACATCGCTATGCCCGGCGGTTTCACCGACGTGGACGTCAACAGTACTGGAGTAAGGAACATGACCAACTTTGCCCTGGGCGAGATAAACAAACTGTTTAGTGAACAGTTGAGCCTAATAGAAATCATCTCAGCTAAAACTCAGGTAAGACCAGCATATTGTGTGTTAGTTGTAGTAATGAACGTTACTATGTATTGAGTAATTAAATTGAGAGGGTATCTCTGACATAAGCATGGTACAGGTTGTATAAACAATGTATTATATATTGATATAACTTGTCATGTCTTTGAATTTTGCAAAATTATGTCGAGTCCTGTTTGATGACTTAAGAATGCTCTCTCATGGTATTGGGCAAGAATCAGTAATCGTGTACAAAGTACTTAGCGTACTATTATGACAGCATTATTTATAAGTGTCTAATTTTGTGCGCGTTCCGTCTACATTATTGATGAAAATCTTTGGTTTTCATCTTGTAAAGGTTCTCTCAGGTATTGATCATATATCGTAATAAAGAGATCTCAGTCTTCTCTGTCGTCAACATAACAGTGTTATTTGGCATCAGGTGGTTGCTGGCATCAACTACTTCCTGAAGTTCCGCGTGAGAAATGGAAACCTGGTATGTTTCATCAATATTTCCTTCAAGCTTTATACTACTCTAGTTCCACTTTTTTCCGAGGACTCATATTTGTGTCCGGTCAATACATCTAACCACTCGCCCTGGTCGTGTAATGGACGATTGTGACCAATCAGTACATCTATCCACGCGTCCTGGTCGTGTAATGGACGACTGTGTCCAATCAGTACATCTAACCACTCGTCCTGGTCGTGTAATGGACGACTGTGTCCAATCAGTACATCTATCCACTCGTCCTGGTCGTGTAATGGACGACTGTGTCCAATCAGTACATCTATCCACGCGTCCGGGTCGTGTAATGGACGACTGTGTCCAATCAGTACATCTATCCACTCGTTCTGGTCGTGTAAGGAATCTGGTTGTACATCTGACCATTAATATAATCTTGATTCTGTATGTATATATATGTGTGTTTGCAGAATGAAATCTGTGATGTTACAATCTGGGAGCAGTTATGGACCCAGACGACCCACATGACCCATAGCAGCTGCACTAGTGTGGCGTCCAAGCGGGACATCTTGATGCCCGGCGGTCTGACCAACGTGGACATCAACAGTACTGAAGTCAGAGACATGGCCAGCTTTGCCCTGGGTGAGATCAACGGACTGCAGGGTGCCCAGAACACTATGGAACAAGTAATCTCAGCTAAAGCTCAGGTGAGACGAGTGTTGTGCATGGTAAACTGGTATTGATTAACGCCTTAAGTTATGGAGTACTTGTGTTGATAGACTTCATGATAGAGGCAGCTTAACAATCTTAGTTTGTGCAATGCATTTTTCTGTTACACATAATTCGACACATTCACCCCAAACCCAAAGCCTACTTGTGCCAGAATCGGAATACAAACTGTGTTATATCTGAGCCACGTATTATGATAGGTCTCCGGGTCTTTACATATGTTATTTCTGAAGCAGCATGTACTGTCAGGGCCAAGGCCTCTGAGATCTACAGTACACTCAATGAACAATACACAGTCCTTGGATATTTGGCTTGCCTCGACATAATCAACTAACACATTTATGGAATTTCTGGACTGGTTCATTTTAGGATGATCTTCCAAAATTCATAAATGCAGAATCTGAAGCTTGGCACACAGCCAAAATCATTATGATTGAGATATACTTCGCCTTATCCGACTTCGATACACACAAAGTTGACTGTATACACACACTGAGATTATTCTTCTGCCTGACAGGTTGTCGCAGGCATCAACTACTTTCTGACTCTCGAGATAAAGAACGGACAGGAGGTGAGTTCCATTCATATTTTGACACCGTCACTGAAATATGCCTTCCAGCACTCACTGGACATCAAGGATACAGTATGTATAGACGCGTGAAACAGTCGTAAGTGAATAGTCAGTTTACCTTCATCACTTGAAACATATATAGCTGTTAACATTTGACGCTATTATAAATAATTCTCCCACTCTCACTCACGACGTCTGCTGTCAGAAGGGCAGGACACGACGACCTGTACATCACCATCTGGCGACATCATCACAACTGCTGTTGCTTCTGTCTCGACAATTCTGTTGGAACAAGATGCCTTATAGAGTTACTCTGTATTTAACCTTATCCCAGCCATATCGGAGTGTGGGCACCGAGAATGTGCCTCACACATGTATGGATTCGAACCAGCGTCTTCAGGGTAATGAACGAACGCTTCATCCACGTGTCTACCACACTGCTCGTTACGTGTTACAAGATGCATCTTGTGGTTTATTTGGAGGCCTTGTTTCATCAAATCAAGGCTGTGAAACTGTAGTCTCAGCGGTAGAACAGTCGGCATCAAAAGTACTATCTGGCAGGAAAACAGGTGCCCTCGAAATTACACAACCTGTCCTCCCGAGAAAAACCGTTAGGAATATATATTTCAGATCCTTGGCTTTATCACAGGGGTTTTATCGCGGTGTTTCAGGTCTGCACAGTCTAGCCCCGACAAACCTGTCCTCCCTAGAATAACCGTTAATACTTTACATGGCAGATCCTTTATAATAGGGTTTGACCGCGGTGTTTCAGACCCAGATCTGCACTGTCACCGTCTGGTCCCGTGTCTGGCTCAACGACAAACAAGTTACCCAGCATGCATGTACTTCACGTGCCAAGCGGGACGGACTCCTTGGTGCTCCGACCTCAGTCAACGTCACCGGTCCAGACATCTTGAAAATGGCCACCTATGCGGTGACTACGCTGAACGGGCTACAGGGGACTGACAACAGTCTGGACCAAGTCATCTCAGCCAAGATCCAGGTATGTCGGTGGTATAATACTACAACTTGACATTTATATTACAATTAACGATTCAGAATTAGCGGGGCGGTGGGGTAGCCTAGTGGTTAAAGCGTTGGCTCGTCACGCCGAAGACCCGGGTTCGAATCCCCACATGGGTACAAAGTTGTCAATCCCATTTCTGGTGTCCCCCGTCGTGATGTTGCTGGAATATTGCTAAAAGCGGCGTAAAACCAAACTCAGTCAGTCAGTCAGAATTAGCGACCAGACATTTGGACAAATTAATAGTATAACTGATATCATAATAACGTATGAGTCTAACGTACCGGAAACAGGGACGTTAAATATCATATAGCAGGTATTCGTAAGGGCTCGCTAAATGCACTTAATTAATGTACAATGTATACACTAGTATACATGTCTTGGTAACTGACAAGTGTGCTGGCCTTTAGCATGGTATTCTCCAGAGGTCTAGGGCTACAATCAGTCACCGTTTACAACATTAATAGTATCCAATAATCATAAAATTATTAGTAAATGTGACTTTTGTGTACCCAACCCCTTATCGATGGCGACTTTCTTACCAGTTATAGTTGAGTGGTTTCCCCGTTTATAGCTTCAGACCGATATTTCATTATCACTCGTGTTCATTTCAGGTGGTTGCTGGCACGAACTACTTCCTGAAGATCCGCGTGAGTGATGGAAGCCAGGTAGGTTTCATGTTAAATGAATTTGTCGCGTTTTTATGTGTAAATATCTTTCATAAACCCATCATATTACTCTAGTTCAGGGTAAGTCCAGCCACGTGTCCTGGTCATTTAATGGAGCACTGTGTTTTCCAGACTCAGATCTGTGATGTGACCATCTGGGACCAGCCTTGGTCATACATGACCCAGCTGACCCACCATAGCTGTGTTGACGTCAAAAAGCGGGACATCGCGATGCCCGGCGGTTTCACCGACGTGGACGTCAACAGTACTGGAGTAAGGAACATGACCAACTTTGCCCTGGGCGAGATAAACAAACTGTTTAGTGAACAGTTGAGCCTAATAGAAATCATCTCAGCTAAAACTCAGGTAAGACCAGCATATTGTGTGTTAGTTGTAGTAATGAACGTTACTATGTATTGAGTAATTAAAATTGAGAGGGTATCTCTGACATAAGTATGGTACAGGTTGTATAAACAATGTATTATATATTGATATAACTTGTCATGTCTTTGAACTTTGCAAAATTATGTCGAGTTCTGTTTGATGACTTAAGAATGCTCTCTCATGGTATTGGGCAAGAATCAGTAATCGTGTACAAAGTACTTAGCGTACTATTATTAAAGCATTATTTATAAGTGTCTAATTTTGTGCGCGTTCCGTCTACATTATGGATGAAAATCTTTGGTTTTCATCTTGTAAAGGTTCTCTCAGGTATTGATTATATATCGTAATAAAGAGATCTCAGTCTTCTCTGTCGTCAACATAACAGTGTTATTTGGCATCAGGTGGTTGCTGGCATCAACTACTTCCTGAAGTTCCGCGTGAGAAATGGAAACCTGGTATGTTTCATCAATATTTCCTTCAAGCTTTATACTACTCTAGTTCCACTTTTTTCCTAGGACTCATATTTGTGTCCGGTCAATACATTTAACCACTCGTCCTGGTCTTGTAATGGACGACTGTGTCCAATCAGTTCATCTAACCACTCGTCCTGGCCGTGTAATGGACGACTGTGTCCAGTCAGTGCATGTAACCACTCGTCCTGGTCTTGTAATGGACGACTGTGTCCAATCAGTGCATCTAACCACTCGTCCTGGTCGTGTAATGGACGACTGTGTCCAATCAGTGCATGTAACCACTCGCCTTGGTCGTGTAATGGACGATTGTGTCCAATTAGTTCATCTAACCACTCGTCTTGGTCGTGTAAAGAATCTGGTTGTACATCTGACCACGAATATAATCTTGATTCTGTGTGTATATATTTGTGTGTTTGCAGAATGAAATCTGTGATGTTACAATCTCGGAGCAGTTATGGACCCAGGCGACCAAAATGACCCATAGCAGCTGCACTAGTGTGGGGTCCAAGCGGGATATCTTGATGCCCGGCGGTCTGACCAACGTGGACATCAACAGTACTGAAGTCAGAGACATGGCCAGCTTTGCCCTGGGCGAGATCAACGGACTGCAGGGTGCCCAGAACACTATGGAACAAGTAATCTCAGCTAAAGCTCAGGTGAGACGAGTGTTGTGCATGGTAAACTGGTATTGATTAACGCCTTAAGGTATGGAGATCTTGTGTTGATAGACTTTATGATAGAGGCAGCTTAACAATCTTAGTTTGTGCAATGCATTTTTCTGTTACACATAATTCGACACATTCACCCCAAACCCAAAGCCTACTTGTGCCAGAATCAGAATACAACCTGTGTTATATCTGAGCCACGTATTATGATAGGTCTCCGGGTCTTTACATATGTTATTTCTGAAGCAGCATGTACTGTCAGGGCCAAGGCCTCTGAGATCTACAGTACACTCAATGAACAATACACAGTCCTTGGATATTTGGCTTGCCCCCACTGAGGGACTTGTACGCCCCTCTACACGGAGTTCTTGTTACGTTTCAGGTTGTTTCTGGAATGAACTACATGCTGACCATACGTCTGAAGGAAGGGTACAAGGTGGGTCATCTTTATTATCAGTTTAAAATGTGCCAGAAACATTTTAAAACTAAATGTCTCGGGGTGAGGTTCTGTATGTAGATCCATACTAATTTGTGCACTTGTTGTAAGCAGTTAAACAAATGCAACGCTACACCTGTACAGCTATACCGTTACGGTACACCTGTCATTGATCATCAAGTTTCCTGTCCAGCGAAAACTCCAAATCAATAATGTTACGTTGGAGGGGTAGTTCCAAGCATTTTGAGAGGTACAAATTCAACACAACACATATAAGCTATATCTGTATACTACACCTGTCACCTGATCATTAAACACCTGTCTACCCTCAGAACCAGATCTGTTATGTAGATCCATGCTCATTTGTACACTTATTTTAAGCATTCTCAGAGGTACAAATTCTACGCTACACCTGTCCAGTTATATCATTGTGCTGCACCTGTCACCTGCTCATTAAGTCACCTGTCTACCTCCAGACCCAGATCTGCTATGTGAAGATCTGGTCCCAGCCCTGGCTCCACAGGAAGGAAATGACGGAGCACAGCTGTAGCCAGGTGACCAAGCGTGCTGGGGGTCTTCTCGGGGGTCCCACCGGTGTGGACGTCAACAGTGCAGAGATTCAGGAAGTGGCCAACTTCGCTGTCACGGAGATCAACGGAATTCAAGGGGCACAAAACTCTCTGGTCAAAGTTGTCAACGCCAGAAAACAAGTACGGACGTTTCTCTTAATGCGTGTCTTGAACCAGTCAAAGAACACTTTATAGACATTGGGTTTACCAATTAGATTGACAGGAAACCATATAGGATATTCTGAACGACAACATTAACGTTCATGTGGAACGTCTCTTTGCGTGTTGATACACAATCATCATATAATATCATTGTGGCCATTTTTTGGATTCCCTCGAGTAGAGTATTTAAGTTTCTGAAAACGTTTTTCTTTCAGATCGTCTCAGGTATTAACTACATCCTTACCCTGAACCTTCAAAATGGAGATAAGGTGAGCTGAGATATTCGTTTTCATAAGTTTTAACTTGAACCATGGCCATGTTTTTTCGCAAACAAAGAATCGGGGAATATAACATTTCCGATTGTGACATTTTAAAAATTATTTGTTATTTGTGATGGTGCTATAGGTCTTTTGTTTCTTTGCTGCAGCGTATGACGTGCAGGGTGGCGGTCCTGTACCAGGCGTGGAGTGATCCTAAGTTTCAGCTGCTCTCTGATACCTGTGGACAACTCGCCTAGGTATGCAAAGCAAGTTTTGTATTTAGAGACAAGGATATAGGTGAAGTTAGTTTTAGTAATTCTCAGACAAAGCATTATTTGGGCTTCATTCTGATTGGTTTGCTTTTTCCAATTGTTCCTTTGTTTTTCATTGTTTGTAAAGGTGTCGATTGTTCATGACGTCATAGTTGATTATATTTGAAGTGAACTGAGTCTTCAAAGGAAACCCACATGATTTTAAATATTCACGAAAAATTCACCCCAACTCACCGCATTAGCATGGAAAAGGTCCTGTCGCGTGGCGTCGGGCTATACACACTTGCTTGTTACCAAACTGTGTGAATGGTGGGTGCTACCAGAAGGTCAGGACATGCTTGTCCTTTTTTGCGAACACCTGGTGTCATACTGATTTTCAGTGGCCATTCATATAAGTTTCGCAACTATTTTGCCCGAAACACCAAATGGAATCGGTGTCTGGGAAAAGTCAAGACTGGGGATTCTTTTGCTTTGACGTTCAGTTTTGTTTTCTTTCTAACGTAATATATTGAACTCTATTCGACCTAGGTGACATTTATTGTCGAAATATACAAACCTGTAGAGGTTATGAATTCTTTGAAGAAAGTCCTCCTTGGGGTACTTATAAGCATTAAAATGTCCATTTTAAAAGCCTACGACAGTTGTAACTATATTTTAATAAAACATATTTACAAAACGAAAAAACACGTTCTGCGTTATGAGACCACCCCTACAGGGCCCCCGCGGGGCCCCCTACCAGCAAGAGCAGGTAACTCTAGCCGACAACCTCGCACCTCACTTTTCATGCTGAACGGATCAGACAGAATGAGGGGAGGCGGGTGGCCGTACCCCAAGGAGGACTTTCTTCAAAGAATTCATAACCTCTACAGGTTTGTATAAATTTTTGCAAATATTTTGCCCTTTACACCAAATGGAAAGTCAAGACTGAGTATTCATTTCCTTTGACGTTTAGTTTTGTTTTCGTTCAAACGTTATTTATAAAACTCGAAGTATTCAACCTAGGTCGTCATTTAATGTCTGAATGTGTGCCTTGTTCCAGGTCTCTGGTGATAATCTTTGTTAGATAAGCACTCCCGAAACACAGATAGTTGTCCAGGTCAGACCTGTGGAACACATGTTTGATGAAAATATATTACATCGTTCGGTCCTCTTATATCACAACATCAAAACACTTTCTAAACAGATACCTTTGTGTAGACCACGTATTATTCTGTTTGTTTGAATTCTATTTCAGATGGCTTCCAGTCGGTCCATGGATAAATATGTCTACGTGCATCCTCTTCAAATGAATTGCTGTATTCTTGTCAAAATACAGTGTTGTTATTTTATGTTGTTCATGTTTTTGTTTACAAATAAACATTTTGCACTAAATACCACTTGATTGTATCTGTTTTTAAGCACAGATACGTAGGATAGTTTTGTAAATGCATCAAATCTTTCCAAAATACTCCTTCCCCTACCGTGGGTAAAAGCAGTCCGTTCGGAATGAAGCAACACGTCTCTGATCAGTATCAATAATCATTAATAAAAATAGCATCCCACATAGTGACACACAAACGTTTTCACGGTGACATCCCAAAAATCAATCCAAAGACAAGTACATGTACATGATGTATCAAATCATTACTAAGACATGTTATGTAGGACATACAATGTACAAGTTAATGAGTAGCAACGTGGATAAATACAAGACCATGGACTGAATAGATAAAGTACACCACATCTGTGCGAGATATATCCCCAGCATGAAACCTGATCAATTCCATTGTTCTTTGTAGAAGATTGTTGAGATTGTAGAGAGCCATTGATTATTTTTTTACAAGCAAGTTCATTTGAAAATGGGCATGTACCACTGCTTAAACCTTAACAGAAGGCTGTTATTGGTTTCTTTGGCTAAATGTTCGTAAAGCCAGTGGTCCTGATAATATGTCGGGTTTTGTTTACAAAGAGTGTAGAGAGCAGTTGTGTGGTATTTAAAAAAAGCCCAATTAAAACTGCTGAAATACAGCGTATTGTGCTTGTATATAAGACACTGTTGAATGATAATATATTCTGGTAACCATATTTTCAACACGATTATTCAGCATTTTCTCATCGCCTTTTTACTCTATAAGACTTATCGGGGTTACAAGGTTAATTGCCTCTGAACATTTTTCAAAAATCATTTTGGTAGGCAGCTGGAGGACATTTCCACATTTAACGCATCAGTAGCCAAAATGATGTCTGGTGCAATTCCCAACTTAACTTGCACCTGATGTCCTCTTGTTTTGGTGAACAATTGATTTGGCTTTGCAAGTGTTTGTAACGGGAACCACTTATAGGCTGGATACATCAGAGCTGTTGGAATATTGCTCGACGTAAAAGAAAACTTTCAAACAGCCGTGCATACCTTTTGTCATACAGATCTAGATGGTGTCTTTTTATGGATGGTTTTGTCACTCTGAATCATTGTCGCTCTTTATCACTCGTCTGTGTTATTTCAAGGTCAAGTTGGCTAGGTGACCAGTATTTCACTTTGCCAATTCTCGCAAGTGTCTAAGCTTGTCCTTGATCATTCATGTTGTTTAATCCAGTACCACCTACGCCTCCATAAAATTACCATATAACAAGTAAACGAATTTCCGGCAAGTTTGTTTGAGTGGCATACTAGAATTTGGTGGCATAGAGATAACACAACTCTATGGATGATCAACGTGTTTATTTGTCACAGAAGTGACGTTCCGGTATAGCTTCCTATACCGTTTTCAAGTATATGCTACAGTGACAAATAAAGAAGTTGATAATCCATAAGTTTTGTCATCTCGAATTTCCGGTATAATGACATCGCTTCCGGGTTGGGGCGGCACATGTCTGATGTATTATAACTTCTCAATACAAATCTCCATGCCTGTAGCAACAATAACAGCAATGTCATGAGCCCAGTACCTGTGCACTTCGGCTTTGCAAACATGTTGCTCAGTGCAGTAAAACTTCGAACCGGAGAGTCCTTTCCTTGTCAATGTTACAACCACTTCCGGTTTCCGAATAGAAAGCAAATGGAGAGCGGGAACGATACTCTCCTACCCAGAGTTCCATGCGGCCAGCCAGCATAGTACCTCTGCCACAGGCCAGAAAGATGTGACGATTCGTCACTTCTTACACAGTCCATTTAATATAATGAACATATTTCTTAACTCTTTATTTTTTACGAGTCTACACATCTAATTCTACATCTTTGATAGAATGGTTTAGTTTCACTGAGAAAATATCCTAAAACATGTAACACTATTTCGATTTGCGTAGCGATCCTTTGTTTACATATAGGTTGTAAACGTGCTGTCATCGAAGCCGACGGAGAGCAAACGATGCAGCCAGTTTTATGTATAAATATGTACTGTCACAAACCTTACTGTCGCAGTTGTGGAAGAATATATATGTAACAATGTAAGACATTGTGAATTGATTGACTCTCCCATTACCGGTAAAGGTGAACGAATATTATTTCCACCGATCGTTTTCACCTTGGACCAGATACTAGTTAATGATGTAAATATATTAATATTAGACATATATTCCCTCCAGCTCAATCGTTTTGTACTCCGTACAATACGTTGAAAAGTAGCTCGTTTCTTACGAAAATCAGCCAAATCACATGGCAATGACGAGTGGCGAACCTTATTATATGCCTTTTTCCTTGCGATACTGGCTTTTTCACAGCTGTCATTCCACCAGGACTTTGGCGGGAATGCCACTTTCTTACCAGACAATTCTTATTAATTGTGTTGTGATATTTTCATGAGACATATTAACATCACCATTTATAAGATCGGATGTGATATTGAACATACAGACTAGAAAAAAGTGCCCAATTAGCTATCTTGAATTTCCACCGAGGGACATTATCACAAGAATCACGATATGGTCGAAGCTGAATTTCAGTAAAAACAGGAAAATGATCACTGCCTAACGTATCTTCCTGAAATACATCCCAGTTACACTTACTGGCTATGTGTGATGATATCATTGATAGATCTAAAGGAGAAAGAGTCCATTTGCCAAGATCTATGCGGGTCATTTTACCATCGTTTAAAAGGACAAGATCTGCTTCATCTAAATATTGTTCAACAATCTGACCATTATAATCCGTCTTGTTGCTTCCCCTAAACATATTATGGCTGTTAAAGTCCCCACATATAAAGTATGGGCCTCCATTGGGATCAATTAATTTCAGATATTCATCTACGTTTGGCTTACCTGTATTTAAATATTAATAATAGTAATGGCTTTATCTTCCTCACTTTACTGCGTAGCCTCATACACTGTATTTGGTAATAAGGAAGACAACCTTTTCCTTACAGGGTTGTGCTCTCAGATTACCAACCTCATATTTAATAATTACTCACGTAAAAAATATTTTATTCAACATTCTAAGCGCCAATCGTGCCATGTCAAATCGTTCTTCGCCTCCATTACCCCTGCCGACTTCCGGTTCAACGGAGTGAAGGAACAGGGGGGTTAAATCTAAATATACTTGTTGAATCATGTCCGCCATATGGAATACTTTCGGAGTTTCCTCCCCTGCTTCATTCACCCACTACGTCAGAAGTGTTTTTTGTAGACGTGTTACAAAAATGGTTGTATTATAAGAAATATAATCTCCAACACTCTAATGGTAAAATTAGGCATTAGTACATTTCTTTTTAATTTCTGCTTATTCTTGTTACTTCACTCCGTTGAACCAGAAGCTGTGTCCTGTAAAATATTTTCAATTTAGACTCGAAGACGTACAGTCAGTGGCCAAAAGTCTGTTCGCATCAGTGACGTCACGGCTATTTCTAGCGGAGTCGGGTCCCCTTTTAAAATTCCCGCATCTATGTAAATAATAATGGTACTCACCTCAAATTTTCAGAATTTAGAGATATGACCCTGTGCTCTTATGACATCCCGGAGTCGTCTTGGCAAACTGTCATAGACGACGAATGTAAACGGAACTTATTACGCGAAACGTATCTACGGAACAGACCGCCTCCGTGGTGTAGTGGTTAGAGCGTCCGCCCGGAGAGCGGAAGGTCGCGGGTTCGATCCCCGACCACGTCATACCAAAAGACGTTAAAATATGGTACTTGTTGGTCCCTGCCTGGCGCTTGGCATTAATTGGTACAACAAGGACTGGTCGGTCGGAGTCAGTATAATGTGTTTGAGTGGGGTATCCATGCTTCAGTGCGGCTTGGTATCACAGTGGGCTAGCACTAGGGGTGTATTGCAAGGATTATTTTTTTAAACAAAAACTACTTATAATCGAGTTAATGATTGATTATAAAGCAAAAACACAACAAAATCACTATGATTGATTAACCTTTTATAAAAACTTTTAATCATGACAAAATAAAAATGTAAGTAACATTTGGCACTAATGAAACAGGGAAAAGAACAATTCAAAAAACGGAAATATCCGAAGATTTCCGAGTGTTAGGAAGTTTTCCGAATGCATGTCAAAATACCGGTTTTCGATCAGCGTATCGCAATACGTATCGTTTTCATGTCTGAACCGGTAAGTACCGGTAAACAGGTTATATTGCGCAGCCCTAGCTAGCACTGTAAAACCAGCTTCAGTCTGGGCTAGTACAAGCAGCCGCACCTACACATACACACACGCATGCACGTCGTCATATGAGCGAAATATTCTCCAGCGCGACGTTAAACCCAATTTCACCTCACCTCACCTCTACGGAACAAGGTATGTTAAACACTGTGTTCTGTAAACTATTTTCATTTCAGAGACTAGACGTAGAATACTTATTGATCATTGAAATCCATAAGAACAAGTAGAAATGGTCCCACGTCGGAGGTGGTTCCCAACCTCTCAGCACTAAATGACCAATAAACCTAAAACAAATAAGAATTTGTATTATCTGAGTAAAGTTGTGAAATACCGACCACGTTTTCCTCGTCTGTCACAGGCCCATACCACAACAAGGTTAAATCTGCGTCAGAGATAAGACGAGAAAACATACTGCTCCCCAAGAAATCCATGTACAGATATAGCTGTCTATGGCATATGCACTATTGATTTAATTGATAAATTAATATAATTATATTACCAAATCTCTAGATTTGAGAGGCGATGTTTACTGATATGGCTTATTCGTTTAATATATTGCCTATTGTGCCGCAAATGAACCGATAAGAGACAGCATGCAGTGATAGGTAATAGTCATGTTTCTGTGCAGCCTTATCTTTAAGTGTGCAAGGTTGCAGTAACCCTTGTCGTGTTCTGTGAAATGACATTCAAACATCACCATGAAGTGATTCAAGGAATATCTAGTAATCGTTCTGTCATTCATGGTGTTATGAATATTAAGAAGTAAGATGATGAAATTTTAGCCGGAAGTAGATGTTTCACTATGTTAAAAAAACAACAGGTAAAGGTTATCGCCGACAGCGTCGACAACAATCAACAATCACCCACAACCAACCTTGGGACACAACAGCTGAACGTGGCACGAATTTCACATATATATCCAGAAGTCATTTCAGTCGGTATCATAGTTGCACTTTACTTCCATACAGAATGAACATACTAGCTCTGGTGTTGGTGGTGCTACCACTGGCCGCGTGTCAACTCATCGGCGGCCCCATGACTGTCGACGTGAACAGAGACGACATTCAGCAGATGGCAAGCTTCGCACTTACCCAGCTCAACACACTCCTTGGATCACAGAACACTCTGGTGTCTGTTGTGCAAGCTAAAACTCAAGTAGGTGTCAATGTGCCTTTCTAAAACTCTGCAAATAATTTGGGACCATAGCTTACCTGGTCATAAGCCTAAGGCATTGTCCGCGGTCCGTTCGTCTAAACTTCACTTTTTGAAAGCGTATATTTGATTTTTGCACCCAAGCGTGTACATGCGTTTTAAATGTATGTCTTCAAATAGCAGCAAAATGAATATTTGGCTTGCCTCGACATAATCAACAAAGACACTTATGGAATTTCAGGATCATTTTGGGCTGATCCATAAATCCAGAATCACAAGCTTGGCGCAGTACCAAAAACATTATGATTGAGATACTTCGCCTTATCCGATTTCGATACACACACAGTTGACTGTATACACACTGAGATTATTCTTCTGCGTGACAGGTTGTCGCAGGCATCAACTACTTTCTGTCTCTCGAGATAAAGAACGGACAGGAGGTGAGTTCCATTCAGATATTTACACCTTCACTGAAATATGCCTTCCTGCACTCACTGGATAGTGTATTTACCCATGAAACAGAACCGTAAGTGAATATTAAGTTAATGTTCATCACTTGAAACATATATAGCTGTTAACATGTGACGTTCTGAATAATTCTCCCACTCTCACTCATCACGTCTGCTGTCAGAAGGGCAGAACACGACGACCTGTACATCACCATCTGGCGACATCATCAACGGCTTTTGCTTCTGCCCTGTCTCCACAATTCTGTGGGAACGAGATGCGGATTTTGTTGGAGCGCATCACTCGGTGTCTTATAGTGTTACATTGTATTTAACCATATCCCAGCCATTTTGGGAAGGGGGCACCGAGAATGCGCCTCACACATGTGTGGTCTTCAGAGGATTGAACGAACGCTTCATCCACGTGTCTACCACACTGCCGGTGACGTGTTACAGCATACATCTTGTAGTTTATTTAGAGACCTTGTTTAATCAAATTAAGGATATTAAACTACAGCGGTAGTCATCGATAGTACAGTCGGCATCAAAAGTGACACGAGTCTGGAGCAAAGAAACAGGTGCCTATCCATCCTCCCGAGAATAGCCGTCTGGACTATATACTTCAGATTCTATATAAGAGGCCCATGGTTGCGATGTTTCAGATCCATGAACCTGCAGCCTCGGTACAGTCGGTATCAAAAATACAATCGGGCTGGAATAGGCAAACAGGTGCGCTCGAAATTACACAACCTGTCCTTCCGAGAACAAACGTTTTAATAATTTACATGACAGATCCTTTATAATAGGGGTATGATCGCGGTGTTTCAGACCCAGACCTGCACTGTCACCGTCTGGTCCCGTGTCTGGCTCAACGACACACAAGTTACCCAGCATGCATGTACTTCACGCACCAAGCGGGACGGACTCTTTGGTGCTCCGACCTCTGTCAACGGCACCGGTCCAATCATCTTGAAAATGGCCACCTATGCGGTGACTACGCTGAACAGGCTACAGGGGACTGTCAACAGTCTGGACCAAGTCATCTCAGCCAAGATCCAGGTATGTCGGTGGTACAGTGCTACAACTTGACATTTATATTACAATTAATTATTTACAGACCGCCGCCATATAGGTGGAGTATTGCTGATTGCGGCGTAAAACTACTCACTCACTATAAGAAGCGTAGTTTAGGCATTTTACGGGTGTTTTCAACCTGGGAGATATAAACTGCTTAGATATTTAGCAAGGACCACTGTCGTGATATTAGTTTCTATATCTGTAGTTGTAGACCAGTAGCATTTGGACGATAAATGTCAGAAAATGATACCATATTGCATATTGCTGCTTTAGTAGTCCCATTACGAAAAGCTAAGATATGCTAGGTTGACCTAAAGCAAACGTGACGTTCACAGACGTGACGTGACGTGCCATAGACTAGAGTAGTATCCCTTTGATAAAGGGCAATAACTCAAGCAGGCAGACCAATGCATTGACCTGTTGGAAATTGTCTGGATGGCTATATTTTAGTTACGTCACTATCATAAAGGGCAATTATATTTGAAGGAACAAAACCCAAAAACGTTCACGCAATACTCATAGGAAGTGGTTTAGTGTCCGCGTGAAAGGACACGCTACGGAATCGGTCTTTCGGTCTTGCCTACTGGCTGCCGGCGCCGCGGAGAAAATGTTTTCGTTGGCTTTTTAGGAAACTTGTATTCAGTTGACCCTTTGATTCTAAGCCCCTATATCTACATTGTTTCTTCCATGTCGATTTACTACACAAATAACAATCTTGCACACATCATACAGTGTTCGAAACGTCCTTTGATCTTAACATTGTGAATAATTAAAACAACAATTACCTATTGGTAATTACTATATGTTTTGTTACTTTAGGTTTTGGTAATAAAACACCAAAATCCGTCACACTAAAAAACCTGTCAATATCAATGTTGTTGTTTTCTGTTCTAGGAACGATTCCGCCATCCATTCTTATCGTCTATTTATCGTCAAATATTTCCCGAAGTATTAAATCGGCAAAGCTGCTCTATATGTCGGGTTTACGCAGTTGGAACTATGTTGACCAGCTGTCATGTTCCGACCGACTGACACCGTAGAGAAATATTTTCATGCACATATACCTGAAAAATGTGCGATGTTCAGACACCGCTTGTGAGTGAGTGAGTTTATTTTTACGACGCACTCAGCAATATTCCATCTATATGGCGGAGGTCTGTAAATAACAGAGTCTGGACCAGACAATCCAGTGATCAACAGCATGCGTATCGATCTACGCATTTGGGATACGATGACATGTGTCAACCAAGTCAGCGAGCCTTACCATCCGATCCCTTTGTGAGAGATGAACATAACTATTATGGTAATAGGATTAAAAATTGAAATTATTTGGGACTTTTGGGGTTTGGGATGTAGTAGGTATACTGTTTATGATGGAGTGTATGAGTGAGTGAATTTAGTTTTACGCCGATATTAGCAATATTCCAGCAATATCATGGCGGGGACACCAGAAATGGGCGTGTCGATACTTGGCAAGTGTCATAGCGTTTGGCAAGGTGACAGAGGAATGGTCTCCGGAGATCTGGGGCTACAATCAGCCAACGTTTACAAAATCAATAGTATACAATAGCCATAACATTATTAGTAACTGTGACTTTTGTGTACCCAACCCCCTTATCGATGGCGACTTCTTCATGGGTTTTTTGGTTTTTAATATCACTCTTGTTCATTTCAGGTGGTTGCTGGCACGAACTACTACTTTCTGAAGATCCGCATGAGTGATGGGAGCCAGGTATGTTTCATGTTAAATGAATTTGTCGCGTTTTTATGCGTAAATATATTTCAAAAACCCATCATATTACTCTTGTTCAGGGTTAATCCAGCCACGTGTCCTGGTCATTTAATGGAGCACTGTGTTTTTCAGACTCAGATCTGTGATGTGACCATCTGGGACCAGCCATCGTCATACATGACCCAGCTGACCCACCATAGTTGTGTTAACGCCAAAAGACGGGACATCGGGGTGCCCGGCGGTCTGTTCAACGCGGACGTCAACAGTACTGACGTAAAGAACATGGCCAACTTTGCCCTGGGCGAGCTCAACAGACTGCAGGGTTCCCAGAACAGCATAGTAGAAATCATCTCAGCCAAAACTCAGGTAAGGACAATATGTTGTGTGTTAATTGTAGTTGGTTTGTTGTTTAACGTGACACTCAGTAATAGTCCAGCTATATGGCGGCGGTATGTGAATATTCGCGTCTGAACGAGACAGTCAAGTGATCAACAGCATGAACATCGATCTACGCAATTGGGATGTGATGAATCATGGAAGACCACCGTTTGGAATACTTATATGCAACAATGTATATTCCAGCACAAGTTAAAGAATCTTCAGTTACATGCCGTTCTAACTCTGCCCCAAACGGTTCCATGGATATAACCTTCGATTTCACACCAATTATCGAAGCTTGTGAACGAACAAATGCCACGCAGTGTTATCAAAGTCCTTGCCCAAGATTACATAAACAGCAAATATCGCAATTTTACTGATATCTACACAGATGCTTCAAAAGATTCAGAAGCTTTTTTGTATTCCTGGCCTCGGTTTACCAAAAGATTTAGATTGAATAGTCATCTGTCTGTTTTTGCAGCAGATTTAACAGCTATACTTCAAGCTTGGAATGGGTAAAAGATAATGAACACGAAGCAATACTTTTCCTGATTCATTGTCAGCTGTACAGGCCATTCAAACAGGTGTACACGGTCAACGCTGTGAGACATTACATGACATCATGTATCTTGACACTGTTTTAAACTCCATGTACATCAGCTGTGATATTGGTTGCATTCCAGCTCATGTTAGTTTATCTGGAATCGAAGAAGTAGACAAACTTGCTAAGATGGCTTGCAACAGCCAGCAGTCAGATGTTGAATCTATTAAGCCAATTCCAAGAGATTGCTTGTTTGTCATTTCATCTTCCATGAATGGATCTTGGAAAAAGAAATGGGGAAATGAAAGACATGTACTCTGCTTGTCCAGTAGAAACAAACAGTTTACAATTCGTCGGCGTTGTCATAGAGATGAAGTTGTTTTGACTCGCCTCAGGCTAGGCCATTGTGGCTTGGATGCATATAGAAGTATTTTAGATAAAGACGTCTCACTGTAACTTACACTGCCCACAAACGGTTCAACACTATGTCATTGAATGCCTAGGGCATGAAATGCCACCACGTCAGGATCTGAAAGTATTTGTGCTTAACAGAACCAAAATTGTTTTTTACAATGAACTTAATACTCGAGGAACTTTGAGTGTATGGTTGCATACAAAGAGCTGTGTTAGACGTCCTCATTCGAACGGGGAAGTTTGATCTCATTTAACTGAACATAAGAACAACAGTTTGTTACATGTTTGCTTATAGGCCAGTTTGGGTAGTAATCCACCAGCTGTCGTCACAGTAAATGCGTGTCAATATATTATTAGTATTATTGTTTTGTCAGGATACTATTCCGTCATTCATTTTAATCGTCAGTTTATGGTCATTTCCGTTTTCCAAATCTGATGAAATATAAAATACGTGTGATTAAGTATTCCTTGAATTATTACATCTACAAAGCTGCTCTATATTTCGGGTTTACGCAGTTGGAACTATGTTGACCAGCTGTCACGTTCCGACCGACTGTCACCGTGGAGTAATATTTTCATGCACATATTCCTGAAAAATGTGCGATGTTCAGATATCGCTTGTGATAGAGGAACATAACTATTATGGTGATAGGATTAAAAAAATTAAAATTATATGGCGCCTGCAGTGTTTGAGATGTTAAATTTTCCTATATCACGGGTTAACACCAAGGTTCACTAAGTAAATTTATTGTACAATGTATGCAATAATAATACATATCTTGGCATTTGACAAATGTCACAGTGTTTGTCATGGTAACAGAGGAATGGTTTCCGGAGGTCTGGGGCTACAATCAGCCACCATTTACAAAGTTATTAGTGTACAATAATTATACCATTAATTGTAAATGTGCATACCCAATTGCATTATCGATTGCAACTTTCTTTTTGTTTTGGTTGATTGGTTTCCCCGTTTATAGATTTTGTCGGATATTTCATTATCACTCGTGACCGCCTCCGTGGAGTAGTGGTTAGAGCGTCCGCCCGGTGAGCGGAAGGTTGCGGGTTTGATCCCCGATCGCGTCATACCATAAGACGTTAATAAACGGCACTTGTTGGTCCCCGCCTGGCACTCGCCATTAATGGGTACAACAAGGACTGGTCGGCTCGGAGCCAGTATAATGTGTCTGAGTGGGGTATTCATGCTTCACTGCGGGATGGTATCTCAGTGGGCTAGCACTATAAAACCAGCTTCAGTCTGGGCTTGTACAAGCAGCCGCACATACACAGGCATGCACGTCGTCATATGAGCGAAATATTTTCAAGCACGATGTTAAACCCAATTTCACCTCACCTCACAATTATCACTCGTGTTCATTTCAGGTGGTTGCTGGCATGAACTACTTCCTGAAGATCCGCGTGAGTGATGGAAGCCAGGTAGGTTTCATGTTACACAAGGTGTCACTTAGTTGAGATTTCTTGCAATTATTGAAATGAATGTGTTGCGTTTTGTAAATATATCTCATAAACCCATCATATTACTCTTGTTCAGGGTAAGTACAGCCACATGTCCTGATCGAGTGATGGATCACTATTTGTTTTCAGACTCAGATCTGTGATGTGACCATCTGGGACCAGCCTTGGACACAGATGACCCAGATGACCCACCATAGTTGTGTTAACGCCAAAAGGCGGGACATCGGGGTGCCCGGCGGTCTGTTCAACGCGGACGTCAACAGTACTGACGTAAAGAACATGACCAACTTTGCCCTGGGCGAGCTCAACAGACTGCAGAGTGCACAGAACAACATAGTAGAAATCATCTCAGCCAAAACTCAGGTAAGGCCAATATGTTGTGTGTTAATTGTTGTAGTTGGTTTGTTGTTTAACGTGACACTCAGCAATAGTCCAGCTATATGGCGGCGGTCTGTGAATAATCGCGTCTGAACGAGACAGTCAAGTGATCAACAGCATGAACATCGATCTACGCAATTGGGATGTGATGAATCATGGAAAACCACCGTTTGGATTACTTATATGCAACAATTTATATTCCAGCACAAGTTAAACAATCTTCAGTTAAATGCCGTTCTAAATCTGCCCCAAATGGTTCCATGGACTCTACCATAACATTCGATTTCACACCCTTTATCGAAGCTTGTGAACGAACAAATGTAACCCAGTGTTATCAAGGTCCTTGCCCAAGATTACATAAATAGCAAATATCGCAATTTTACTCATATCTACACAGATGCTTCAAAACATTCCAGAACTGGTCATGTTGGAGAAGCTTTTTATATTCCAGGCCTCGGTTTATCCAAAGTATTTAGATTGAATGATCATCTGTCTGTATTTGCAGCAGATTTAACAGCTATACTCCAAGCTTGAAATGGGTGAAATATAATGAACACAAAGCAATACGTTTTACTAATTCGTTGACAGCTGTACAGGCCATTCAATCAGGTGCACAAGGTCAACGCTGTGAGACATTATATGACGGGGAAGTTTGATCTCATTTAACTGAACATAAGAACAACAGTTTGTTACATGTTTGCTTATAGGCCAGTTTGGGTAGTAATCCACCAGCTGTCGTCACAGTAAATGCGTGTCAATATATTATTAGTATTATTGTTTTGTCAGGATACTATTCCGTCATTCATTTTAATCGTCAGTTTATGGTCATTTCCGTTTTCCAAATCTGATGAAATATAAAATATATGTGTGATTTAATATTCCTTGAATTATTACATCTACAAAGCTGCTATGTCGGGTTTACGCAGTTGGAACTATGTTGACCAGCTGTCACGTTCCGACCGACAACACCGTGGAGTAATATTTTCATGCATATATTCCTGAAAAATGAACGATGTTCAGATAGTGCTTGTGATAGATGAACATAACTATTATGGTGATAGGATGAAAAATTAAAATTATATGGCGCTTGCGGGTTTTGAGATGTAAAATTCCCTATATCAGGTATTATAACCAAGGCTTTCTTACTAAATTTATTGTACAATGTATGCAATAATAATATATGTCTTGGTATTTAACAAATGTGACAGCTTTTGGCATGGTAACAGAGGAATGGTTTCCGGAGGTCTGGGGCTACAATCAGCCACCGTTTACAAAATTATTAGTGGACAATAATTATAACATTAATTGTAAATGTGCATACCCAACTGCATTGTCGATTGCGACTTTTTTCAGGTATTGGTTTGATTGGTTTCTCCGTTTATAGGTTCGGTCGGATATTTCATTATCACTCGTGTTCATTTCAGGTGGTTGCCGGCATCAACTACTTCCTGAAGATCCGCGTGAGTGATGGAAGCCAGGTAGGTTTCATGTTAAACAAGGTGTCACTTAGTTGAGATTTCTTACAATTATTGAAATGAATGTGTTGCGTTTTGTAAATATATCTCATGAACCCACCATATTACTCTAGTTCAGGGTTAGTCCAGCCACGTGTCCTGATCGTGTGATGAATCACTGTTTGTTTTCAGACTCAGATCTGTGATGTGACCATCTGGGACCAGCCTTGGACCCAGATGACCCAGATGACCCACCATAGTTGTGTTGACGCCAAAAGGCGGGACATCGGGATGCCCGGCGGTCTGTTCAAGGCGGACGTCAACAGTCCTGACGTAAAGAGCATGACCAACTTTGCCCTGGGCGAGCTCAACAGACTGCAGGGTTCCCAGAACAGCATAGTAGAAATCATCTCAGCCAAAACTCAGGTAAGGCCAATATGCTGTGTGTTAGTTGTAGTAGTGAACGTTATTATGTGTTGAGTAAATACAATTAAGAGGGTATCTCTGACATAAAAACCGCACAGTCCTCAATGACGAGTCTTTAGTGTCCACCCTACACGGGTTTCTTCAAACGTTTCAGGTTGTTGCTGGAATGAACTATATCCTGACCATACGTCTGAAGGATGGGGACAAGGTGAGTCCTATTTCATTATTTGCATAACTGTATCAGATACATTTCAATACTGACCGTTTTTGAGGTGGCGTGCTTTATAATGCTGTGTGCATGTTACCTGACCATTATGCCTCTTAGCTGCTGTAAAACAAGACCTATATTGAGAAGCTGTCGAGTAATTCCAAGCTTTCTGAGAGGTACACAAGCAACGGTACACCGTACAGCTATATTTTTATGCTACACCTGTAACCTGATCATTAAGTTTCTAATGTACCATAACCCCGACATGTATTCTGAAGTTGGGGAGCAAAGGTACAAATTCAACGCTACACCTGTCACCTGATCATTAAGTCACCTGTCTACCTCCAGACCCAGATCTGCTATGTGAAGATCTGGTCCCAGCCCTGGCTCCACAGGAAGGAAATGACGGAGCACAACTGTAGCCAGGTGACCAAGCGTGCTGGGGATCTTCTCGGAGGCGTCCACCCTGTGAACATCAACAGTGGAGATATCAAGCAAGTGGCCAAGTTCGCGGTCACGGAGATCAACGGAATTCAAGGGGCACAGAACTCTCTGGTCAAAATTGTCAAAGCCGGATATCAAGTACGTTAATACGTCACTGCTTATATCGCCCAGAATCCAGTTGAAGAACAATTTATAGACATCGGTTTATCACATAAGTGTATAGCAATGAACATGGGATATTTGGAACACGTAATATTTGGCCCGTGCCAACTGATCATGTTCTCAATGATGGTATGCAGTTTTCTATGCGTCTAAAGGTGAGGCCTGGCTCTGTAGACCCACAGTTATCCCCATATATGTCCACTCTGGGGTGATGTTAGACTCTCAGCTTCTTGACAAGCATTGTGCACTTGAACTTCTTTCAGTGGCATTTCTAGAAAATGGCAGAGGGGCAGAAAAGGACAAATCTTTATGAATGAACAACTTCTTTATTCAGGTGATGAATCAAGTTGTACATCCATAAATGTTTGTCCTGAAGTGTCCACTAAGATACATATTCATGAAGTCTTTGTTCTTTAAGTTCCTTGGCATTTACGTTTTCAAAAATGTTTTTATTTTAGACTGTCGGTGGTTTTACCTACATCCTTACCCTCCGCCTTCAGAATGGAAATAAGGTGAGCTAAGATTTGTACCTTGAACAACTGTTGCTCTCAATTGCAAATGTTTCAATTTATGTCACAAATATAAATTTTCAGCTGTCGAATTTCATAAACTATATTAGATTGGTGGGTTAGCCTTGTGGTTTAAGCGTTCGCTCGTCACGCCGGGTTCAATTCACCACATAGGTACAATGTGTGAAGCCCATTTCTGGTGTCCCCAGCCGTGATATTGCTGGAATACTGCTAAAGGTGGCGTAAAACTAAAAAACGTACATATTCTTATCTGTGTGTGTGTATCATATACCGGTCATATCATTAACACATTTATCATTCCGTTCCCAAAGTGACACAAAAACGTGCCAAAACATTTTTGTGTTTCTGTTAGGTTGCTATAGTTATTGGTTTAAGATTTCGCTCCAGCTAAGATATTTGTAGTGCGGCTCTAAAGACCCCCGACTCACCAACTTGTGCTGTACACCCTCAGACCCAGCTGTGTGAAGTGAGGGTATGGTCCCCAGCCTGGACAAGTGCAAGGAGGTTGACAGACCACCACTGCACCGAACAAATCAAACGTCAACTTGGAGCTGTTACTGACGCCGACGTCAAGGACCAATTCATCCAGATGCTGGCACATTACGCCATCCAAACAACAAACGCGCTGGACGGTACAAACAAAACATATGTTGAACTAATTTCTGCTAAACCCAGGTACGTGTCAAAACAAATAGCTTTTGTTATCTTTAGAAGATGCCAATCTGTCCGAGAGCAGATGGCACCATGGAATACGAAATTATGAGGATCTATTTCCTGGACTTATGAACAGATAAGCTTGTTTGATGTACGATGTCGACGCGTTGTTACTACAAACTACTAAAGTAGTTCACAGATTCATACACTTAGTAATATAAGGCCACTTCCATTCCGTGGAAGATGTTTTAGATCTATTGGACATATATTGTCAAACAACTTTGTGTCGAAGTCGATACATAAATGAGAAAGACATACTGACATCGAGGTTCAATATCTTTACTTCATACGGAAGGTGGGATTAATTTGAATGCTCATAATGAATCTCTCAACTTAAGGTTGTTGCCGGGACAAACTACTTCTTCAAGATCCGCGTTCGCCAAGGAACCCACGTAAGTGTATTTATAACTTGTCAATCCTCCTTCCACCCACAGGCGGATCCGGAGTGGGGTGCAGGGACGCCCCCAGTACTGCTTGGGTGTTTTTATCACATTTTAATTTGAATAAAAGCTGTACTGGTGACAACTTACTATTTTGGATAACAATACTTTGGAATATGTGTTTTTAAAAGAATCAATCAAAAGGAGTCCCCAGATTTATTGTTACAAACTGACAAGGCATATAGAGTACTATATGGTACCAAGATTGATTGGTTACAAACCTATAACGCAATCTCATTGTGGAGTACTTACTATTTGTTACAATGTACCAAGACTTATTAGTAACAAACCTACCTGGCAATCTCGTCGTGGAGTACTATTTGTTACAAGGTACCAAGATTTATTGGTTACAAACTGACAAGGCAATCTAATTGTGGAGTACTTACTATTTGTTACAAGGTACCAAGACTTATTATAATCTGTTTGCAGTGAAAACGTACCGATGAATTTCACTGTAAACAAAAAAGTAAATAAAATTAAGTGAAATTAAGTTTGCGAATCCTCATAATTTTACCATGCCAAATGAACATTAAATCTCAGAATTTTATTCAACTTAGGATAAAAGTTGTTTAACAAACGATCATAGATTCAAATCGCTATTATTGGTTTGTATTACAAGGGGGTAAGCGCAGTAGTTGGAACAGTGAAACAAATGCACGTGCTGTACGTGATGAGCATTAACTTAGACCAACCCTACTTGTTCTCGGTGTTTCATCTAATGTGCATACCCCCTTGTAATACAAACCAATAATAGCGGTTTGAAACTATGATCGTTTGTTAAACAACTTTATCCTAAGTTGAATCTAAGTCTAGATTTGATGTTCAATTGGCAAGGCAAAGTTATGGAGGATTCGCAATCTTAATTTCGCTTTTAATCGTTTTTTACTTCATCGGTTTTTCACTGAGTGAACATTCTATAGTAACAACGTTTTCACTCGTCGTGTTACAAGGAACAAACGATTTATTGGTTACAAAACCTACCAGAGCAATCTCGTCGTGTAACAAGGAACAAAGACTTATCGGTTACAAACTGACAATGCAATCTCATTGTGGAGTACTTACTATTTGTTACAATGTACCAAGATTTATTGGTTACAAACTGACAATGCAATCTCATTGGGGAGTACTTACTATTTGTTACAATGTACCAAGATTTATCGGTTGCAAACCGGCAAGGCAATCTCATTGTGGAGTACTATATGTTACAATGTACCAAGATTTATCGGTTGCAAACCGGCAAGGCAATCTCATTGTGGAGTACTATATATATGTTACAATGTACCAAGATGTATCGGTTGCAAACCGGCAAGGCAATCTCATTGTGGAGTACTATATGTTACAATGTATCAGGATTTATCGGTTGCAAACCGGCAAGGCAATCTCATTGTGGAGTACTATATGTTACAATGTATCAGGATTTATCGGTTGCAAACCGGCAAGGCAATCTCATTGTGGATTGCTACTCTATACTTTACTATATGTTACAATGTACCAAGATTTATCGGTTGCAAACCGGCAAGGCAATCTCATTGTGGAGTACTATATATATGTTACAATGTATCAGGATTTATCGGTTGCAAACCAACAAGGCAATCTGGTTCCAAGTTAGGCAATGTGTGAGGTACTAGTAATTATTTGCACTGATGTACACACGTCTGTTTCATGGGAACTGTACGTTGACGTTACCATTATATACCCTGCTGCGTGACATCCGTATGTCGTAACAGACTCAGCTGTGTGACATCACTTTTTGGCGGCAAGTATGGATGAACTCCATGGGTCACGTGACAGAACACAATTGCGCCACGGTGAGCAGAAGAAGCCTCGGAGGTGTGGATCCCACTCAGCTCTCGGCGCCATTGCAACAAGCTGTGTCGTTCGCAGAAGATGCTTTGAACGGGAAGATGAACAACATGTTCCGGTTTGTGGTGGAGAAAGTGGAAAATATCTCACAAAAGGTTTGCCCCATTACAATTCTTCCGGCTGGGATTTTGGAGACAAAATATTGCGATTTTTTTTCTTTGAAATGAAAATTATTTGAAAGATTAATTAAATTTCACAACTCATTTATGTTTAGGACATCAAACGTTTTAAAAATGTTTTAGGTCTCAATATTACCATCAATAGTTTACTACAAGATATCATTCTTTAAAAGAATACGCCCCAGCCATCTTTACACCCTTGAAGTACGATGTATAACGAGATCACTTATCTTGTGTTAGATAGTGGTAGCTAATTGTCACTTGTCTCTCTATAGACGGAGGTGGCTACAACCTACTCACTTGACCTTCACCTTGTATCATCCACTTGCCGGAACAACGGCAACTCCTACGGCAAAGGAATCACCGACTGCACCCCCAACTACGGAATGTTGCAGGTAATCTTACATACACATTTGTGCAAAGTTCTCAGCAGCAAAGTGAAAATATCATTCGTAAGTAATGATTAATTAGGATTTGTTATTTTGGCTGGTGCTGTTAGTGGTTGTTTCTCTGATGCAGCGCATGACGTGCCAGGTGACGGTTGTGTACCGGCCGTCGAGCAGTCGCAAATATAGCCTGGCCTCCGACAACTGTGGACAGATGCAACACGTCTAGGTAAGCAGAGCAGTTTTCAGTGTCCCTTGCTCCAGGTCAGAAATGATAAAACTGCCATAGATAAGCACTCCTTCTGAACAGAGGAGCGGAACATTCGTGAGATGAACACATTTTCTGCCAGACATGTATTCACAGGTTCCACCGTTATCATTATTAGCCTGTCGTAGATTCTTTAAAAAAAGTACAATTTTAATCCCTGCACATCCGATAAGGATTTGAGGTTTAAAGTTATTCTTTTTAAATTTCAGGCTTGAGTCCAAAGTGGTAAACCAGTCGACCAAATATAGTTGTTCTCGGTGTCTCTCCAACCATCTTGTTTTAAACTGTTTTCATGCCATAACATGGTGTTGTTATTTTTTTATAGTTCATGTACATAATTTATTTAGACCATAAACAATTAACAATTTTGTAATAAACATATTTTTCTGTGTGAAATCTTCTTATTCAAATCACCTCCAAAAGAAGTTTTTTTTTGGTTGACCATGGTTGATGTCCAGAAAGGAATTGTATATTTCCATGCAGTGAAAAACATCCATAACAAAAATGCGGTCTCCCCATTCCCACTCCCAGGGACACAGTGAAGATCTAGGTTAGAATTGATCTTCAGCAACCCATGGTTGTCATAAGAAGCGACTCAGGGGATCGGGTGGTCAGGCTCATTGACACATGTCATCGTAAACCCAGTTGCGTAGATTGATGCTCATGATGTTGATCACTGGATTGTCTGGTCCAGACAGATGATTAACAGATCGCCACTATATATAGTTTGGCATGAAATGCATGTGGACCCGGGTTTTTTTTAAATATCTCTTCATCCAATGATCCAATCGATCTCAAACTGTGCAAGTGGATGTTTTGTCAGACAACCTAATCACATTGTAAATCACCGATTTTATGCATTTGTATTAAAGAATCTGTCTATGTAACTGTCAACAAAATAAACAGCAGAACGCAGATTGCTTGCAGAGGGAGGGAGCCAATGACCTGTAACAGCGGCAGTGTTGGGTCATAAAGGTCAACGTTCGTCAATGTAGGTCAGCTATGCACGTGACAGGTACGAAGAGGTGTCACAGGTCGTGAATAGGGTAAGGTGGGTGCCAACTGTTAACCATCATACGGAGTTTGTTTCTCTGAGTTGTTCAACATTAACCACAAAACCCATTAGTGAGAATTATTCTGTAGGTTAAAATCTTTAAATTTGTAATGTTAATGTCATGTTTTGTTTATGCAGTACCTAAGTGGAAATGCATTTAAAGAACACAGAAAGTATATTTACACTAAATCATTAATCGGACCACCTATGGTTAGAACTCAACAACTGTTAAAGCCCCGTTCCCTCGACACAAGAACACACACAATCATGCACACTCATTGAAGAAAAGATAGAATGAAGACAAAAGTGTTGTTTTGGTGTCGTTCACATTCCAAATTAAGCAATGCATTTCTAACAGCTTTAAGCATATAGATAGTTAATATTTATATTTTCATGATAATTTTATGTGAAATGAGTGTTTCATGTTACACTATAAGTCGTTGGAATTAGTCAGTGCTGTCATTGTTAAAAACAGTTATATTTCTTTGAGCTTATCTGGCTGAATACTATTATTATCTGTAAATATAACAACAGAATTAAACTTCATCAAGTTCACTCCATGCTTCCACAGAGGAGTCATCAGTGTCCAGACGAATGACAACTGGATTAACTGTTTGCTCCTTCAAGCCATCTTTGAGCCAGTACTCTTTCTCCACCTTCTTGACATGTTCAACACATGCATGCCAGGTGCAATGTCATGTCACATATAGCAGTGTTGAAATGTGCTTGACATCATTCAACTTGAATGATTGATTTTTCCAGGCCACTGTACTTTTAAGGTCTCCCCAGATAAGTTCGATTGGGTTGAGATCACAGTGGTACGGTGGTAATCTCAAGGCCTTATGGCCGTGTTGGCGTAGCATGTTGTCAATGTTATATGTGGGTGGAGGTTTGTTAGGTTTAATCAAAGAGTACAACTGTGGTTTAGTGGCCTTAATTGAAAATTGTATATTGTTATTTGTTAGCCATTGCTGCATATCTGACTTCTTTGTATTGGAAGTTGGGCACCTATTGTTTGGATCTCGAACACTGTGATAGGGAGCATTGTCCATGACAACAAGACTTTTGTAAGGCAGAGCTGGCAACAATTGTTCCTCAACATACTGTGTGAAAACCGTTGAGTTCATTTCTGTATGATAGTCCCTACCATCTGTGCTCTTTGACTGAAATACCAGATCACACCCAGGTAGGAATCCACGGTGGGAACCAGCATGAAGAACGATTAAACGTTCACCTTTGCCTGTTGGTATTTTCCTACCATCACTGGGATCAGTGGGTAGCCACTATCTGGCAGCAGTATGGTTTGCATTGACCCAGGTCTCATCCAGATATAGGTTCGAACCCATCCTCTCTTGCCTGCTTAATTTCTCTCAGATAGTTACACCTTATTTTCACAATATCAGATCTCTCACACATTACAAGTTTCTGGTTTGCTACCTTCTTGTACTTGTATCCAAATTTGAGCAGTAGTTTGCTTAGCATAAACCTAGAAACATTAATGCCGTGATCCTCTGCAAGGATGTGTTTTAACTTTCTTGTGGACAGGTGTTCATTTCTAGCAAATAGCCGGTGAATGACATCTCTGATGACCCTGATGTCAAAAGAATCTAACTTTGGATGCCTACCTTTTTGTACAAGGTTTTGTTTCTTGGTTGTTGGTTTATTTTTCACAATTTTTAGCACGATGTTCTTTTTCATGCCAAGAGCAAAAGTTGTACGTTTCATGTAAACTATAGCTGGAACATTGCTGAGTGCTGCGGTAAATAGTGAGTGAGTATGACATTACGCCGCTTTTAGCAATATTACAGCACTATCACAGTGGGAGACACCAGAAATGGGCTTCACATATTGTACCCATGTTGGGAATCGAACCCGGTTCTTCGGCGTGACGAGCGACCGCTTTAACCACTAGGCTACCCCACCTCCCCGCTGGGTTAAATAACAAACAAAACTCGGGATATAGACGGTCGGTATTAGCTCCCCTTTGTGCTCTTAACTGGCAGCTTGAAGTACCTGTTCCCGAGATGGTGAATGCCCCCTGATTCAAGAACAAGAAAGGAATGCCACTCATCACAGTTGTGTGAGGTAACAGATGCCAATAGATTATTTTTGCTTTCCTTGTTTTAGTTAGCAGAGCAAAAAACATAAGTAGGGCAGATGTCTCAACGTAAATGTTGCATCAGCAGCCAAATTAGCATCAGAATTAAGGTCTTCAAGCTCTACAAAACCATCATCATGAACATTAGATGTGGTCCCCAATCATGAAAAGTAACATCCTCAAACTCTACAATACCATCCTGAACAGTAGAAGTTGTATTCGATAATATGGAGTAACATCTTCAAGCTCTACAATACCATCCTGAACAGTAGAAGTTGTCTCCGATCATAAGAAGTAACATCTTCAAGCTCTACAATACCATCCTGAACAGTAGAAGTTGTCTCCGATCATAAGAAGTAACATCTTCAAGCTCTACAATACCATCCTGAACAGTAGAAGTTGTCTCCGATCATAAGAAGTAACATCTTCAAGCTCTACAATACCATCCTGAACAGTAGAAGTTGTCTCCGATCATAAGAAGTAACATCTTCAAGCTCTACAATACCATCCTGAACAGTAGAAGTTGTCTCCGATCATAAGAAGTAACATCTTCAAGCTCTACAATACCATCCTGAACAGTAGAAGTTGTCTCCGATCATAAGAAGTAACATCTTCAAGCTCTACAATACCATCCTGAACAGTAGAAGTTGTCTCCGATCATAAGAAGTAACATCTTCAAGCTCTACAATACCATCCTGAACAGTAGAAGTTGTCTCCGATCATAAGAAGTAACATCTTCAAGCTCTACAATACCATCCTGAACAGTAGAAGTTGTCTCCGATCATAAGAAGTAACATCTTCAAGCTCTACAATACCATCCTGAACAGTAGAAGTTGTCTCCGATCATAAGAAGTAACATCTTCAAGCTCTACAATACCATCCTGAACAGTAGAAGTTGTCTCCGATCATAAGAAGTAACATCTTCAAGCTCTACAATACCATCCTGAACAGTAGAAGTTGTCTCCGATCATAGAAGTAACATCTTCAAGCTCTACAATACCATCCTGAACAGTAGAAGTTGTCTCCGATCATAAGAAGTAACATCTTCAAGCTCTACAATACCATCCTGAACAGTAGCAGTTGTCTTCGATCATAAGAAGTAACATCTTCAAGCTCTACAAAACTATCATGATAAACAGTAGCAGTTGTCTTCCAGAAGTAAGATTGAGAAGCTCTACAGAACTGCCATATTAGTGTATATTCACTTAGTCCATAGACGACACATCAATGCATTGTCCTGGTGGAACAACACACCTCTTCTGTGTTCCACATGTGGCCTTGATATTCTCATGCTGATTTGTGGAAGGAGTACAGCAGCCAACGTTAGCCTGCAGCCATGTTGGAACTTCTTCTCTTTCGGATGCAGTTTGAATATATGGTTTAGTTTATGTATCTTTTCTCCACCAAACGTGTTTCAGTGGGCGTTTCAGATGGTTGATGAAGAAGGTCTCCACAATTATGATCCTGCTTCTGATGCAGACCTAGAAACACTGGTGGCCTGTGTTTTTCGCTTGATATTTTCCAGGCATGAAAAAGGTTGTGGAAGCTGCTGTAAAATATGTCCGATCTTGGCTGGCCCAATGTGAGATCCAGGTGTAAGAGTCTTCCCACCCAACTCATGGAAGGGTGTTCACCCCTAGGGATAGAGGATTTGGTACTGGAGGTAGACCAGAGACCACATAAGGGACCGTTCATAATTTATTGGCGGGGAGGGGGGAGAGAGAGTAAGGAAGAAGAAAGAGAAAATGAGGATGATGATTTAAGGAGGGGTCACCCATTTTGTTCTGGGAAGGAAGGGGGTCAGCAATTTTGTACACATGTACTAGTGTAATCATCATTTCTCTTTCTCTCTCCCTCTCCCCCCCTCTCAAAAAAAATAAATAAATCAAAATCAAAAAATAAATAAAAAATTTATCTATTTTTATTATGAATGGTCCTTAACAGTGTATGGTTTCGGGACAGAAATATACAGCAAGAACCCCAAAACAAGAAGGAATGCTTTATTTAAAAAAAGGACCAATCCTAATTACCTTACTTAGTGAAAAAATCTCTTACACTTTACACACTTACATAAAAATACATTCTAACAAAATTTATTCTTTACTTTAAAACACAAGTCGTTTGACGTATTAGGTCCATCCTCTAA